CAGCATATTACATAATAATTACCAACATTTTGGATTTTAATGTGAAAAATGAAGCAGAAAATGCATTCGCAGCATTTATTAACATAATGTCTCTCCATTTTAATATACACCGTTTATATGTATATGCCATTGTGAAGAGCATTAGTAATTATGTGTTTTGTATGGATCTGCTATGTAAGCTGTTAACCTATTATATAGGAGAACATGATGGCAAAATCTGTCTGAAGTAAAGAGATTATCCTTCAAGTTGGGTCGGACCATTAATCTAATCAGTCCTTCATATCTTATTCTCTTCCTCTGTCTAGTGTTTGATGTCTGTGAAATCTCATTGGAGTATTATACATTTAAATAGGATGAGGAAGCTCAAAGGACTCGTGTTATCTCCTGCATAGACATCAACGCAAGACATTTGCAGTCTAGCCAATTATTGAACACCTTGTTTATTTCAATCAAATCTATTGAATATTTACTATTCAATTACTTGTGATCCAGAGCAATGTTGAATATGTCAATATAATAATGCTAAATTGGTTTTAATAAACAAAGTCCTCATCAGTATGGGCTCTTTTGAGCTCCACAACAAGCTCTGCTGCCTTTCATCAATCATCTGGTTGTGGGCGATGTAATTCTCAAATCGATTGCGACTGGCGCTGATGTTAAAACTCACACTTCCGAGTTACATTATTGGAACCTCAGGAGATTTGGATATGCGGTGTGCATAATGACTTGATGTATGCATTTCGAGGTGTTGGGAAATTGAATTGGGATGTATCGCTGCACGGAGATGGAATGGTAGAATGCATGCGGGAAACTTTATATCCCATCTCTTGTACTAATGCTCGGGCTACACCTGTCATTTGTAGTTTACAGAGCAACAACAGGAAGACTCACTGTGAAGAATAGGGATAGCACAAGGATCCGTCGATACTTGTCATCTTCCCAATTCCTTGTATTTTACGGCAAACTTTTCCAAATGGCACTGGGTACATTTATTGTGCCTCTTGGCAATTTATTTTTCCACCCACATGCATGAATGTATGGCAAGACGGGAGATGCTGTCTCTCTCTCTCCCTCTCTCGCTGTGGTAGTAAAGATAGTGAAATGTGACATCCGGGAAAATATTTTGAATGCTGGAGATGGGCGCGCGCACAAAAAAAATCTTTTCATTTACGAGCATATGTCCTGCGAATGTTGCTCCTCAACATGGAAACTAAGCACATGTATAGTGCGAGAGCGAGAAAATCCTAGGCATATTACTTTGATGGAAACAAGCCGATAACTTTGAAAATGTCACAAGGCAATTTTGCCGAGCGGCAGCACACAATTCAAAAATATTGTGCTCCGGAAGTTGGGATTTTTCTGTGGTGTCACATAAGCAAAACATCGTCATGAATGATGCCAAAGATAAAAATATTTCATATCACAGAATGTCTACCGAAACTGTATATTTTATATGCCGTCAGATTGATACTTTCTCCCCCCTTGAGGGGAGGCGGTTCAGTTAAATTGAAATTTGCAGCATCGGTGTGCGACGGCGCTTCGGGGGCGGGCGGCCGACGGACGTGGCGCAGAGTTGAGAGGGTCATAAAAGGCATTACAAATAAAGTTATTGTGCTTAAAGGATATTCTTTTTATGAAATTCTAACAGCTCTCACTTTCATGGGGCTATATATCCTCTCTTACTTTTGGAATTTTCATCATATTCCAAGAGTTTTAACTCACCCTTAATTGCTAATATCATTTTCAATCTCTTCACTCCGGCCATATCCCTTCTGTCGTACCCATCCGAGCCTGAAGAAGTTTGAATTCCTCGGCAAAAGAGCTCTTTCATGTTAAGATGAGTTTTAGTGCCTCTCGCCCCAAACACAAAGTTGATGCTACTGACTTTCAATGTGTTCTCTCCCAAATATTCGGAAAGGTTTTTGATAAAACTCATTGAGAGATGCCGTTTAACTGGTTCATACGCGCCAAGGTTGTGTCGGACACAGAGAGATACTCTAATAACTGATCCTGCTGGACCTTTTATTAATTCTGGCTCATAAATTACTCGTTCGTTCATAGTTTATCCCCTCGGGACATGTTGCTCACCCCCTTCGTGCCCATTCTTGCTCTGTGTGCCATATCGGACCGTTGCCGGCAACTTCAACTTCTTGTGCTCCATCATGTGAATCAAATGCTTCATGCTCTGATTTAGTGCGTCTATCAATAGTCCACTCTGCCACATTTTCATTTAGCACTACTCCGACGTAATTCAATTGACCACTAAAATACAATTATTTGCTTATTTAATTTCCACCACTCGCCAGCAAAAGTCGGCAAATGCGACGGAGAGAAAACCATCTTTCATGATATTCACTTAATTAGAACATTAGTTTCCCCATCTCACGCTTCTTTCATAGTTATTCGTCCACACACGGACACACCGCAATGTGATAAGTAATACCACGCACGCAAAGGCCTTATTAATGGGCGGGCCTTCCGCGTGGGCGGAGCTTCCGCAAAAGCGACTTTGTTCAAATTCGAAATAAACCTAAACACGGGCATTCTAGTTTGAATGAAACATTCAATATTAATCTAGACTACACCATACATAGTTGTATGAGAATGACTTAATCAGCGATATTGAGTATTTATTTATTTATTTGCACAATAAAATATGGATGAAGAGAAAAATCCTCATGAGGATGAAGTTGTCCTCTGGCCTTTAACATTTGGCCCACTAAATGATCGGTATGCAAGAAATACAAGCTATCGCCTGAGTGATTCAATCGATGGCGCAAAAGGAAGGGACAATACTTTGGAAAATATTTCTCCCATTTCCCAGATTTCCCAAGCGTCCGGCCAGAGTGTTTGCTCTCTTGCTGGACTCTCAAATTTACTTTTACCTTGTTTGACGAGGTCAATGAAATTTTTAGTTACAATCTCGAGTCATTCCGATCGGAGATTCAATTTCAACTTTGGCTCATTTATTTGATTTTCCTACATAAATCATAATGCTATTTTTTCCCCGTTTACTCTGGTGATTTACAATATTTTACCACGTTAGAATACTCTAATTAAAAGTTTCATAGCATTTTCCTTGTCTGCTGAGAATTTAGCATGCAGTTACGAATCGTGGAATTGAATATGAAACAACAGGTGAACTAATATTTGCCTTAAATATGAAATGTGAACACGAGCAAGCTATTGATGGGAATTCACTGTGTTCCTGAAGGAGAAATATTCGAGTGTTATTCTTTTAATTAATTCCTTTTTTCAGATCTTACGTAAAAAAAGTTCCTTGAACGTAAATGAGACTAGAAAATGCTTTCAGCGGCTTTCACGCATCTCTGGCAAATATTTACTTCAGGAATTGCTGAATATCCACCATTGATTTTATTTACAAGATGCTCATTAAATGATGGCGCAATTGGGAAGTTTGGGACTCTCGAATGCTCGATTATACGCCAGCAATATGGTATAAATTGCAGATAAATTTGGATTTGAAGCTCCGCTGGTGCAACTTTGGGAGCATGCGACAAGTGGATGGCGCATTTTTCCAGTTATTTAACTCCAAATGATTGCAGGAAAATTTGGACCATCATCGAAGACTTTCCTGCCCCGCGCGCTCGACGTGCCGATGGTGAGCACAATGCACTCTCCTATCTGTCGGGCTTATGTGCTGGTAAATAAGGTGAAGAGGCCCCGAAGCGTGTGAGTCTTCTTGGTCATACACCACTTTCCACTTCCTTGAACTCAACTAACTGGACTAAGCATGAAAAGAAGAATTTCCCATGTGGAGTTTGAATTTACTCACCATTATGTGGAGATGCCGGCGAGCATGTCTTATATTGTGGGGTGCAATATATTGAAGGAAAGCCGTTACCTGGGCCAAGAGCGACCGGAGTCTCCACAATCTTTGTTAAGTTTGTGTATCCTCCCAGCATTCAATGTAATTTTCCCTCTTATGGTATCGACATTCCGGGTCGAACATATAAATTTTCACCGCGCTGTTTTACCACCCATATATACGAAAGTGGGCGGCCAGAATTGGGGGTGTGGGTGGCAAAAACTTTACTTTGGTGCAACCTTTCAGAGAGATTATTATACAATGAGAAATTTTCCATCGTTGTCCCTTTGCTGCACCAACAATGCACTATATCAAGCACTATTTTCTCACTCCTCCCAAATCTTGGGCAATATTTCTTCAATTGGGGATGAAATAAGAGCAAATGACGCGATATTGTGCACGATGAATGGGCACTTGAGGCTCAGGCAATCCTTTCTCCAACTGTTATCGCATTTCAGGAGAATTGTCCACAAACTCTCTCTCTCTCCCTCTCTCTAAATTATTCGCATTTTGTATATATTCATTCCAAATTTGGCAACTTCCTTCTCATGTACACTATTTTACATTACATTTTACATGGAATGCTGGCTCTCGATGTCCCACTATTTCGCGAACCGCTTTCTTGGCGTCGTGAGCAAACAAGAAGTGAGATGGTGCGCATAATTTTAATCTACAGTGCATTTTTTCCGATCTCAAGTGAGTGAAAATCCAATAATTCACCTAAGTAGCCATTCTTGCACTTTCTCACGAGATGGTGATAAAACATAATTTCCCTAGAGACTTAAAACAAATAAATTCCCCGTTGTTTGCCACCCAGTAAATGGAGAAACTATATTTTTTCTGCTGTACTTCCTTAAGAAAATTGTAAATATTTACTGTGCATTTTTCCTGGGGCTTTTTCTACACTTAACACACATCAATCTCACACGTGAATCATTTCATTACATTGCAAGATAGATGGATTAATTATTTAGAATGTATTTCAGGGCTGTCATGCATTAAGTAATAAATATATTTAATAATTCTCATAAATATTGTTTGAATTGCAATATTGCCATTCAATTTTGAATTTCACTGTCGCTGAACGAAACTTCGGTAAAATAACGTTTAACGCCCACTTTCGTTAAGTGGCCGAGAGGGCGCTGATGCGCGTGTCGGCCAAATGATGTGACAAGCAAGCGACGCCATTATTGTTTTAGCATCGCGTCTGCTGAAAATTGTTGGGAGAGTGAAAAATCCAGCTAGTACCTTCTGTATCAGTGCGGGAACGGCCAAAAGGTCCTAAGCTCCGTCAGTTGGTGGTGTGAAACACGGTGAAGGATGACTGACTCCGGTACTTTTGCGCTGAACGACTTGGTGTGGTTAGTATGGAGTTTTCATCGCAAACTCGTGAATGCTGCCTGAAGCCCTGTTTACGGCGTACTCATCGCCCGTGATGGCTTTCCCCTGTCCTGTGGAGCTCATCTCACGCAATTCCGGTGCCTTTTTCCCATTTCCCACACGCCCGAACTCACGTAACCTCTAAACTCAGCCCCTTTCACTCGTTCTTGTCGCACCGGAAAGTGTAGTTTCGCCCAAGCGCCTCGCTTCACGATTCCGGACAAGCCTCGTGTTGGCGTTGGGCAGCAAGAGCTCAGGGCAAACAGTTGGGGGCGTCTTCAGGGTGATTTCACATGATTCGATGTTTGACTTACGTGTTCTCTTCTTCTGTTGCAGGGCCAAGATGAGGGGCTTCTCGCCATGGCCTGGTCGGGTAAGTGGAAAAGTCGAGTCAATGAAATTTGGCGCCACCTCAAAGATGGCTGAAAGTGAGACGACACGGAATGACATAAATGGGCCTCTTTCTCCTCTTCTCGTCTTCTCTCAAGCACTTTCCTGACTTTATCACGGTTTGATACCGAGATCTGAGCATTTTCCAGTGAATTTTACTGTAAAATTGACTTCTGGGAAGTGATTTTTGTGAATGACGCGAAATTTGGCGGGAGATTTCCGAAGACGCCCTCCTGAGATTCTTTCATTCCGTGTCGCAATTAGAATATTTTGCAATATCTCTTGATAATTCGAAAATTCACTGTTTTAAAAGTTATTTAAGTGTTCCTGAAGAGATAATAATGTGGCTAATATTTAATGACTTACCACGCTAAAAACTTATAGTCACACATTAGTGTATTTTTATTCTTGATGAAAGAAAATACTGTAATTTCCCAACAAAGTAAATAGAAAAATTATTTTTTTCCCAAGTTTTGTCCCGATCCAATTCATAAACCTATCAAATGTGTGTCTTAGGTTGTCGAGCCTCCGCCAGAACTTAAGAAGATCGCGAAGAAAAACATCCCGGCGCAGTGCATTTTCTTCTTCGGCTCCAACAACTAGTAAGATGAAGATTCTCTTGGTAAAAACTAGCTTTTCACATACTCAATAATGAATTGCATTTTCAGCGCCTGGATTGAGAACTCCTTCATCAGGCCGTACGAGGCCTTCAAGAGTAAGTTCATCACGTCGTACAAGACTGTTGCTTTCAAGGAGGCGGTCGAGGCAATTGAGAAGTACATCAAAGATCCGGAGGTAAGGGTAATTGACACAAACAATTGATTCACGCTCGGATTGGGAGTGACTGAGTGCTTCCCTCTGCAGACTTTCGAGGCGTCGCTGAGGCAGACCGTTCCCGATCCTGATGAGCAGTTTGATAAACTGAGGGAAGAGGAGGAAGTTGAGTCCCCGAAGCCTGTGGTGACTCCCAAAAAGACCCCCAAGAGAAAAGTGAGTGTTTCCGATGATTCTGCACCTGCGTTTTCTTTAAGTTTCAACCGAGATTTGAGCGGTGATTTAGAGAACAAAGGTCGATCATTAGAAGGGATTTCATGAGATTTCCTACACCTAGTTTTGATGAGTTGTGACACGATTCCTTTACCCTCAACATCCTCTAAACACGCACACTTTCAGATGGTAGGCGGCACTCCGGATGAAGCATTGTCGCCGGGCGTAAACACCAAAAAGCTGCGCTCTTCCGGGGTAAACACAAAAATTTTGCAATAATAACCTGTTGATTCCAACTAGAGCTGTAATTGGTAGTTTAACAAACACTACACACTCGGGAGTCTGATAAAAGGATTTTCCAGGAGTTGCATTGAAATCTATTCCCTGTTTCTTCTTTATTTTCATTATCTAACTCAACATCTCTAAAGCATGACAGTGAATAATGGACAGGAGATGCTTATTGAAGCAATCTTTCTTTTATTTGTACTTGACAGGAAAAGCCCAAAGCCAGTCGCAATTCCATCAAGAAGGCTGACAATGATGTCGAATCGCCACAGCCGGAGCGCAAGCGTAAGCGCATTTCGACGTCGCTGGAGAACAATGATGTGAGCCATAATGAGTTGGATGGATCCTTCACGAGTCACGGCACAACTGGCAGACGCAATGTGGCCGCGTCGGGATTGCTAAACCGACCGGCGCCAATTCCACGTCCGGAGACGCCTGAGATTGACATGAGTAAAGTGTCACAGACGCTGAAATCGAAGAATATCACTCCGTCGTCGCTGCGCTTTGGCTTCCTCGGCCTGGGCATCATGGGATGTGGTATAGTGAAGAATCTAATCAACTCTGGACACAAGGTGGTCGTCTGGAATCGCACCTTCACCAAGTGCCGCACCTTCGCTGAAGCGGGGGCTCAAGTTGGTGACACGCCGTCGGACGTTGTGGACGCCACTGACATAACATTCTCTTGTGTGGCAGATCCTCAGGCAGCGAAGGATGTAAGTTTCGCCACAAGTTTTGGAAACCACAACTGTATACGGAGAATTGTGTGGTTCAATACCAATTAAGCGGCAATTGCCATTCGAAAGTTTCCGCATGACAAATGTGTGTCTCTCTATTGTGTGTTTGCAGATGGTGTTCGGCAATTGTGGTGTGTTGCAAGCGAGCTCGGTGTCTGAGGGCAAGGGTTACGTGGAGATGACGGGCATTGATTCGGAGACGTCGACAGACATTGCCGATGCAATTGTATCCAAAGGTGGGCGCTACCTTGAGGCGCAGATTCAGGGGTCCAAGGCTCAGGCTGAGGAGGGTACTTTGATCATCTTGGCCGCCGGCGAGCGCTTGCTGTTCGAGGAGTGTCAAACATGCTTCGAGGCCATTGGGAAGAATTCCTTCTTTTTGGGTGACGTCGGGAATGCGTCTCGAATGAATTTGGTCCTGCAAATGATTGCGGGAATCTCCTTGGCGGGCCTTTCTGAATCTATGGCACTTGGTGAGTTTCGGTCGTTCCACTTGAATTATACTTTGGTGCTTATGAGTGTTTTCCTTACTTCTGTGCCATTTCAGCTGAGCGTGCCGGTCTGCAGACAAAGGATGTTTTGGAGGTTTTGGAGCTGACAAATATGGCTTCGCCGCTGATTCTGGAGAAAGGACATGGTGAGTTTCTATCGTTTCTCATGCCCCAAAGTGTCCTATCTATTAATGCGGCGATCTCTTGGCAGCTATGACTAAGGGAGAGTATCCCACACACCATCCGTTGACACACATGCAGAAGGACCTGCATCTGGCGCTGCAAATGTCGGAGACGCTGGAGCAGTCGCTCCCGATCACGGCCAGTGCCAACGAGGTGTTCAAGCACGCCAAGCGTCTCGGGTATTCCGATCACGATGCGAGTGCCGTGTACGTGAGAGCCAGATTCTAACGTTAGATGTTAATGCGGGCGTCTGAGGAGATTGCCTGACTGCCGACGCGCGTTTTAACATCTGACCAGCGTTGAGCTCTAAGATTGCAAATAGTGAAATAGGACATTTTCTGCGGGGGTCGTTTTCCGATTTTGAGCGCGCTCATGGTCGGAAAATGACTCTGCTTTCTTATCAAATAACATTTCATTCTTTTTTTAAAGGCGTAAATTTTGAGTATTTTATATTCAAAGCAAGATGAGAAACACACACAACAAACAAAATATCTTTTTAACATGTTAATTAAAGTTTACAACATTTGTGTTGTATGAAAAATTTGGATTAATCAATTTTAAAAGATACAATAACAACAGGACTTCTGTGTAAAAGTAGAGTTAATTAAATTTAGATAAACAGTGCATACATTTCTGTAGTTGAGAAAGAAGCAAAGGTTATTTTGATAATATTAATTGAGATCCTTAATTCATGGATATCGTATAACACTTTACATTACCTTGTTTTCTTGTCATTGATTCTACCTTTTTGTAATGTTAGCAGACAAAGTAAGGCAAATGTTTTCAAGAAGTTTATAAATCTTATTGTTTCACGCTATTCTTTCAAACTCTAATTGTAACAATTTCTTTTGGAGATAAAAGGTTTAGATCAATTTTTAGTTACTTCTGAATTGCGGCCTGAGGGGCCTTCATAATGTGTAAGGATAACACAGAATTTTCCTTTATTCTTTATTGTAAACACACACTCTAAAATGATGTGGAACACCTGTAGAACATAAGGATGAATAAAAATGGAAAGAATTGCAAGTAAGGAATTACAATGAATATACAAATATTGTGTAGTTTTAATATTTTATGGAAAATAAAGAGGTTTTCTTGAAAAATGACTCGACTTTGTGCTCAAGTGCTCTCTTGGTGTGCTATTTGGCTGGCGGACCTGTGCTGTCTTGCATGGCTGAAGGTCGGGTGTGCGTGTTGGTGAGTTCGGCGGTCGGTCGGGTGGGTTCAGGTGAGGTGTTGTCCGATGTGGCGCTGTCACAATTGTCAAACGATGAAATTTAAGATGGCGATCGCGTGTAAATTTACTCAATCTTATTTATTTTTGTGGTGAGAGAAAAAATGGACAAAATCTAGAGTGCGAATCAGTGCAAAAGGACAATGAGAGACATGTGATGCTGAGGAGTTGTGTGACATATTCAGTGTGACTCCCCTTGTACCCAAAAGACTGCCCAGAAGCGCCATAAATTTGCTCGAACAATTTTTTCAATGAAAGAAAAGTGTGTGTTCTTGTGACGGAAAACGAAGTGAGCAAAAATTCGTTCGACTTTTTTCTGCGTCTCCACTGAGAGGCTGTGTGGTGTTTCGCATCCTTCCTGGCCACCAGCAACAGGGCATACACGGCATCCTGCTGGTCGTCCAGTCGTCCCTGCGACAGAGGCGTCAAAATCGCGTCGAAGAACGCAGAGAGAAAAGCAAGAAAAAAGATATTCATTGCCCGTAGAAGAGACACACACGGAGAAGACGCAGACGGAAGAACAAATATGTGGTGGTGGTGTATTACCTCAATTATTATTACAAATTTTCAATCGTAGAGTTGCCCTTTTTATCCACAAACAATTTTCACTTTTGTACCTTTACTTCTTTTGTTCGATTCTTGTACAAAAAACAGTCATAGACACACACCTTGAGAGGCAATTATTATGTGCAAGATTTGTGGATGAGACGCCTAATGACTGGCCACTGAGTCCATAATCTTTTGGCTGATTTGCTAAGAACAAAATTCGCTTGCCTTGAGAGACATTTTTCAGGAGGAGACAGAGGAATATTCGTGATAAACCTGGCGCTATCGTCGTGGCGATGATTTTAAGGATGACCACATGAGAGAGATGCGCCAAGAGTATTTATCAATTGTTGATAAACACGAGTAACGACACTGTAACATGTTTGATAATGAGATTAAGAAGGCAAAATCAGTGGTGAAATTATGCCACTTGGGCGCTCAATCGAGTGCCAGAGGTGTCAAATGACCCGGACACGCGGCATTCCGACGAAATCTGTCTCCTCCGGACAAATCAGAGCCTCTAGTAGTTCCTAGTTTTGACTTGTTTATTTGTTAAACTCCCTCACCTGTCCTCTCACACTCTAATTTTCCATTTGCATTTTATTTGGTTCTTAATACCTTAGTTGAATGTTGTGCAAATTGTGCATGTGAGCGCTCCCCCGATTTGCCCAGACCCGCGAGCACGGAGTCGTGCCGTCTGGGAGCAACAACTACTGCGTGAGACGAATGCCACCCACTGGCCGCAGCACCACCCTCTCGGGAGCATCACCTGCGATAGCACATGACCCCGGGCGCGTCTTGGAGCACGAGGAGGCTGAGCCGAAGGCATTTCTGACACGAGTTTGGTGCTGGCCAAACGCCTTACAGTGTGTGTGGGTGATATGTGACGAAAATGTCCAAAAATAGGTAAACTCGCCCTCAAAAATTGCTCTTTATACACTCTCCCGTGCCCCTTTTGCCACTGCTTTCACCCTCAGTGGCTGCAATTCAGCGTAATACGCACGAGAGTCTGAGAAAGGCGATCCCAATGTGTGTCTAATTTGATAATTAGAACAATTAAAATGCGCTTTGAGCATACTTGCATTCCGCACCGCGAGTCACACTTCTTCGCAAAGCAAATTGCAGAGGAAATCCATTGTGATGTGAATCCGGGCTGAACGTTTTGGGGGTCTGTAGAGAAGCCTTTTTTTTCTAGCTAGCAATAGCTGTCAATTTTTGATGAGAAATCATACATGAATTCCTGGAAAATTATTGGGGAAAATAGGTGATGTTTGTAATTCGAGGAATGGACACGTGAATATGCTTTCACTTTCCAGGACATGAGTAAATAAGGCACAATTTAATTGACAACATTTTCACTGAAAGGGAATCTGATTAATTGAATTCTTCTGATTCGCAGATGATTTCTGAGAATTCATGGAAAGTGAAAAAAAATTGGAATTCTGAATGACATAAGCTTCTCTTTATAATGACCTGAAGAATTCCCATGTAGAATGATCTTTAGTGTCCAAGTGAGTAATTTTATAAAAGGTACTCCATGTTTGAGACTAATTTGAAACCTTAAGCGCTCACTTTGCCCTACCATTTGTAGCCCGAGAACAATTTAGTGGAAAATTTGTCACTTTGTCGTCCCAAAGAATTCCAACAGTCATTTCGAATCCTTGAAATACATTCTTTATTTCTTGCACACCTACAATGTCTCGCAGTTTCTCAGGTATTGAGTCCATAAATGAGATAATAAAGCAGACAACTGTTCTTGTAAGTTTCAAACGATACACGTAAGATAGTTGCATTTGATAATACTTTAGGCGCACATTTATTGATTTGTGAACCCTTTCTCAGACTCCGTGCAAAAGAAAAGATGCCTTTCTCACTTTGTTAAGTTTGAAAGTCTCTATTGTAATAAATCCTTGCGGAAGTAGTGGCAAAGTGGAATATTCAATTTATTCCACATTAATACGTATCTGTCAATATAATTGGGTAAAATACGTACACCAATTCAATAGGCGGGTACCAGTTGTGTTCCTCAGTGAAAGTTTTAGAGAGAGAACTTCCAAAAGTTTTGAGTGGAAAGATATTTTCTGAACGTGACACAAACACTTTTTCACACTGGCAATCTTCAATGGGCCAATATTGAGCTGTGAAAGATCTCTTTAGGGCTCCAATATGATTGTGTTGATGTAATGTTGGAAGATGGGCTTTTTTGGGGGTTTCATTCGAGGGCGTATAGAGAGACTGACTTATTCAAAGTGTGTGTTTGCTGAGGTAGAATTAAATTGAAGACCAATATAGTAATTACGAGAGTGTGCCGGAGAATAAAGTCAGCCGGAGAGAGAGAGAGAGAGAGGGAGAGAGAAAGAGAGAAATCTTCAACAGTAGCAAATAGTCACAAATTGTGCACTTTCATTTTCTTTTGTGAACTCTTCTGAGAGACCAAGCGATGTAAGATAATCCCACGTGAATATCGGATTCTTTTTTTTAACGACAGGAAGAGTTAGAATGACAAAAAGTCGGTGAATATTGGAGTAACTGTTAGTGCGCCTCGCGATGGGATACATTTTGATGAATAAGTCGTGAAATGGCCAAATGCTTCGCTGTTTGGGGTGATGCGTGTGTTCCTAATACACAATACATTTAAAACTAGTAGTGTTTTTGAGATAACAGTGTGTTGTCCCCTCGAGCTAATGTGCTATAAAATCAGCTTACGAGAGAGATAGAAAAAATCACTTTACGTGACTTCCTAATAATGATTGTTTGATATCGTAGTGAATTTTACAATGTGTAACACTTAATGCTGTCTTTTTCATTCGCCACTCTCTTGATATTTTCCATTTATTTGGCGTTTTGTCTCTAAACACATTGATTTTTTATTTGATCATAATAGATTTGTTCTTTACACTCTTTGTACAAAACAAAAAAAAATATGCTGATTCTGTATGAGCTGCATGACAAAATAGATACTCTTGTTAGGCTGTGAATATCTTATTTTTAGAATACAAATGTCTTTTTTTCAGAGTGTCTTCTTACATCCCAATTTACTTATATACATTGTCACATCTGTGAAATTTTTATCAAAGAGGTGAAAACGAGCAAGAATGTGTAGGAAATGATGTGATATCTCAACAATGAGATTCTTTATCTCGAGAGTTGTTTAATGTTATTTTATTGTGGGCGCGCGCGGGTGTTAGTGTGCGTGGAGGAGAGGAAAATCATAAAATCATGGTTGGAAATCTCAAGATAAGCGACTGCGTTTCTATCCTATTCATAACAATTGGCTATTGATTGCAAGTTCACTGCTATCACAGGTCATATATTTTTAATTTTATGGTTACAATTGAATTCATTACTCGTGCTATACTTTGTATAAAATCAATTTGTCATATTGGAAATACTCACATTTAATTGCCAAGAGGTCGTAAATCAATGTGTAATTTTGCATTATGTAATTTCTATGGATGAGACACTAACCGCAAGTCCGGAATGTGTTCGAAAGAGTGCAAATATTGGTAAAATTCCCCACAGGAAGTTGTGAGTTTTATTCGCAGTTCTTGTGTGCTTCAGTAGGAAGGCGGAGAAAAGGAGAGAAAAGAAACTACAATGCATGATATATTTTGGGTTTTCGGGGTGGAAAAGTTCACGTCGAAAAATATTTAATGATGCTATTTTCAATAAAAGTTGCAATAGACAGAGAAAGGCTGACGAAATATGCGGTACTAATACATAAACGCGCACGTTCAAAATCTTATTTTCATTCCTTCACACAGTTTTCATGCTGAAATTCCTATCGTATTAAGAGAGGCTCTATTGCTTTGGTGTGCTTATCTCGGTAGAAATTTTGACGTGTTTTGCCTCGTCGCACTTTCATAAGCAGACGATTCTCAAACTCCCTTCTGGTTGACTCACGCCTTCTCTCCCCACTCGAAATGAGGGAATCTTTTATGCTCTTTTTAATTCTCCTGACTCTTCAATTGATTTCAAACTCAATCTCTCGTTCCCTGTTTTCGTCATTTGGCGACGGAAAAAAGAGGCGAGCGGAGCAAAAAGTTGGAGCCAAATCGATAAATAGGGTTTTTCCTCAGTGCAAAATCACTTTTTTCCTCTGTTAAATACACTTGAACACTGTTGATCTGCAAAATTGAAGGTACGGAGCACAATACACACTTTACCGCCTGAGATAAAGTGTGTGGAGCTCCAGAAGTTTATTTCGCCGCGATTTCCAGAGATGCTCATTTGTGTGTTTATATGGTGAATTGAGTGTGTTTATATCATCTTCAATTCTTCCACATTTTCATACATCATATGAGTATATATGAATTTATTGCGTGTCTCTCATAAATCATCAAAGCGTTACAGAATTGATATGCAACAGATTTTTTTTTTGTAAATGCTCTTGAGCGTCATTGTGTGTATTTGGATGGAGAAAAATCTTTCACTCCTAAAGCCGGGAAATTATCAGTTTCAAATGTGATTTCTTTGCAAATGAACACATTAATCTTGCGCGGTGAAAATCATCGATGCACAGCAAAGCGGCAAATAGAAAAAAAAACCTTCGCATAGCAAAATGGCAGAAGACACTCTGGATAAAAAGTTCACACTTGTGCACCAATTTAGAGGTTTCTTTTTCAATAGAATTTGCAATCAATCACGGATAAATTTTATCACAAACAATGTTAGTCGTAGTTTGTATTTCTAACGCTGAACCATCTGATGGAACCCCAAGGCTAATTCCAATAGAACCTTCTGTCTGAGTTGTGACTATTTTTTGCTAGAGTTACATTGATAAATATTGACTGTTTTTTTATTAATTGCCACCTCTGTTGTGACTCTCTTTTTTTTCATTGCAGAATGGATGACTCCGAGAGAATGGAGCGCAGAGAAAGGGATAAACAAGCAAGAGCAATGCTTTCTGCCCAAGTACCAGAAACAGAATCAACGCAACTATTTGCTGCACCGATTCGAGTATGTATAGTGGAGAAAAGTAATGGTTATTGTGAATTGGAAAATGCAATGCGTGTGTGTTCTCTGTTGCTTTGCAGTTGTCCCCGTCCGAGGGTGATCTTCGGATCCAGTCGAAATTGGGTGATTTCGCCAAGGTGAAGCATCTGATGGAGGATCAGAAGCGTCTGATTGGTATCTCTCAGACGCCTCAGACTCCACGACAATTTCCACCGCAGAGCAGCAATTCCACCCTGTCTAACCAGTCACAACAACAGCAATTGGGAGCGAGCAGTAGCAATAATAGTTGTGCAACGACGGGACCAGGACCCACAAATAGTGGCAACAACGGCACAATCTCAAATAATCGCGCCTCCTCGCATCACTATCAGCAGCAACCTCCACGGAATGTGTTCTTGAAGCCAACTGATAGCAAATCGGCCTACAATGGTAGAGGAGTGTACCAGGGACAGTTTCTCAAGCACGACGTACGTTTCCTTCGGCCTCTACACTCCTGTGTTCAGGGAATTTAACTGTTCATTTTACTCTCTATTAGCAGATCCACTCGAGTGGCATGGGTGCTGCCAAGGGTCCAGGACCACCTCAACTCGCGTCCCAGCAGCTCAACACCCAACATCTGCCCAATGGGCGTCAAATGAATGACAAGCAGTCGTCGACTTTGATGCCAAATGGTGTACTTAGAGGCACCTTGAAGCCTTCGCGGCTCCCGATGACCTCCATTCCGCAGGGAAATCCTCTGAGCACGCCAACGAGTGTGGGTGAAGTGCGAGACATCCTCAAGGAGATGACTGAGACTGTGACACCAGTTACGGGAATTGCAGCAACTCCCAGGACAGAGTTTGACACGAAGTTTGCATTTGGTGCTGCAGGGTTGCCTCAATATAAGGTAAAATTCACACAAAACCGAAAGGGATCAATTTAATATAAGGTATTAAATCAATTTCCTCTTGTTTACAGTATACGGAACTACCTCCACTGTTTACACCTACTGTCAATCGAAGTTCCTCAAGACCAAAGTGAGTTAAATTAAATATGCTTTGATGTGTGGCAAAAAATTAACAGGGTAAAATTGTCATTTCCACTTTCAGTGATCTCGGGAATGAGCCCAATGTCTCTGACAGTGACGATGGGGAGCGCAAGAAGCAAACTACCGAGACGTGAGTGTTCTATTTGTGTATAAACTAGAGGAAAAGGTCCATTTTTGTGTTCTAACCGTTTGTAAATATTGATTTTTAGAATGTCTCCAAACAATGATAATTCAAGCGAGAGTGATGAATCTGCATCGAGCGGTGAATCGTCAAGTGAGGAGTCCAATAACGGCCTGAAATTAGAACCTGCAAACCGTGAGTGTCTCAATAATGTCTCTCTATGCTGTTGTGCAACATACTTTTACACACTCTTTATGTTCTGCTTTTTATGGTCTCTGCAGAAAATAGCCCTTCGTCGAAGCTCGAACAGTGGAGTTTGATACAATTCGTGAAGCCTCACGTGCAGAATGACGCGTCACAGCCGTCGACGCAGGAGCCATCGCCGCAGATGGCTATTAAGAATGAGCGTGATGATGAGAATCAGGTGTTTCACGGTCAGGCGCATCATATAAAGCAGGAGATGTATCACAATGAGCTGGTGGAGGAGATTCAGGATCCACCAATGCAGCAGAGCCATCACGGAGAGTCAAATCTGAGGTATGATCAGGCGGTGGCGTCGGTGACGAAGAGTCCATCCAAGAGTCCGGATCGACGGAGCAATTCCGATCCCTTTGAGTCTGATGAGATTGAGAGTGTGCTGGCGGAGGTGAAGGAAATCGCCACGATCAAGCCCATCTCGAGTTTCTCGGACACAGATGAGAAAATGGCGGAGAAGTGTGTGAAGAAGGTGCGCGATAAGCGTCGGAGGCGCTCTCATCAGACCACAACGCCGCACAGTGATTCCAGTGATGATGACGATGGCTTTGGCAGCACGAAACGGCGGAGCCGGTCGAAGTCCACGGAGAAGGAGATGAAGCGGGTGCGAGGACGGCTGTCGAAGAAGAAACAACACTATCTGGCGACAGCATCGACCAACACTGGACCTAATGCAGTGACAAACGCAGTGCCTAAATCAACCCCACCCAAGAAGGAGGCGTCCAAAGGTGGAAGGAAGGTGATATCGCGACGTCTGGGTGCACGGAGGAATTCCGTGGTGAAGAGTCGCGAGATGCTGGAGACAACGTCATCGAGTGACAACAGTGATAACAACAGCGATGATGATGCCTGCAATGACTCCGATTCGGTGCCCAGCAAGCCGATGGCCGTTGGCAAGCATCAAGTGTCGAGTTTTGTGGCGCTAACGCAGAGTCGTCCACTATCGCGAGGCCATCCAAAGCAATCCAACGACGACAATTCATCCATGTCATCCACCACCAGTCGAGAGGAGTGAGTTTTAGCAGTGAAAATTCCACGTTCGCAAATGCTTTATGTCCAATTTTTTTTCTCCGCTCAACAGGCATCTTTCGTCACCACGAAGTGCTGCACGTCCTTCAGTGTCGCCCGGCAATCGCTTAGTGTCGCCCATTAGTAAACTCTCATCGTCCTGTGATGAAAACTCAGATGCAACTGATAGCGATAGTATTCGTGAAGAGAGGGTGAGTTGTGCACAAATTTGTTTACGTACTGTGTGTATATTTAAGTGAGGAGAGAGAGAGAGAGAGAAAAAAAAGTATTTGCCATAGTGCGAATTCCATTAACAATATCCTGGTTAAAGTTTCACGGCGTCGTCACACTGAGAAATCCAATTACTTCAAAATGGTATGAGGACTCTCACACCATAAATTGTTTGCAAAGTCTGACCGACCAATGGAGAAATTCCTTTTCAAAGAACTCCAAGACAGACTTAATTATCTCTCCACATTGGATATTTTTATCATGAGAAAAAGTGTGCAATGTCTGGAATATTTTATATTTGCCTCATATTTTTTTTTTATTTTATATATGAGTTTGTTATTGATGGAAAATATTTTGTTGCAATTGCAGAAAATCCGAGATAAGACAAAAAGTGATAAGAATAAGAATGTTACGCTGCGGAAATTGTTCTCCGGCTTGAAAGGTGAGGGCGGTGCCAAAGGAAAGGGTCAAGTGGTGATTGTGGATCACTCAGAGGATTCTCACGTGAGTATTAATGAGTGAAAAGGTGTGATTGTGAGTGGATTTTTATGCGTTGTACTTTTGCAGATTCAATCGAAAGACGACACCTTCGCGTCGGAGAAATTTCTATCGCCTTATTCGGCAAAGTATGGGTCTGGAAGCGGCAGTAACCAAGTGAGATCTGGTGATCCGACGAGACACTTGCTCTGTCGGATTGACCTGTCGCGCTTGAAGCGGATACCACACTTGGCGAATGCTGTGCAGGTGCACAAGAGTCCGCGCAAGAGTAAGCATCATGGTGATCCAAAGAGTCCCGCCACGACGACGTGGAGTCAGTCGCGCGGCGGGAAGAGTTCAAGTGCTGAGGCCGCGAGCAAGGCATCGGCGAATCAGGTGGAGAATGGACGACTGACGGTGGCCTTCGAGAGTGGAGTTGGAGACAATCAAACAATTGTGAATCGTGTCAATTCGATGAGTGCATCAGCGAGCCAAGTTGGACAGTCACCGAAGAATTTGCCAAATGATCACAAGTCAAGCCACAACAATAACAACAGTATCAAGAGAGAATCCATCAAGTCTGAGTACACGAATTCTGACATCACTGGCAGTTCGCCACGGATTGACGACAAGGGGAGTTTGTATGCGGGCAAGCTTGGCGCTTTCAATGGCGGTGGCATCAAGAGGGAGAAGTTGAGTGAGACAAAGTCTGATTTCTACACTCCTGGTGCTGCACCATCGGAGATTGATGTGAAGCAGAGCAGTGGCAAATTGGCTGGTGAATGTGTGCCCAAAGAGCGGAAGAAGCGTCGATCGAGCTCAGGCAGTGGCTCCATCAAGAGTGGCAAGAAGCGAAAGAATGGATCGCAGAACGAGCTGATTCACGAGACGACACCACCCACAAATCACGATAGGATAGAGACTGTGGTGTACAGAGAGGTGGAGAAGAAGATCTACTACTCATACTTTGAATGTACAAATGAGAGCGACAGCGGCAGGGAGGACAAGTAAGTATATATCACTTCATCCATTCACGTTTCACTATCATCACATACGCACACACGCTCACGTGAGAAGCGCGCGGGGGAAATTTTGACGTAGTGTATGTTGGAAATGTCTCATCTTGTACAAGAAATTGCTGAAATAATGTGAAATTTTTAGCGTAAAAATTAATTGCAGGGGCCAGAGCACGTACTTGCTGGAGGCGCAACGGCTGAAGCATGCTGCTGACAAGGAGACGGAGCATTTGGCCCAGGCGATGACCTATTTGGAAGCTGTTCTCTACTTTTTACTGACTGGTGATTCCATGGAGAAGGAATCTCTCACGGAGCGATCGGCTTTCACCATGTATAAAGACACCTTGAAGCTCATAAGGTGAAATGAATGTGAATTTTCCTATCCTAAGAGTGGTGTTCCTAATGCTCTCTGGCACTTCACTTTCAGGTACATCTCCTCGAAATTTCGCAGCCAACAGCAAGTGCACACGATGCAGGGCAATATTCACAGTAAAGTAGCTATTTTGAGGTGAGCTTTGAGGTAGTGATGGTGTTGAAAGAGAGAGAGAGAGTGGGAGAGCGAACTTTATTAGCAATAATTCAATCTTTTTTATCAAGAATTCAACTACCAAACTGTAATATAATTCAATTTTCTTTTCCTCTTCGACGTCTCAACAGTTTGCGGTGCCAGTCATTGCTGTATCTGAAGCTCTATCGCATGTGCAAGCCGGAGGTGAGGGAAGTACAAAAGATTATTGGGGAGCACACAACAAAGCGCAACGCTGACTTACCGAATGGAAATACTCCATCTCCGATTTCGCCATCAACAGCAATCCAAGGACAAGTGAGGATATTTTCTTTTGGCATGCAACCCTTGACACGATGTGTTTGACTAATTGAATTTCGTGACATTTTAGAACATTGGAGGAACAACTGGTGGTCAAATGGTGCCTCATCAGACATACAATGCATTTCAGCGACAAAGCACTTTCCTCCATTATTTAGTCAATTGCCATGATTTATGGGATCAAGCTGACCTCCTTGTTACGAAAGGGAATCACACAGGTGAGTTTGGAGGGGAAAATGGTGGTTTTTCTCTCCTATTAACTTGTGAAAATCTTTCTTTGTGCAGAATTTTTTATCAACTTGGACCACGAAAATGGACCCATGACTCTGCACAGTTCAATATCAAGTGCTGTAAAGTATGTTAAAGCCGGACTGCAGAAATTGAGACAGACGTGTCAAGTATGAAACTTTTTCTTATCCATATCTCAGAATAGTTCTCCTCTTTTATTATTCTACTGAAAATATTGGTAGTTTTAGTGGTGTTTTATTTTTATACCATTTAAATGTCGGTGAAACGGAGAGGAATGAGAAGTAACACAGAGTGCATGAGTTTTTTCGTGCCGAATTAAAATGATGAATTATTGAGCATCACTTAATGGACTTTTTACAATGAAGTTGATGATGAAGAAGAAGAAGAAGAAGAAGAGAAAAAGAAAAGACAAGAATCCGGCAGAGCTGTGGGATAATTGCATAAGCAATTGTATGTACAGGAGGTGAAAGATGAAGAGATAGACATAGAATATTATTTTTTGTTATAATTTATTTCATTATTTAAATGAAAGGAAAACTCAAACTTTTTTTTGTATATTAATTGTATAGATTACAAAATAATTATTGTTTAGTAAATATATAAAAGAAATGAGGAAACGATTAGGTACTTTCTCAGAAGATAGGAATAGGAAGACGAATGGAAGACAAGCAAGAAGTTATATATAGAGGTAAACTATTTAAAATGGAGTCATTTGAAGTGAATTTCTCTGTAAATATTACTTTGATATTGCAACTATATACATATGGCTTATGTATAAACATTTTTGCAACCTTAGTTTATCGAATTTTTACAGTAGGTCTTACTTAATTTACATAAACATATATTTTTTCGTTTTTTTTTTAGAAATGAGAACAGCAGTAATAATGTGACAGAATAGTTAGAAATTTTGGGTGGGGAGAAAATGAAGATGTTTGCAATGAAATATTTGAATCAAAAGTTGTTATCAAAAGCGTCTGCTTTGTTGGAAGATGAGAAAAAAAAAGTGAAAAAATACAGAAATTCAAATTGATCTTAAGATTTATGTGACTATCGTCAGCCTATCATTTAATTTACCATTTTCAATTTGATTTTTTGCCTGATGCAAGATTAGTTTGATGACAGGCGAGGGTTGGAGACAATAAATCAAAGATATCTATATTGAATTTTGCCGTGAAGAAATTCGACGATGCGACAAGCAGAAAGAGGTGATTACATTTAACGCAACACAGTCCATACGTTAACTAATTTTACCTCTAAATGTGTGTTTTATTAAAAGAAACAAAAAGTAAAACAAATCGATAAGGAAAACATGTGAAGAAGAACGATCATCCTTTGTATTTATACTACAGCAATGGGGAATATTTTCTACTGATTCTAACTCTGCAAATGTTGCTCATTATAGCGAAGTGATTGTTTGACATAGGGATGCAATTTTTGTATTGTTCAATTATAAAAGAAGAGTAAATAAAGGAAATCTTTTTCTACTACCATAAATGAACCACAAAGCGCCACTTACAGTGAATCCTTACATACCGCGAGAGTGAGAATAAGAAAAAAAAAATGGTAATTACTAAATAGGAATATATAGTGATGACATTCTAACAATAGTCATAATATTAGTTCTGGAGGAGGATATAAAATGGGAATAGACCAGAAAATGTTACTTGTTACGAAGATTTTTCATTGTTAATCCTACATTTTTCTCTCTTTGCGCTTTCTATTTTCTCTTAACCTTACTTTCTTGTGAAATTATCAATCCTTATTATATATACATATATTTTTTTATATTTTGCTGTAACGTACAATTACTAACTTTGTCCGTTTATAACTATAACATGTGTTTTTTTTTTGTTTGTCATAAAGATAATCTTACTCTTTTGATGTAGCTTGATGCGGGACCAAAATATTTTTTCAACCAACTTCGAGTTATGGTTTTTTTGTGGAATTTTCTTTCTTTTCCCCCAGCAAAACAATATTTTTGAAGAAACAAAAAAAAAACTACTAAATGATACCTTAATAACTTAATGACTAAACGTAGAAATCCCTTATCTCAGAATGAGAAAACTACCAACACACTATAATAGGAAAAAAAAGAGCGTTGACAAGATTGCAACAGTTAATCAAACACCAATAACTTGGTATGAGTAAACAAAGATGTAAAGAGTTTCTCTATTAGAGGATATTGTTAATAGTGAAGTAAATTATTATGAAAGCAAAGACGGTCAATGGGAAGACGATGTAGGGAGAGGAGAGCAGATGAAACGACGTGTAAATGATAGTTATAACTTTTATATTAAAGATTGACATACAACACAAAGCGCGGATTAAGTGAGGAGTAAGACCTTAAGAAGTAAATGCATTAAATTAATACTAGAGTAGGACTAATTTACACTCTACTAAGGCAATTGATTGAATGTAAATTGAACAAATAAGCAACAATATATTGTAAAGTTAAATGAAAAGTGGGGAACGAGAAATGGATGAAAGTAAGGGAAGAAACGAAACATTTAAAAGAAGAAAAATATTTTTATTTGTACAAAGTGATTTTTATGCAATTTAAATAAAAAAAAAGTGAAACAGAAATAAATATGAAATAACAAAAAGTATAGATATTATCAAAATATGACGAGCAAATTGATACAAACATTAGTATTTTACTACGTTGAATAAAAGGAAAATGAGAAGCGAATTACTTCATGTGTTTTAATCGAAGAAATTGGGCAGAAAATCTCATAAAATTTGATAAAGTCGATTTGAAAAGATGGAAATTTTGATGCAACAGTTAAGAGGTGAGCTTTTTCGGGTCTTTAACCGTGGAAAATTCAACAATTTTGCAGTGCAACATTCGAGAACCTCCCCTGAAACTTTGCTGCAGTGTGCCGATGTCGGAGGGGTGGCGTCGCTGTTCTACTGTAGCACAGAAAGACACCCCCAGCTTACACGCAGGGGCAATTTTTCACATCACCAGGCCAAGTCCCAGAGAGTGCAAAGCTCCTCCACCTCATTTAGTTGTCGTCACTACATAGAGAAACAACTTGTGTTTTTTTCCCTTGCATTCTTCATCACAGTATTGTTTGTGTGCACTCGCCACAGGGCAGTGGCCAGCGACGTCTCCGGCTCGAGGGTGGGCCCCGCGTTTGGAAAAGTGCACGGCCGAGGGGCGTCATGTGAAGTTGGAGGTCCGGCGAATGTGAGAAAGGTGGCTCAGAAGGTGTGTTCGCGGTGTAAAATTTCCTCAATGGACACGAAGAAAATCCTACTTCCGGCTGATTCGTGCGATCCTCATTCCGCAGTGGTGTGATTATCCCTTGTGATTGTGCAGTGAGACAAGTCGATAGTGTTTGCAAGTGAGTGCAAAATCTGAGCTTTCAGTGCCACGGAAAAACCCACCCTTTTTCATCCCAGAGTGTCGCATTTGCAGTTGTCGAAGGCGGAAGAAGAAAGCCGAGAGTGAGGGACTTTTCCACTATCGATTTCGAATTTCTTCCTTTTTCCGTACAACCACACACATTTGTGTATCGCCAATTTTGCGGTTGGCGAGCCAGAAAAGGCCGCAGCTCTGCGAAATGTCGCTGCAGAAATCAATAAGACGGTGAGTGGCAGAAAATACGAAAGATGCACTCAATTTGCTATTCATCCCCAATGTGACAATTAATTGCCGAGGGAAGTTTTGGGGAAAAGGAGTCGCTCTCGCGTTCACATCAATGTGATGCGCATAGGCATTCGCTCTGCACGCTCGAGAGTCCGGGCATCGCCCTGTTTTCCCAGCAAATCTCGCGAATGGCACATGACAACTGGCAAAATCCTGTCCTTCAGCCAACTTAATGCCCCAAGGTGCATCGCAAAACCGTTTAACTCTGTGCCAAGGAGCGGTGCGGATACACGCCCCTCAGGTCAATAGCATAAGCCCCAAATGATCCAATAGGAATATTCATTACAGAGATCAGCCAGGATTTCAGTTCCAAATGAAAGTGTTCCACTTAATCACTTGCTGTATAACATAAATTGTGAATTGTGCTTCTTGGGCGGATGGCAACAATATAGAGCTCATCTTGTTCATAATCTCTGCCTAGAGGAGATGAAAACACAGGAGATTAGTTTCCCCATCATTTGAATACACAACAGGGTGAAATTATCGAGATGATTTTCCATCATGAGATAGATTACACAATGCTGTGTCTTCAGTGTGGCTCTAATGTTGATTCACATTTTTGATACCCTAATCTCTGTTTAAACCTTAGTTATTGTACGATTCTTCTCTTGTCGAACACTATATTGGAATCAATTATTTTGTTTTCTTATCATGCTGTGCTTCAGTAGCGTATCTTGGAGATTTTCATGAAAAATAAATCATTTTTTCAGTTATTTTTATAGAGAAAGGAAAGTTGAAGGGAAGATCTTTGAAATTCTGAAAAGAAGTTTTGATACAAACGCTTTGCCTGTTTGGGAATAATTTATTCGCAACCAATGAATAATTTCAAAAATATTTTCAATTTTCACAGATTTTATTTGAGACGTCAAGAAAATTTGTGAAGTTGTGAAGTTTACAAATTTGAATTATTGGATACAGAGATTTGACCTACAAAATATTGTGATTGTACATAATTATTTAGATTTATAGAGATAACAGACCCGAAATAATATTCCTAATTCAAATATTGATTTTCCACCTCAACGACATTACATAAAAAATCGGACCGATTAGATCTGTTCCACGTAGAAGCACTCACTTACCATATGTACACATTTGCATGGCGTGAATGTTAGCAGAGAAAGGCGCGCCGGCGCGATGCTGAATCCCATTCAAATTCTTCCCAGAGTCGTTTCCAGGCGGTTTTGGTGGATGAAAAACCTGCAAAGGCTCAAGACACACATTATGACAAATACGGAAAAACTCTACACAAGCAGTCGAAATACTTTATCCACAAAGTTAGGATGATTTTGAGCGCCCAAAGCCGTCCCTGGCGCGCGATGGTAGTGACAAAAAACGACGTCGACGCCGACGACGAGTAATCTTCTAAAGATAAAACTCTCGCACAGTGCGTCGTTGAATTTTCCGAGTATCATTTTTAGTCCGATTTGAGTTTCCGTGTCGAGTTGAAAAACATTTTCTAGCTCTGCGTTTAATTTTTTTCTTTAATTTTTTTATTATTTCTTTTGCGTTTTTATCTTTTTTCCGTTAATTTCTTTCATTTGAGTGTCTATTTTGTCAATCTCTTCATAATTTCTTCCCGTGTTTATTCAACCTTCCCATTTCCTAACCGTTCGCGAATATTTGTTCACTGAAACAGTGTGGAAAATTTGATGAAAATCAACGGTGAAAGGTGACAACGTGCGCTAAGGGGAGAAAAAGGGGATCATTTCGTGTTAATTTCTACTATCTCAATTGGTAGTTTATCGATTTTTCCGCGCTCCAGCGACACTGCTGAAAAAGGTGGAATTTGTGCAGTGCAGAATATTGCAATTGTGCTGAAGATAGGGATCAAAGTGAAAACAATAGCTTAATTCAATATATGCACACGATTCGGTAATCATCGACATTATTTAACGCAAAAGGATCGTGCATAATTAATGGACAATTCAGTAGAAATTGCGCCGTATCTTTGAATGGATAATTGAGAGCGTGGCAAAAAGAATTCCGTGGAAATTTGAAGAGGGTTTTTTTTATGAGGTGAGTAAATTCTACAACTCGGGGCAATTAAAGCACCCCTCACTTTTGGCTTGAGAGAATTAGAATGAAAAGGTAATGAATGTGCTGAGAAGAAGTAACGAACTGATGATGCAACCCAATACAAGTCTCAAGAGCTATTTTGGTCAATGAATGTGTGCGTTTTCTGTGGTGTTTCTCACAAAATTTTATAAACAAAAATCTGCAATCCACTCTAAGTTGAGGAGGAAGACACGCGCTTAGGCGATCCCAAAATCGATATTGTGAGGAAGGATGAAGTGCTGGTTGAAATTTATTCAACACTGCATTCTCATCTGGTGATATTTTTGGCGTGAAGCATGGAGTTTTCATAACTTTTTACCACATTAGACGATTTTCGTATTCTTAGAACGGGAAAATTTCTCACAACTTATATGCAGATATGAGAGAGTTGGGCTATTTTTAGCGTGGAAATGGCAGGTGGTTTTACGAAAATATGTAACACTTTGGTCCCATTTGACACATATTTCAACGAAAACGCGCTCTTCACATTTTTCCTCCCATCAAACTCAATATCGCAAATTATCATTTGATGATTTTTTTTGAGGAAATGTCTGGAAGCTTAAAACAAATAAATCATGTCTTGCGAATGGGATTTTTATTGAGAGATTTATGAGAGAGAATTTATGATCAAATTAAACACAAAATTTTCAATATTAACACAATATTTTTGTCTATTCTTTTCCCAGATAAACACTTTCCAGCACCCTTAAACTATTTTTAAGGAAGTGATCTTGCGCAATCACAGAGACAAAGATACCAGGAAGCTCCAGGAAGAGGAGAGAGAGAGGAAATAGGTTGCAGAGGAAAGAGTTTGGAAACAGTATTATTGATTTAATTGTGCAGTTGAGGCGGGACATGACGAACGGTATGATTGAGTCTAATAGTGGTCAGCAACAGAATGGCAGTGGCAGCAGCAATGGTGGCGGTGGAAGCCAGGAGGAGTCCAAAACTAATTTAATTGTCAACTATTTGCCCCAAAACATGACCCAGGAGGAGATCCGCTCGCTCTTCTCCAGCATTGGTGAGGTGGAGAGCTGCAAATTGATTCGCGACAAAGTCACAGGTAAATTGCTTCTCAGAGAGTGATGTTCTGCACTCAGAGAAATCACATTTGTACACTTGATACACTTGGACGTTGTTAAACTACATATTGGAGCTACGATAGATTTTGTTGTATCGCAAGAATTCTGAGGAAACACAGCGAATTTTGAATCTAGCGTTCTTGATTATTGATCCCATGGATCCCGAATTTTATCCTGCAAATGCTGTTGATGTGCTTAATATGTATATTGAGGAGAAGGTTATCATCATGATTAACAGATTGAATCTGGTATTCAATTAGAAAGTTGACTGCGTTGATTTATCTGAGTGCAACGCTACATATTTCGCCTCTAACGTTGTCCCATTTTGCAGGACAAAGTTTGGGGTATGGCTTTGTGAACTACCATCAGAAGGACGATGCAGAAAAGGCCATCAACACACTCAATGGACTGCGTCTGCAGAACAAGACCATTAAGGTGTCATTTGCTCGGCCTAGTTCAGAGGCCATCAAAGGTGCCAACTTGTACGTGTCGGGCTTGCCGAAGAATCTAACCCAGGGTGAATTGGAGGCCATGTTCAGTCCATTTGGCCGCATCATCACATCACGCATTCTCTGTGACAATATTTCAGGTATATTCCCTATGGGAAGACTCACGAAATTTCGCTGAAGGCCGTTGCAGCTATTTTCTGGATTTTGCCAGAATCCAAAACAACACACATAATATTCTACTGTTCCTCCATTCCCTCCCACGAGGAATCATATAAATTTCACAAAAGAATACTCTCAAGATTAGCTTTGAAATTACAGAGATAGAAAAGAGCATTTGGATTTAATTTTAAGTTCATTAATTTCCATTTTCTTTTCTTATTGTTTCAAGAATGGCTATTTGTCACTTCAGGTGGAACGAGTATGCCGGGTACGTAAGAGTGGTTTTAGCATTTAATTATTGTTTAATTCGTATTAAGTCACTATGTTGTTCATTGTGGGTATTGTCTAATCATTTGTGGTGTTGATGCCTCTTCATTTTATTCCTTACATGTACCCATCATTTCATTTTTGCCCTATAATTTCTCATATGTTTCGGAGATTTCACTCAGAACACTATTTCAAAAATTGGCACAAACTATGCCTCACACCTGTACTGAAATAAGAATGCATGCTTTGAAGGCAGAGCTGGCGAAGAATGGACTCAATTTTCAGAATCATGTTTAAATTGAATGCACATTTCCCAGCTCTGCCTAGAATACGAATGACATAACATACATCCAGTGTTTACTCATGATTTAACACTACCATCAATTGATTTTCAGTGGTAAAGTGCACAAAATAGAGATTGAAATATGTTGATGACAATAGAGAAAATCCAGAAAATATCATCCACTGCAAAACCCGCAGGATGATTGCAAGAGAGCATAATGGATAATATGCAGCTCGCTGTGGGATTTGATTTATTTGGAGTAATCCTTGCTAATTATTTTCAGGGCTATCTAAAGGCGTGGGCTTTATTCGCTTTGATCAGCGCATCGAGGCCGAGCGGGCCATCAAGGAGCTCAACGGGACCGTGCCGAAGAACGCCACGGATCCCATCACCGTCAAGTTCGCCAACAACCCGAGCAGCAACAAGTCCTTGCCACCCTTCGCTGCCTATTTGGGGCCACAGGCCGCGGCAGCAGCTCGACGCTTTCCCGGCCCGGTTCATCATGCCACCGGACGCTTTAGGTAGTTAATTTGTTGAATTAAAATTGGGCGTGGCTGATGAAAATTCACGGGCAGTGTGGATAAAGTGCTGGCAGCTGCGGAGACGGCAGCTTAAAATTCAGCGATGGTGGCATAGTGGAATGGAAGGATGATTCAATTATGGGCAAAAAATATGAACGTGTGCCTTCTCTCCATTTTTATGCAGATTCTCGCCGCTGACTGGTGATTTATTGGCCAACACTGTGATGCCTGGCAGTGCAATAAATGGATCTGGCTGGTGTATCTTCGTGTACAATCTGGCCCCGGAAACTGAGGAGAATGTTTTGTGGCAACTATTTGGACCATTTGGTGCTGTACAGTCTGTAAAGGTACTGAGCACATGACGCCTTAAGCTCCCCCGTCCAAATCTCATGCAAACTTTAATGCCTTCTCCAGGTTATTCGGGATCTGCAGACAAATAAATGCAAGGGATTTGGTTTCGTCACCATGACCGTGTACGACGAGGCCCTGTTTGCCATTCAAGGGCTCAACGGATACACATTGGGAAATCGTATACTGCAAGTTAGTTTTAAGACAAACAAGACCAAAACTACGTAAAAGGAATTTTTTCCTCCTTTTCGCGATTTTGAGTGGAGATTGACTAAAAGTTTTTGTTAATCATTTGGAGAATTGATTTTGCCTCTTTTCAATGCATAAACTTATTTTTCTTTTGAATTGTCTGGAGAGCTTATGAAATGAGCTTTTCCATATTATTTTCAGAGAGTACAAAATCTCTGTTAGATACTTTATTTATATGTATAGAAAATTGCACTATGTATTCTTGTATCTTTATTGCAAATTATATATTTTTTTCGTCTTACAATGTGATTACAAAATCGCATTTAAAATTCTATGGAGAAGGAGAAAATTGTAGACCATAAGCTATATAATGTCAGAAAAATTTTTCGATACAATTTACAGTTTAAACTTATGCGTAAAAAAAATTAGAGGAAGGAAAATATTATGATAAATGTCTATTTGCAAATATTATACAAATTTATTGATGAGTGAAACTAGTCCAGTAGCGTGTTTACTGTTTTGATTTTTAGCTAAAATTTTCGATTCATTTTGCATTAATCTAATTTCACATTTTCTCGAGGAATAATTTCACTATTTTCTGTAATATTCTCTAATATTTATCTATGATTTTGGAGTTTATAATAGGTTAAACATATGGCATGTGGCTATTATTCTTTTTGTTATATTTTTTATATAAAATCACTTGTGTGGACATTAAATATTATCTTTTACCTTATTTTCTTTATGTTTTATTTTTATTTATTTTCACTCATCTTCTTCCTATCTTCCTCATGTTTACTTTATACGTTCTGTTTATCACAGGTTCTTTGCCGCTCTACCACTTCTTTCTTACACATAACCTACCCGAATTTTGATGTAACCACTTTAACAATTGTACATTTTTAGGAATCAGCTAAAGTATTGGTGAATTTGGTAATTTAATTGTCGTAATTGAAATAGTAGGAAAAAGGTAAAAAATGGAAAAAATCACAGAATGGTGCTTCTAATAAAAGAACAATAATAATAATGAATGTGAAGGTAATGCATCAGATGGCTTTACAATAAACATGAAATCACGTGAGACAAGAATCTTCCAATAGAAGAAAATCCAACTGACTGATGTATTATCTTCATTTGAATTATTGTTAATAATTTTCTAATGTTTATATATATAAAATATTTAGAGTATCAAATTATTCACTATTTTTACAATAATACCAATATATTATGAAACAAGAAAATATTACAATATTTAAATTATATTGCGCGATACATTAAGGATTATTATCAATGTTTAGTCAGTTTTTTCTAACATTCCATCAATGTATTTTCACTACTAAAGTGGTGGCTAGAATAACATGGGTATGACGACAAAATACTTAACTAACAGAAGAACTTATAAACAATGTGTAGTGCGATAAGAAGGAAAATCCTTTTAAATGTTGTAATTTATATAAAGCATGAAATTTAACCCAAAGAATTTACGCTTATTGCTATTTCAAGAATCAAATTTGAAACCTTCCGGTTTAGTTAAAGAAAGTATTTACAGAATATGTATACACTTATTCAAACAGTATTACTAAAGTGTAGTAAGGAGAAGACGTGAGAGTGAAAAAAGGACTCAATTTGATGGAATTTTGAAGGGTTGCCGTGGTGTGAATTTACACAGAGACTCGGAGAAATTCTGTCATTTTGCAAAGGAAACTTTTGCAAAAAGAGGTATAGAAAAAAAATTGAGGGTTGTGCAATTGAGTATGAAAGCAAAAGTGAGGAAAAAACATATCGTTAAAGAGATACTTTATCTCAAGAGACACACAAGAGATCAAAAAATATGGTAATTAATGAATATGGAAGAGTGCTTTCCTCAAATTTTAACCAAAAAATAAAAACTATAAAATGTGATCCCACCATGAACAGTGACAGTGAATTGGAACAAGGGGAAGTAGGAAAATCGGCGAAAGAAGTAATTTTTCAAACCAAAGATAAAATGTTAACATTTTTACAAATTCATACATGAAGGTGTTTGTGCGTGAGGCAAGAAGATGAGTGAATTCTTGAAGACATGGAATTAACATTGGGGAAAATCATTCTCATTTGATATGCGACTCACCATGACAAATTGATAAGGAGGCGATAGAAAACATCAAAATCACTGTAAAAAGCAATAAATTTTAGAGGGTAAAGAAAGTGGGGGAAATAGCGGCGAATTTTTATATGGAAAACGTGAATATATACGAAACTCCAACAGAATGTGGGGTTATATAGGTAAAAGATGCTGATGAATGAATCTCCAAAAAGAGCCCACTCACCGAAATTAAGTCAAGTACCTAATTAAATAAAAATAGACTTATTACACAATACCAAATCAACAGAGAACATGAAGAATCACTCTGTGTGAGTCTAAATTCCTTAAGCTATCCTCCAAATTCCGTTCAAGTGACCAAGTTATTTGCATGTGTCCAAATGATAGAGAAAAAGTACAATTTCTCTAATTACACCTCAAATACAAGATAATTTTCACAAAGAAATATGCACAAAATAAGCAAATCCAGAGGAGGGAGAGAGTAAGAATAAATAAATTTGGCCTAATAATACTGCATTCGAGCATAACAAGAGAGGATGAAGAGGACGTAACAGTTCCAAATATGCAATACAACGATTCACGAGGTGACAAAGAGAAATAATACAAGGATATGGCATGTGGAAGAGGAAGAAAAACTATTGAATTTTATAGGCAGATCGTGACAATTCGCAAAATAATGCAATAATTATTTTATACGAATTTTTAAGAATATCATTGTAAATCCACTGAATGTTAGTCACACCCCCAAAAAAAAATGTCAACAGAAAACTGCTTATTCGTTGAAATAAACTGTTCAATGTCATCAGTAGGATGTTAGATGAATTCTTAGAGCTTATTAGACTTCTTGTTTGTGATGAGATTCAGGAAGAATCATTAGTGAAGATCTCAATACAGCAAAAATATCACGCGAATCTCTTTTCATTAAATTAATATATAATACCTATCAAGAATGCGTCAGTTTGTGTTGATGTGAAGAAAAAATGTCAATTCACATTTAGGAAAATAAATTATAATCGATTGGGCTCCGCATCAGCGCACTTTATGCTGAAATATGTAGGGGAAATTGTATGTGTAGCGTGTAATTAGTTAGAATAGAGGATTTCCATTTAACTGTCTTGCATCCATAATGCTTAAAAAAAAGATGTTGTTATAATTAAACTTTTTCTCTGAACTTATTATATCGTGACGTTAGTCAGATTTTTAGACGCGAGCGCACCCAAGAAAAGAACATAAATTCAAGCTTTTGATAGATGAACAAGGAAAACTTTGTCAGTTTAATTGATGTCATAAGGAATAGTGAAACAGAGAACTCATATAATTATACAATAGTTTAATGGTATTTACCTTCTCAAGCGTACGCCAGTGTCAATACGAGACATTTGAAAGAAGATATAAATGTATTTTTCGTGTTTCTCATAAAAAAATCAAGTGAATATTAAATAAAGAAATTCCATATAATTATAAACATAACACATTATGGCAAAAAAAATGAAAAGGAGGAGCGAGCAAATGCGTGCTGTCTACTTTTATCTTATCAGAATAAATAGTGAATTTATATTGTAATTTACTTCTGAATCTGTATTGAGTCGATTATAAGGCGTTTGTACTTTTTCCAATCAAATCATATACATTCACCTACACAACACAAAATGGTTGATAAAATATTATAAAACGCAGTTTTACTGGAACATTTCCAAAATAGACAATGTGAACACTGAAGCAAAATGGGTAATTTTTCTCATTGGATTCTCAAACGAACATCAATGTGATTACACAGTGAAATTTTATTTTAAAAATACAATTTCTTAAATCTCTCGTATTTTCTCATTTCACAGTTAAAATGTCTAAAATACACATAATAAATAGCGATATGGTGAAGTCATGCTAACAACATACGTCATATAAAACTACCAAAAGGGCGGTGAAGCGGACTCCAAGGCATCCTTGTGATTTATGGTGGAATTCTCAACTCACTTCGTCTTGAAGGACGTGGCCGGCTTTCGAGGCACTGGTTGACGCTGGCGCGCCAGGAAACTCTGTCCGGATCCACTGAGGAGTGCCATTCGGGAATCCATAGCATCACGCTGACGATCGAGTGCCAATTTGCAGAAGGCTGTCGTTATCAGTTGCTCCTCTCTCTGATTCATTCTGCTCGTGTGAACCTCTGGTTCCGGGTCAGATGACTTGCCTTGGTCCAGCAGAGAAACCTCATTTGCCAGTCGTGGATCGAGACTCTTAATCATCTCCTTGGTTTTCTCCACGCACTTCCTGTAGCGCGCCTCGGCAGCGGACAACTCCTGCTCGCGACTGGACAAAGCTGTCTCGAGCTGAGTGACTTTAGCTTGCAGATTGTTGACCTGAAGCTGGCTCTCCTCCACTTGTGACGCCCTCTGCTCATTGAGTTCAAGGGCCTGACGCAATTGCACCACCAGATTTCCCTTAGCGCTACTCTCATCCGTCTGGCCCTGAGTCAGTGTGAGAATCTTCTGGTTCGCCTGCTTCAGCTGCTCTCGCAATTTCTCTGTTCGCTGATTCGAGTCGTCCAGAAGTTGCTGAAAAATTCATTAATTTATTCCAACTGTAAAGCCTCATTATCAATCGGCTTACCGCCAATGCTGTCTGGCCACCTTGGCCCTCCCGCAGCGCCTTGTTCTCCGCCTCGAGTCGATCAATCCTGTCCTTGAGCGTGGGCGAGACGATTTCCCGGGAAATCGTGTTGGTAGAATCACTGGAGCCTTGAGTACACCTCAGCTCGTCGCAAGTCTCGCGCAGAGTGTCCCTCTCAATCAGTAAGTTCTCCTTCTCCCGCTGCAGAGCGCTGAGATTGGTATCCAAGTTGGTCAACTCGAACTCAATCTTGGCACTTTTGCTCATTTCCGTATCCAATTTGAGATGCAACTCCTGAATCTCCTTCTTGTACAGTTCAACTTGTCCCTTGAGACCGGAATACTTTTTCGAATCCTCCTCGTGCTGAATGTTCTGCCGCAGATACTCAGCACTGCGCTCCTCCAGCATTTTCACCTGCTTCCGGAGATCGCTGTGGTCCTCCAATTTCTTCTTGTACGTCGCCAATTGCGTCTCGTAGATCTTCAGCTTGTCATTGGCCTCTCGCAGCACATCAATTTCATCCTTCAGCTGACTCAATTCCACCGACGCTTGGTGCAGTTCGTCAACTTTCAGCTGAAGATTGAGAATCTCCTGCTCTTGCTGGCGAGACTTCATTTTGAAGTCATCACGCGCGGTCTCTGCCTGGAGTAGATCATCCTTCACAATATCCAACTGCCTTCGGAGCTCATTGTAGCGCGCTGACCCGAGTTGGACAGGTCCAATTGACGCTCCATCATCCCCAATCGTCAGCGGAGACTCAACTTTCTCCACCATCTGGTTGAGCTTTGTGATTTCCTGCTGCATTGTTGCCTTCTCTTCCAAGTGGAACGTAATCTGGCGTTCCATTTCGTGGCACTTCTGCGCAAGGGTGTCTCGCTCCTCTTGCAGTGCCTTCACGTCAAACTGCTGGATGCTGAGAGAGCTCCTGGAGGGTCCGGTGCCTTGCCAGACCTCCTCCAAGTCCTGCAGCGCTCGCATTATGTTGCGCTGCAGAGACTCCTCCAGTTCCATGATCTGTGTGATGTAGTTCTGCTTCTCTGCACAGTTCACAGCGCAGCCGAGGATGAGCTGAAGCAGTCTCGAGAGTTCCGTCTTGTCTGCCTTCTCGGCAATCCTCATAACATCTGGTTTAGCCACTTCCGACAGACTCAGACTCAGCACGTCGATGTAGTAGTCAAAGACGCCCTGAACCACCTTCTTTAGATTGCTCACCTTCAGCCTCCAGTTGTGCGGTACGTCTGTCTTGATCTTGGACAGCCAGGAATCTGTCCGGAGATACAGAAAACAAACACTCAGCCTACTCTAAATTGAACAACTTTCTCCTGCTCAACTCACCTGTGAAGTGTTCAGGAGCGATCTGATTCAGTGCCTGGGCCATTCTGTGGTATCCCAAAAACGCAGAGAAGACATCAATTAGTCAAAATAGTGAGATATGTGGCAGTAAGACATCAAAACACTCACGCGACGCCATCGCTCAGTTCCCGAGCATTTCCGTGGGCTCCACTCAATTTGAGACACTGCAGCCACTTCATCAAGCTTTCACACAATTCTACCTTTTCGTTTTCCATGTCGTAATTGATTGTTTTTATGGAAAAGTTATGAAATATCACACTTTTTCCGCCTTTCGACTGCGATGCTTGGCCAAGTGAAAAATATTATCAGCTGATTGACGTTCCCAATTCCCAATTGACACTTCAGATGCTGCCACCCCGTGGGGGAGTTTCACCCAAGCACCAAACCACTGGAATATTCCGATGGACTTCCACTCATTTGTCCACAGGCCAAGATAATTACAAGGATTTTACATTTTATTAATTTCCTATCACGTCAATTGGCATACAAATTTAATATAAAAATTGTACAAAATAATGGAAATTCTGCCTGCAGTCTAGCAAACATCCAATTCAACTTAACTCAACAATTTTATGCCTTTTAATATTAAAAAATTGTTATATCGATGAAAACTTTTACAAGAGAGAAAACTAATAATTGAATCTTCAATGTGAAGTTCTTGTAAAATCAATATGAAAGATTCTAAGGCACTACTATTCCAAATTACAATGGCTCGTAAAGTTGTTGTGTGCGAGGATTGTAAAGAAGCGTCGCGGATTCTGGGAATGGAAACTTGAAGAATGGGCTTTGAATTAGACTCATAATGGTGTCCTCGTCAACTTTCCCTCGCAGCATTTCTTGTGTAATTCTGATGTTGGCTTTAGATTTCAGTTTGTCCTTCGAAGGCTCATAAATTACAATTTGCTTGACACTCCTTTTGGGTGTCTGATTCCTGATCATTGTCGCGATCTTCTGCTCAATTTTTTTCTCATTCTGCTTCTTCTCTTTTTGTGGCTTCTTGTCGCCCATGTACTCCATCAGACTCTTATTTGGGCGGTTATAAACGACAGTTGAGTACGCAGTGACTGGAAACTTCAGGAAGTTGTCATCCTTCAGGGACTCTGCTATTTTCTTTCCCAGTTTCTCTTCTAGCATTTCCATAGTAATTTTCACTGTCTTTGCTGTAGCGCTTGCATCATCAGGCTGGTAAATGATGATCTCATCTGGATTTTTAGGACTCTCTGTCTTCTTGGGTGACTCTGGTTTCTTCCTCACAGGCGTAATAAAGACTTTTGATTCATTGTTGACCATCGGACCTTTGTCCTTCTTGGGATCATCACACTCAGATTCAGTTTCGGAGCCACTGCAGCAATCATTCAAGTAGCATCTCTTGCTCTTTCGTGCACTTCTCCTGCTCTTCCTTCGAGGGGATGTATTCTTCTTCTTTTGCAGAGGTTTTGCATGATCAATAGGGCGCTTCTGCCTGTTCGACTTCACAATACATCTTGAGCTGGGAGACATCGAGGGCGACACATGTCGAGTGATGGCAACTGGTGGCCACTGAGGCTGCTTATCAAAGCGCAAGAGGTCTGTATCTTGCTCCAGAAAGCAATACTCCTTAACGGTGACCATTCGCATGCGTGATTTGCTAAAATTTCTGTTCCTATTCGCCATAATGTACGCCGCAGTATCCACAGATGTTGCCGAATCGTTGGTGTTGTCCATCTCTATCTCAGTGGAATTGAAGTTACTCATACGGAATCGGCCACGGAAGTTGCTGGCGTCTCGGAATGCGTTCCCCATTTTTGCAGCGTTGCTCTGGAGCCAATCAGACACTTTCGAATGAAAATCCATCTTTTTCATCTGCTCGAACCACGAATCGTTTCTTCGCTGAATCAGTGGCATCAAGCAATCCTCATACACGGAGCGGGGCTCCCAGAAGCTCACTAGGGCCGTGTTCTCCTGAACTTCTTCAAAATTCTCAGATAACGCCCTATCCTCGTTATCACTCTCTTCTACATCATTTTCGACATCTTCACTCAATTCACTAAAATCCGCGCAATCTTCCTCGTCCTCCTCTGCGTTATGGTACCTCTGCAATAAGATAAAGAAGCAAGGGAGTGAGATTTTCCGGGATTATAAAGAACGCCGACAAACCTCTTCGTAAGATTTCCATCCCAGAACACGCTTCTTTAGAACATCACAACCTGGCAAAATATCATCAAAGCTGCAAAAGAAAAACACATTTTAGTAATTCAGGAGATGATAAGATGGTATTTTAAGACTATTACCCGTCGGTTTCCATGAGTTTTCGCGCAACAAATACCGATTTTCCGAGGGAAACTCAAACCTAAACAATGCACTGTCAACGCACGTCCTCTGATGGATCGGCATTTGACATTTCCATTGGAAAAATTCAAATTTGCAACGGTTGTTGGATTGAGATCTATGAAAGATTAAAAAAGGACGTTCATTACGAAATTCAGTTGTGGAAAGTCCATGTGAGAAGAAAAACTGGAGCTCTATCTTCTATCACCTAATCACACATTTTGTTTTCAATGATAATTGATTTTCTCAAAGTTTTCTTTTGTGTTTCTGTAATTTGCCGCAGAGCGCCGTACAATATTGCAGTATGAGCGCCGCGTAGCGGGTTTGAGTGGAATTGCAGGTGTCATTGAAGGCAGTTCCTGTTCGCACTTTTGCTAGAAAATGTTAGTTGAGCGTATGCGTTGTGAATGGACGGAATGCGGTCAGAATTGTTGAAAAAATAAGAGAATACTTACACAATTTGTACATTTTCGCTCCAAAATCCCTCCTCGGGATGGTTATTTATTGGAAAAGTGTGTGAAACTCTATGAAATTGTGTGACTCTTTGATGTGGCTTCCAGTGTCTCGTTCCGGAGGTGGAGTGTCAAGTGGCCAGGGAAACATCAAAGTTTGAGTCAAATTATCCGTAAGTGCACATTTCAATCAGATTAGGTCCCCCCAAGACGCCTCCTTCACCGTCACAGACAACTTGGGAGGCTCAGTGAGTGGGAGGATGGCAAGAATTGAGGGAGTTTTATTGCTCGCCAAGCGATTGAGGGCGTCTTCCCGGACTGCTTTAAAACAATTAAAAACCGCTATGCGTGTCCAGAACGCGACTTCCGGGCGAGTCTTGAGACTCCCCAGAACACCTGCTGACCACTTTGGATGGTGTGGAAGTGCCTGAGGCCATGAATATTTCGCAAAAAAGCTCGCATTCCTCCGCTCTCCAGCAATTTGGCCCATCTGGCGAGAGAAACGAGTCGAAAGGTGCTCGCCCAGAACGATGTCCATGCCAAACATCCCATGAATCACACTCTCAATCGTGTGACTAATGAATTTCTCCTCGAATCCCTCCAGACGTCAGTCTAGTGGATGTAGAGCTGAGATTCTAAAAGCGACCACAAGCCACAGTCGCGCGAACAACTCTTCAACAGTCGTCATTTGAGGTTTTTCTAGTGGTTGACGAAGAAACTCCTAATTGTTACTGTCCAATCTCACGAAAGTGGCGCAGAGATAAGAGACAGGAAGCTCGAGAGGAGAATCTGATAGTCTTATCGAATGTGGATTGGCACATTGGCAAGTGCTGCAGGCAAATACGGATTGATTCATCTAAGGAATGGCGCTATCAAGGGTTCATTGAACACCGGACACGTTTGTCGGTTTCTGCTGACTCTATGCAAAATTGTGTTTGAAACTTGATTCCTGATTTTCCTGGGTCATTCAATTTCCGTAATATGAATTTTTCGATGAAGCTCAGCTGTTCAGAAACTGAAGGCTTGAGAAATCGATAGGTTATAGGGAAGAACGGGGCAATTTCGGACACAAATTTTCATGTGGATTTGAGTTTGTGAGATTAAACAGACTAAACTCAGCTTTCAAGCAAAAAAATGCTTCTAAAATCTACTCTAAAATTTTGTCTACAATGTAGATATTTTCAGGTTGTGCACAATGATAAATATGTTCCGAATCTTCTTATACTTAATTTTCCTATTTCGCATAATTGATTTCTCTAATTCAGCTGTCATAAGGACCGATGTTGCTATATAGCTGCTCTGCGTGATAAGAATGCCTTTATTTAAAATTCAGTACGACGTCTCGAAGGCGATAACGATTATGTTCAAATTGATACTGAATTTACGTTAAATTTTCTTTTGATAAAGCTATAAATATATCAGTTTCAAGCTTAAAAGAATTATATAAGAAATTTATAAGCTTGTGCTCATGAGACGTATTTCAATCTTGGTAATTTTATCATAACAGATGTTCAATATCTATAATTATAAAGTAATATTATATAAAGAGTGTATGGTATTGATGTGTACTCTTACTTCATGTTTAAATGGGAGAGTAAGAGGCGTCGCATTAATTTTTATGTTCATTTCTGCACAGTGATTTTGTGTCTGAAAGTCTCCCGAAATTTGAAATCAAAATTAATCCCTGGATTTTCTCATTTGAGCTGCGTGAGTTTTAATTGCATGAGGTTTTGTGTGCCTGTGACTGTGAGTCTGGAAATGTTCAACCACTGAAAGTTTTCACTTCACCATCACTTTCCATCGTTGGTTGTGTGGGGCAGAGTCGTGACACTGGGTGTTAAACTAATTAAAAGTAAAATAACAGGTAGATTGAATTGGTTGTGGGAGGTTCTCCTGGTACTATTTTCCATCATCTCTGGCTTCCTCTCTTCTCTGCTTACATCGTGATTGTACGGAAGGTTGCAGGGAATATGAATTGACCCGAATAAATATGGGGATTGGATGGTGTAACCGCAGAGGACGATTTCTCTGCATTTATCGTCCTTAGACGTTGAGTGTGACTACCCTTTTTGCCGGATAATTGCCCGATAGAGATTGTCGAGAAAATTCCCTTGAGGCGGTTCTGGGTCTCGTATTCTTTTCATCTGATATTCCCGGGGACGTTTTCCAGCAAACGTGTGAGTTATTCCATTTATTGATCGCCATGACACAGCATGGAAATTATTTTAGGACTCGAAGTGCTGAAAAATGCAGAATCCACACGAATTCCTCATCTTAATAAATCATTTCCTCATTCAAGGGAGTTGTCATGTTAATTGAGAAAGTCTCCCACCAATATAACTATGATTTACAATACTTTTGAATTGTCATGCAGTGCTGTCGTTTGTGGCATTCTGAGAATAGTTCTTCTTGTAGTATAACACTTTGTGTTGAGCGTTTATTATAAGTTTAAATGTGATGAATTACTCACGCATGTGGAGTGCATTTAGAAAAGCGGAAGAAATTTTCATGAATGGAGCAAAAGTCAATTGTGTGAGTCCGATGATATCAACGACACTCAATTTGCCCAAATTAATTTAAATAAATGCTGAGATATGAGCATAAGAATTTGACAACTTCAGGCTATATTGAGATTGAGGAATGCTTTCAGTGTGTCAAATATCTCATGAGCAATATGAATGTTCTAATTGATTCTCGTGTTCAGTGTTGTGTCTTCTCTTGAGTTGATTTGCCAAAGATATTTAACATTCATTTCCTCTCATATTTTATTCAAGAAGACTGTTTACGTTGAGGCAAGATCTGTCTTTTTCAATTTTCTTCTGTGGAGAATTTCAGTCTAATATTGTGGGTAGGAAAAGAAGAGAGGTTCTTCACCTCTTTATCAAGGATTGTGATGAAACTTTTGTACTTTGGAGTCCTTTTTCCACAATTCATTGTTCACAGCGTGTACTATTTGAGATGATTGCTGCTCCTTTTGAAGTCAACATTGTGATTTTCTGTCATTTTTCCATTCTTCTGGGTAATTTTCCCACAGAAATGTGAATAGGAGAGCCTGAAAGGCTTTGCGCAGAGGGACTGAATGTAATCTCCACAATGATAATTACAGTGAGTTGTTTAAACACTGTGAAGGGAGTGTATATGGAAAATATAGCCATCAATTGTGATATGTTTGAGAGGCTTTCAACCCTTTTTCCCACCAATCCCAGAAGGATTTTTATCAATATTCTGGTAGAGAGTCCGCATATCTCTTGAATCGGGCTCATAAGGGATGAAGGATAGGTTTTTTTCTGCCACCCTAAGCAGAAAAATCGAAAGATGTTACATATATTGATCAAGTTACCCTTTTTCTGGGCACAATTTTTGTGTGTTGTGTGTTGATTTATTTAAGTTATTCTGGGCAATTGCTCATTGTGCAGTCACTGGCCAGAGCTTTCCAGAAGTGTCTCCCGAAGGAAGGCAATGTCACTTTCGATAATGCCTGTGGGAGAAAATTCCACCAATGTGTTGGTTTCCTATCGATTTCAACATAAACTTCCACCCTAAAATCCCTCTTAAATTTCACATTGGGACTTTCCATATTTTCACACTGTCGCAGACACAAATTGCTCTTAAAGACTCCTCTGGGAATTTATCAGACACTGAAAAATTCTCCAGACCGAATTTATACATTATCCTTTTGTGTGCAATATTTTAAAGTCAACCACAAAACATTGGGTGTTTTTAGATCTCACATAAAATAGTAAAGAAAATTTTCCAAAACCATAGAGTGATTCAGTGATTGAGATTTTGAAATGACATATAATATTTTGTGAAGATTGAATTTTTTAATTAAAATATTATGAGGATTTTTTTTTCCATTGTGTCTTGTTATCATTATTCACAGCAGAATTCTATCACATCAATTCATCACATTCTACGATGGATTTGCTGATTAAATACAAGGAGGAGAGTTGCAAAATCTCCCTCCGGAACGATTCTTCCCCTTAAGTGCGTGAAACTTGAGTTTCTTGTCTGTCTTCCATTCTCATTCCCCCCAAATGCGTAGATTGCAAAATAATTGTGAAAAATGAACTCTGCTGTGCGCCTCGGCACTTCCTCCCCACAATATTTTATGTACATATTTATGTATGTATTATGGAAACTATGGCTCACAATAGAGAAAATAAATAATTTGCAATACATATATTTGAAGCAACGTCGAAGAGTGCACTCAGTCGATTACTGGTGGATGAAAATGACGTAAATTGCAGGAAAGCGATGGTGAGACGCCTCCATAGGATTTAATTGAATTTGATGATACAATTTTTCCACTATGACTTTGTGACATTATTTTATGACTATAACACACTCCCGAAGAATGTGGGCAAGCGACATATTGTAATTCACAATCTTTCTTCAGTTGAAGTACACATTGCAACGAAATCAGGAGTCTCGGCGGGAGCTAATATGACAAATTTGACGGGTGATTCATTGTATGGTTCGACAGGAGCATGATAATTGTTTGATAATATCATTGAAACCACGTGCTGGGGCGCTTCGCGAAGGTTCCTTTGCTCTCGTTTTTTTTTCTTACTTCTTTAGTATTCCCCCCATTTTCCTTGTTTCAATCATTCATCAGCATGATGTCTGCTGGACTTGCTTTATATTGCTCCAGACCAGAGAGTGATTCTCTTAAGCTCGATTACTCAGACATTCGCTAAATGAATGAATTGAATGAATGAACGTGCATGTTGGGTGTATTTGTGAATAACAGCAATGACTTTGAGTAATTCTATATTGCTGCTTTTCGCCTTCTTTCCCTCCCGAAAAAAAGCAGAGGAAGACACAACCACATGATTTGGAGAATAAATGGAGTAAATGGTAGGGAGAGAGAGAGAGAGAAACGCAAAGTAAAGAAGCAGATCTTTCTTTGAAAAAAGAACTTCCATCCTCTGCGAATGTCAGTGAATCTTCACTTGGATTATTATCAATTTCTGAGATCCATGGCGTGGATCAACTGTTAAAAAATCCCTGGAGCGTATCTCACATGGATTGTATGTCTCTTGGAGCATTGCTCACAATTTGCGTTACACCTTTTACACCCATCTTATATACCTATGCTGTGGAAGGCCTTTTTACAGCCGGTGAGGTGAGAGATGATGGGGAGAAGAAGGTATGAGATTCTGCTTGTGAGATTGTAATTTTATTAACATTTTTCCTCCCTCTTTTACGTGGATTTCGCCGTTTCATCTTCTCTGCATTAAGTTGATGGGATATGTGCTATTGGCATATCTCTCGATGTTTTTCTTTCACAGAAGTTTGGTTATTCTTATCACTGCGACACACTGCATCGCATTCTCCATATCTTAACTTTCTGCTGTGTAATAATTCATATGTTCGCAAGTTGCAGTTCAAATTTACTTTATATAATGCCAAATTGTGAGGTAAAATGCCCATAAATAAGAATTATTGTGTCACTTTGAGAGCGGAAAGAGCGATTTGTATTGAAGATAGAAATGAAGCACCCGAATGAGAGTGAAGACGCAGGTTTTTCTCTCCTGTTCATAAATTATTCAACGGAACATTGTTAGAATATATTGTTCTTCCTCTTTTTCTGAACCACTTTTTTGGCACTCATTCCCCGGTTCTATTTTTCTCAAATGGTTCGCTGAAAGTTAAGCGCGAATGTGTGCGCCTCACAGTGTTTAGCGAAAAAGGAGTGCGAAAAAGAGAAATTAAACTGTTTTCACATAGGCAATTATTTGCGCCAAAAATGAATCGCACATTTTTGCTCAGGATGAAAACAAGCGAGAGAGAGAGAGAGTTAAATGTGCCATACACTCTGCATGGTTGAGTTTTCTGTGATTCTGGTGCTAAAGGAACAGTTAAATTGCTTCCGGGACACATTTTTTGTGCAATACAACACGAAGGAAATGGAAAGAGATAAACTGCAAATATTAGAGATGAAATCCTTTGTAACCCGAAAGCAGGGGATTGTGATTGCTAATCTTGTCCTTTGGTATGCACAAGAGTCTTTCTTCCTCTCTTCTATCGTGTCGCATGCTTGAGTCATGCGATATATTGGTCGTGAGGAGCTCAGTGACAAATAGTTTATACTTCATTCGTATAAATATTATATCACAGCTCTGCCAGGCAGCACGGCAATTACACGGACTGGATCATTTTCCTCCGTCCCAACCAGAACTGTTAACCCTTCACATCGAATGATCTCTGGAATTTCTGTCGGACGAGTCACGAGTGGTGTTCACCTTTAGATCTTAACATGTCAGTGAAGAGATATAAACTAATCTCTGTGAGTAATTTCACGGGTTGTCTTTATGCTTTATGTGAGTGTTTATCGTGTTTATATTTTTGTGTCACTCATACTTGCCTTACCGCAAAACTTGTCAATCTCGCCAATGATTCCACGGTGATTTGCAAAGTTACAATCATGTCTGGTTATTTAGCCAGAGTCAACAAATACTTGAAGTAAGAAAAGAAATCGTGAAAATCAAGTTTTATTTTTTTATCATAAAATTTTTATGTTGAAAGAATCTTTCTTGAAAGTAATTAAGAGAGAAAAGCATATTCCCTCAAAGAAGTTCATGAAGTGTGGGTGCCTTCAATGGTCTCTTAATTATCTATTTCATCGTGATAATTTGCTTACAGTGGGTTTCAGCAGGAAACCACTTCATCAATGTCCACAGAGAGAGGGTTAACGGGGCAATAAGTGTAAATTTTATCAATGAAAGCAAAAAGAAAAGCGAACGATTGTTTGCACTTTGCTTCTGGGTGTAAATATTCGAGTGTGTGTTTTTCTTCTGTTCGCGTAGGAACGCGAGAGAGAAGACAGAGAGGGAGAGCGATAGAAAGAAAGAGAGGAAGATTAAGATAAAAATTGGCGTGTGCTAAGAAGGTGGAAATAACAATTGCTTAATTCATATCTTACCTCTCTTGCGAGGGGGAGTAAATATAGCAAGTAATTCATGGGTGAAAGTCAATTTGACGTTAAATTTTCGCGAAAGAAAAAGGTGTGAATGCGTGAGTGAGGCAGGAATTTAAATGAAATTCCTTTTTATTTGATCTCTTTTGCAGAACAAGTGATTCTTTGTGGGTGTGAATCACAAGGAAAAAGTGTCACCGACATCCGCAGACGCTTTCTGACCCAGATAAGTCGACAGAAGAAGTGACTTGAGAGAGAGATAGGAGAAAAATGCTGGCGGGAATTCGCGTTGTTCGTGGACCGGATTGGATATGGCAGAATCAAGGTGAGTTGCAAATTATATCCCTATATCTGCCTTTCTGATATCTAATGATGCACGTTGGAACAAGTTTGAACTGTGAATTGGACTTGAGGAACACCCACCCTCACGATTATGACCCTCTAAAGTGCTTAGGGGCAGTTTTCCACTTCACCACACACCCGTGGATAGATGGTTTTCTGGGGATGATACAGCAATGATGATGGTTGCGAATAGAAGTGGTGCCGCCCCTATCGCGATGGCATTTCGATTTGATAGTGATGCCATGGCGTGAGGGTGAGTACGTGCGATGGGGAGTGAGAAGATGATACCACATGAAATTAGCGAGTGAGTCTGCCTCAGAGGTTTAATCGATCAAGCACATATCCGCCACCTCCGCAAGTCTGGGTATTTTGCTCTCACTGCGAGTGCTGGAAAAGGGCAGTGACTCTTGTTTGGAAGATAGATTTATGTGGAGGAGGATTCTCTCTCCTTCACCACAAACAATATACCGAAAGGCATTCCCTCGTCGTTTCGTCGTTTTTTTTTTCTCTGCACATCGCAGCGAGACAGAGATATTTCTTTCCACCCAGGCGCGTATTTCCATATTTAGACAACAAAAGTAACATTGAATTGTAATTTCTTGAATTTTCATGGGGGTGACCTTTTTTCCTTTACCCTTCACCACATGTTTGGGGCTTTTTTTGCTTTGACGCTTCACCCCCATTCTATTTGTGGGATTTTCAAAAGAGAAATATTCGGTGGCAAGAACAAAGTGCGAATGCGATTGTGTTTTCGGGAAGCATTTAATTTCCGTTTTGAAGAAGATACAGGAAATAAATATTGACTAGCATATACAAAATCAACACTCTGTTTCATCCAACATTTAAATCTACATTTAATTGTAATTAGGGAAAAAATGTCATCACTATTAATGAAACACAAACCATGTGGAATATTCTATTTTTAGCTTCGTTTCCACAGATAAAAATATGTAAATTGAATTTAAACATTTGGAATGTCTAATGGGGGAAGTAAATGCATTTAGGGTGGCAATCTTTTGTCAATTTACCGTAACATTTGATTTCCTCGCGAGCGAACAAGGAAAAAGATAAGCGGAAACTGAAGACAGAAAAATAAATAATAAAATATGCCCTCCCTTTTGTCATAACCAGTAAATCGATGCAGAAAAGAGTTCATTATCCTCAGTTTGTTCTTACCCGTTTGTCCCAAAGCCGTCTCAAACGTAATAATGATGCATTGTGTCCTAAAAATAATGCAATTCGCGGAGGAGAGAAAGAGAAACACACTATGTAGCGAAGGGAATTGCATCAGAGATCCTTCAACTTTCCTTGCAAATTAATCGTGAGTCATCGTCGAGGCTATATAGGGTTAAATGTTGAGCACCGCTGTTGTACATCATCAAATTGGTACGTCTCAGCAAATAAAACTATCCCGCGAAATTCTGTTTAATAAGAAGTTTAACAAATAGATTACGCTTCACGCCAGAGGACTTGCCATCTCGACTTCGTTGTCAGTTTCGAGAATATTTTCCCTCATTAGGTTTGTCTTCTGTATTTTGTCGCGAAGACACGACATTTTATGAGCGGAGTGAAAGGTAGAGTGTGTGAGTGTCTTTCACGGGGTGGATAAATTGATGGGTGGATGAGAAAGATGTTTGGTAGTGGGGAAAGGGAGGCAAGATAGATGGTGAAGACATTTGTGCTGTTATTCTACGAGAGTTCACAGCTTTTGTGTTTGCTAGAAAGATGAAAATTTGTTCATAGATCAGTTTGATGGGCGAAAATGGTTTTCTCTCAATAACTTTGTCATTTGATAAAACACATGATAATGTGAAGTGAGACGTAAAAACGCAAAAGCAATATTCACTTGAGCTTTTCCGTGAGTTTATTTGCATGGAATCACAGCTCCTGTGAGTCTGTGCGCTAGGCTGAAAGCTTATCAAGCGTTTTGGTCTTGTTTCTGGGTGTGACAAGGAGAATTCTTTGAGCCTCTAGCAAGGAGGGGACGGGAAGTGGATATAAAAGGGGGTCTACATTTCGTGTGGCATTATAAATAACACCGCATGACAAGAAGTACATGGAAGGAGCGAGGAGAGGGAATTTAACTACACAAATTTAACATGGGAAAATGTATGAGTGAGATGAAGATTATTTCACCAAATATCGCTCCATCTCACTTTGATCTTGAGAAATGCTCTCGCACCAGAGTCTTGCAAAGGGAGAAGTTGTGGAATGGGAAGTGCAGTGAGTCAGAGGCAGTGAGACACCAAAGAGGCGTGTGCAGCTCACAAATCGCCCGAAAATTCCCTTCTGTGTTATATTGGACGAGAGGGAGACAAAAAGGAAGTTTGATGAACTGACTTTCAAGTGATTGTGCCAGAAACTGAAGTGAAAAATTTTTTACACCCTCCATTACACATCTTTTCTCCCCTTTTGGTCCTTGGCTTTTTTTGTCGGGTGACTCGCAATTGAAGGGAAATGCGAAGAAAGGCGCGATCATCATCTTGGTGACTTCCTCAACGTTTTCTGCTGATGAGTATAATTCCAGGCACTTTTTTCTTCATCCTTAATTGGTTAATTTACATAGAGTTTCCTCAACTGGTGGGATATTCCTTCCCAATTAATGTGGGGCAAAAGTTTTGTCATTCAGTGAGTTTTGGGTGAAAAGAAGTTGCGGAGGAGAAAGAAAAGAATAGCGCAGAAGGAAAGGAAAAAATTACCCTCAGATAGAGTGAAGAAAAAACTTCCTCTCCAGCGACAGCATTTGAGATGTTTTTCCTGCCAGCAATTTCTCTGTGCTGGGGTGCGAAGAAATGTAAACGTGAAAAATTTTAACACCAGACCACGCAGAGAGAGAGAAAACGTGAGAGTGAGGAAATGTTTGAGGGGACAAAAAAAGACGTGTTCGCAGTGGTGGATGTGAGGAAAAATGCGTGAAAATTGCTTGGCGCTTCAAATGTGGAAAACGTGTGAGTGCGGCGGGGATTCTAAGGTAAAAAGAATCAGGACACATCTGGGTGAAATTGTGATATTGATGCTGGAGAATCGACCTAATTTTCCACTCACAGACTTCAATGTGGCATTTGAGGAATCTTTTGTGCCATTCATACCGTCTTATGGCAGATATTTAAGTGAGAGAATTTCAAATAGGTGACCTCTTTTAACCTCTCATCTCCTTCTTTCAGTTCAACTTATTTTGTGCACAAAGTTGAGAATATATGTACAAAATCCTCAATAGATCTATACTTGACATGAGAATATGATTAAATACACAATAAACTCTTTGATTTATAGAAGACTCAATGTCTATGTCAGAAGTTTTTGGGTATTGATTAAGTAGAAGGGTTGAATTTGAACATGTGCTTTACCACAGAATTTGAACTTAATTTGTGGTTTTGAAATGCTTTCATCTTTTGTCGGGGAATTAAAGGGAACATCCGGAACATCGAGAGATTTTAAATATTCCCTCGAAGAGTGGTAACATTTACAGAGTGTCTTGTGTAAATTAAATTTCGAGTGAATTGATTAAAAATGTATGATGGTGACAGTAGTTTCTCTCGTCATTCTGAAAGCTTTTAATTACGCTTGCCTTAATATTTAATTTTGTCAAGAATTTCTCTCTGTCTCTCTGCCAAAATATCCTGTTGTAGAGTGACAGTCATGGGATATTGATCTACTCTTGGCGAGGATGTATCCAGTCAGCGGCAATTTCTTTGCCAGATATGGAGAATTAATAGAGAGCCAGTGGAAGATAATTGCTCATTTTATTCGTGTAATATGGCTATAAATGCTCGCATTTGCACCCACAGATCATTAATGGCGAGGTCATTGTGGGTGAGACTGGTATTTTTGCTGATGTCTTGCGTCGCTTTGCTATTGAAATTTATGAGTTGGGTCTGCTAAAATTTTTTCTCAACGCTGTTCCTTGATATAAATTAGTTTGATTTCATATCACACTCAAATATGTGAGTGTTGTAATTTATTTACTGCAATAGTTTAGTAAATTGCTGGAACTGTGCAAAAAATGACTGTGAAAAGGGACGTGTTTTTTTTACACTGCGAATTGCAAAAATGTTTGGGGCGTCGGAACGGCGAATGAAAGTGAAATTGTCAATAATTCACGAGATCACGAATATGCTCATTCTGGCCACCTTGACATGCGGAGTGGAATAAAAAGTGAAGTAAATTCACGTGGTTTAAAGGTTGGAAAAAGACCAATTTGAGGGTGTAACTGCGTGGTGTCCGATGAAAATAAATTTAGGGTGAGATTTGAGTGAATATCGTGGGACTGTGTGTGTCCTTGTTGCTGTTGGAGCAATAATAATTCGATATTAATATGATTTTGGGGTGTATGTATACATGTAATTTTTACAACCCTCTCTCGATCCTCCACCTCTGAGCATTGAGGGCATCGGGAGTTCTAGCGTGGGCGGCGTGTGGAGGGCGAAAAGAAACGTAAAATTGTCACGAGGGGTTGCTAAGCAGTTTTTGGATGGGAGGGTGTGTGTGTGTTTGTGTGTGGAATTGATTGTATTTTCAGCGAGATTTGCGTGTCAATTGTTGGTAATATTGGGTATAAGAGGGAAAGAAGTGTAATATGGGATATTCACGTTTCTCTGGTCGCGATGGTTGTATTGTTACTTTAACTAAATTGTAATCAATAGATTGAGGAGAGGAATCTCCCCTTCTGGATCCCACTGAATGTCCTCTCTTTTGCTTCTATTTTTAGATGGGGGTGAAGGACACGTGGGCACAGTGTGTGAAATTGGACGATCCGGTTCAGCTCATTCGCCAGAGAAGACAGTCGTTGTAAATTGGGATTCTGGCCATCGGACCAATTACCGAGTTGGCTATCAGGGTCAATATGATTTAATTATTGTGGATAATGCGCAAATTGGTGAGTTGACTTGGCCATTTGGGCTGAATTGTCTTTGAGTTTTAATCAATTTTTGCTCCTTTCCAGGTGTAAAACATCCAAATATTATCTGCGATGGATGCTCAAAAGTTGGAATAGCCGGCATTCGATTTCGCTGTGCTCAGTGCTCGAATTTTGACTTATGCTCTGCATGCTATGGCAGTGATATTCATGATTTGGATCACTCATTCATCAGATACCAGACAAGCAATTCAGTCGGGTGAGCAATTATTACACTCATACACTATATAGACGTAATACTGCACTATCCAAGTTGATATTCTAGTTAACTAATTAAAAATCACATATTTGCCATAAAATGCATTCAGTTTATAGTGTTAAAAGTATGTCAAATATCCTTCATTATTGATTACTAAAGATAACTATAGATTAATCAATTTGATGTGTTAAATCTATGATAACCTACAACTCTGATGGCATATGACGCACACAAACCAGAATCTCTCTTACACTTCACAACCAATGAACAAAATGCATCCAAAATTGAGCCAAAAGTCCTTATTTTGTGCAACTGAAACCGCCCATGGAGTGATTTACTGATGTTGAAGCAAAAATCGATTGTGTTGTGTCAGAGAAAAGACCGCCAGTCGCGACTTTTTTTTATGTTCCATCATCCCATCTATTTCAATTAGAGTTGTTTGTGTGTAGTGTTTCTTTTTGGCACTTTTGGATGATGCACTAACGAGGAAAAATCTACAAGTCAAATAAGAAGAAAAATGTGTGATGATTTTAAAAGTGCAGCAAGAGAGTTTAATCCAATTGAATTGATTAAGTCTAGACACACCCAAGGATGAATGCAAAAGCTTTGGAAAGATAACGAGTGTCGTCTGAATGGGACAAATTGGGTGAACGTGTGCTTTTGGAGGTGGAATTTTTTTTTCCTGCTTTGTGAAATGAATTAACGAGGTTTGCTAAATGGGGAATAATTCACACAAATTTGTGTGGAACAGAGCATGGACAAAATCACATTATTAATTCCATAAATGAATGAATAAAATGCAATTAAAATATTCTATGTGATGCTGCCATGAATGGAGAGACATTAACGATATATCGAAAGTATGCACACACAATGGGTAGTAAAATTCAATCGTAAAACAATATCTATCAATTCTTGTGAAATAATCACAGTTAAGTGTCTCATATTTGTTGGACTTTAATGAACTTTTCACTACTTAAACCGCCTGAAATGTGTCCTACGAATTAACCCTCGGAATGTATTTGACCGAAGAGTCAACCATTATAGTAAACAATTTGTACCAATCATTGTTCAATGGTATTGGAGTAGTCATTAGGAAGACTATTAGAGGTTTTATCGATGCGTTTAAAATTCATATGTGTGCAATGACTATGATAAAGTGCGTGTGATACACCTCAAGTGCACACGTTTTACTCCAAGAATTTTATTTTGATCATCATCCTTGTCTACTATGATGGCGTGAAAGAGAAATTAAGATGTCTGTATTTGAAAATTTTGCAGTGTCCGATTGCCGCCACGTGAGAATGCGGTGAAGATCGAGCTGAAGGGGATCTTCGTGGGTGCTAAGGTGGTACGAGGAGCTGACTGGGAGTGGGGAATGCAGGACGGCGGCGAGGGCAAGACGGGACGTGTGATGGAAATCCGGGGCTGGGACAATGAATCGTGTCGCAGTGTGGCAAATGTCTCGTGGGTCTCCGGATCCATTAATGTCTATCGACTGGGCCATCAGGGCAATGTGGATCTGAAGTACTTGCAGCCGGCGAGTGGTGGATGGTACTACAAGGATCACATGCCAGTGTTGGGTCAGATAGATGAGCAGAAGTCCACAACTGTGCCAGCACTCAAGACGACTTTCACCGTGGGCGATCGCGTGAAAATCTTCATGGAGCTGGAGATGCTGAAGAAGCTGCAGAAGGGACACGGTGGCTGGAATCCCAGGATGGCGCATTTCATCTCGAAAATTGGCATTGTGCATAGAGTGACTGACAAGGGAGATATTCGGTGAGTGTGTTTGTTTATTTTGCACCTCACACATGACATGACATCCCTGAAAATCCTCCATACACTCTAATTTTGCAGTGTTCAGTATGATGGCTGCACAAATCGATGGACAATCCATCCGGCGGCCCTCGTGAAAGTGTATAATGTTGGTGATCTAGTTACGATAATTAATGATATGGCTCAAGTGAGGCATCTGCAAAAGGGTCACGGCGAGTGGACCGACGCAATGAAGCATGTAAGAGGCCATCTCTCTATCTTTTTTCCTGTTAATGATGATTGGCTTTAGCATTAGTGGTCATTTAAATGTCAACTCTCGGTGTGTTTGTACTTTACAGGCGCTCGGAAAGACGGGAAAGGTGATTAAGGTGTACGATGACGGCGATTTGCGCATCCAGGAGCTTGATAACGGGCCCACGTGGACGCTGAATCCCAAGTGTGTGCGTCTTGAGCGCTCCACTGGCGGTAATGTTGCCGAGCGATCTAATAGTATGATGGATTTGAGTCACCAGAGAATCGACCATGTCATGCTGCCACTGTCCGGACTGTCGGGATCATCGGCCGTGGACAGATTGGTGAGGGATGCAGCACAAGGGAAGCTGGAAAGTGTTCAGTTCTATCTCCAGTGAGTATGGCAGGGAGAGCAATTAACTGACAATTTATGGGTGGGGGCTGAGGGAGAGTTGCTTCCAAAAATTCCTCACGCGCCTCAATATATATGAATTTAATTGCAATAACTCCTCTGGGCTCTTGCAGCTCTCACCCTGAGCAAGTGGACGTGATGTCGGGCGGGAAGACGTGCCTGCAAGTGGCTGCACACCAGGGCCACATAAATCTCGTCCGTTACCTCCTTTCTGTGGGCGCCAACGTGAATATGGTGGATAAAGAGGGAGACTCCACACTCCACTATGCCGCCTTTGGCAATCAACCAGAAGTGATGCGTGTCTTGCTGGATCATGGGGCCGACATCAACATCCTCAATGTCACACACTGCTCGGCACTTCACATTTCGGCGCACAAGAAGCCACCGCACTGTGTTAAGGTAGCAGAAAAAAGGGTCACAATATGAAGAATATTGTCCACTGATGTCCTATTAATAGAAGAAATTAAGGCTCAAAGATGATGGTGATGTGAACATTGCTTTTTCTTCTATTCAAGGTATTGCTGGAGTTTGGAGCTGATGTGAACATCCAGGATTCGTACGGTGACACAGCTCTGCATGATGCTATTGGCAAGGAGAATTCAGAGGTGGTGGATTTGCTCTGCAACGCCCAGAATCTCAATTTGAACATCCGCAATAAGAGGGGCTTCAATGCTCTTCATCATGCTGCCCTCAAGGGTAATTCACACGGCATCCTCAGGATTCTACAGCTCGTCCGACAGACAAATGTACAGTCAATGGTGGACTTGGTGAATCTGAAGAAAGAGGATGGGTTCGCTCCGCTCCACCTTGCGGCCCTGAATGGACACGCGAAAGTTGTGGAGGTGCTGGTGAAGGATGGCCAAGCCCACATTGACATCCGCAATAATCGGCGTCAGACACCGTTCCTACTCGCCGTGTCGCAGGGTCATGCTGCCGCCATTGAGACTCTGATCGATTTGGGCTGTGATATTTTGGCAAAGGACGAGGATGGCGACAATGCAATGCACCTGTGCATCATCAAAAAGTCCAATTTGATACAGGAGGTGCCTCAGCTGGAGGCGCCCAAGATTTGGGACATTTACCAGGAGTTGAGTCACATTGCTGAGAATAGACTCATGTACACAATTTTGTGCTTCCTGTCCAAGATGGGGTGTCGCAGTGAACCGAATTACAAGGGGACGCACTTCTTCGACTGGATCACTGACAAGAACATGAGAGACCTCATTGGGAGCTACGAAGGCCAGAGGAGACAAATTCCTGTGCCAGCCGAGAGGAATCTCGCGGGTGGTTTCGATGCTAATCCCGATCAAGTGTACTCCAATGTCTCTCAGACTCTGTCAACGAGTGGTGGTGCCACTGACAACAGTGTAAGTATTAACCAAAGGCACTTTGAGTGTGTAAAATAGTTTTATCTAATTGGCACCTTCATGACGATGATGAAAGTGTCCCAACATCAAAGTATTCTAATGGAATTCACTTACTTTTGGGGAATTTCGCATGAGAGCACTCTTGCTTTCAACAAAAGTTTGGTATTTTTTTTTTTACTCAAGAGCACTCAAGTTTGCGCCTCTAAGGCTGCCGATTTGGTAATTAATTAAATTCACGGTGAATTAAGCAACAAGTGAAAATCCAGTTGTGTGAACACATCTAAATCCGGTGAAGGAGAGAGAAATGTTCTCTAATTGATGCGAAATGGGATTTATATTGTCTGTGAAACTTTGACTCAATTAATCAATGAGGAAATTGGATTGGCTTCTTTTGACGTTGTTTTTCAATCTTCCGCAGCAATGTAGCAACGATCAGGTGGCCAGTGAGTCTTCTAGTCAGCCAACAGCGGCGGAGGGGGATGTGGTCGTCCCGCCGAGCACCCCGGCACGTCGTCATCGTGCTGGGAATCGCGACACGTCGACGCCGAGTCCTCAGCTGGCCGCCCAGACGGAGCCGGAGGAGGCGGCGCCCCATGTAGTGCCAAAGAGGAACAACACGGACGCCAGGAGTACGCCTCCGCTGCCGCCAATGAATCGCTTCCGAGCCGTGTCCCCGCCCGCGGGTCATGACTTGCCAGGGACATCTAACAATCTGTCGGCTGCCGGCGGCACTGAGCCGGGCGTCGGGGCAGCTTTCCACAGCAATCTCACTGTGGGCGACGCGGGACGCGCTTCGGCGGCATCGCCCAGTCGCCTGGCGTCCAATGCGTCGGGCTCCTCGACGTCCGGACGGCACGTGAGCCGGAAGCAGCTGAACAATGCGGCGCCGACTCTCAATGTGGCACCCGTGCCGCACACGGCCAATCCGCAGGAGTGCATCGTGTGCAATGAAGTGACGGCACTGATCATCTTTGATCCGTGCTCGCACCAGATCAGCTGCGAGGATTGCGGGCTGCGCATGAAGAAGTGTCTGTCGTGTGGAGTGCTGATTGAGCGACGGCTCACGTTCAACGGGCGACTCGTGACAACCAAAGACGCCGCGAGGCAACCGTCAGCGGACAGATTGAGATACCTGGAGAGCAAGATTCTGGAGATTGAGGAGACGCACTGCTGCAGCATCTGCATGGAGAGGAGGCGCAATGTGGCCTTCCTGTGTGGCCACGGGGCCTGCTCGAAGTGCGCCGATACTCTCAAGACGTGCCACATGTGTCGCAAGACCATTGTAAAGAAGATTAACCTTTACTGAACGACAGGGTGGCGTGGAATATTTGCCAAGTACTACTCTTCCTGCATTCAATGACTATATAGGCAATTTGTGTTTTCCGCACCTCCCAACTTTTACTGCCCAGAGAGAAACTTACAAATACAGTGAGGTGTCAATAGATTTTTTTTTCTTACTTTCTGATTGACATAGACAGTGTAATAGCAATTTCTGAAATATGATATATCTCTTTGTAATCCGTGTAACATTGAAGTATAAACCATAAGATAATTGAGAACAATCACACTGACCACAAACTTTCTATAACTGCGTAGTTTTTATCTACTGGACCTTTTTCTTACTGCAATAGTACACTTATAGATGAGAAAAAAAAGAGAATTTAGCAGACAAAATGCCCTTATTTTCTTAAGAATTCGGGAAAAATACAGATTTGTAGTGAAGAGATTTGTCTATTTTGTATTGTGGATTTATATGGGATAAAGTGAGAAATAAGAACGGCAAGAATAAAGATTCAATTTACAGGAAAATCCGCAATAAATGATCCCCTGTCGTGAAGGAATTATAGTGAAGAAAAAAGTGAAATATTTAAATGGATTTACTCTTGTAGCTTACTTTCTTTTTATGTACATAAGGAAAGTATATCGTGAATTAAAGTTTTCATCACCTAGTTTGAATTCATATCTTTTAAATTAAATATCTTTTAAAGCTGTCTCTCTTATAGTTGTGTTTATTTCAAAATGATTTTGTGTGTTCCATACATTTTTATTTATTCTACTTCCCCATGAAATGTAACCAATGATAAAGAACATAATCATGTTAAAAGTATATTACAATTAATATTGTGTAACAATTGTTCATAGTTTAATTTGTTATGAGAAATGCTGATGAACTGTATCAAAATATCATGAAAATATAATCAACCACTATTTATGAATCCAATGTGTTTCAATCTGTGTTTCATGTTTCACCTAGGTGATGATTCGAAACATTAAAGCTCGCTGCATATGCTGCATTGTAACGACTCAATTTTCTGAAACACGAGTATGTCTGGAATTTATGCATATTTATACAACAAAACCATACATTTCCATTCCATGGGTCGAATATTTTAACAAGAACATATTTTTCAGAAAAGCAACAGCCTGATATAATCAATAGAGAAGATATTTAGGTCAAAAGGAACATTAAGGCAAAACTCTTCGGCAATTGCCCAATTCATCCATTTCGCTTAACTTAACTTCGAGATAAGCGATTGTCCTTCAACTGGATCCTTCCAATTGCCTCTTCTATCTCTAGACTACATGGTGATTTTCATAAAATTCTCCAATGTTCCTCCGCAGAGAGATGAAAATCTTTTGAATTATGAGCATGAGTAGGAATGAGGCCTAGTACAAAGACTAATCAATATTTACAAGATTATTGATATAATCTAATTACTTGTCGCTCCGCACAATTATTCTAGTGAAAGTCAAGTGATGGGAAGTGGCGATAAGACTCCTAATGCAGTGGCAATAGCACGTGTTGAGATCAGAAATCATATTTTACAATTGAAAGTGTTCGTATGAACTCGCAAACATCGATAAAGCGTGTGGAGAGTGCAACCGAGAGGAAGACAAACAACTTGTTGCACTTTTATGTGATGGCATTCAATTGGCAAGGCACTGACGCTCCTGCAAATTCGTACAAAAGCGGCATTTTATCTGCTATTGCATCATAAAATTGTTTACTTGGACTTCAAAGTGACGAATGCACTTCACGAATAACAGCTTGCCGGCCGAGTGGCAGGGTTAATCTTTCACATTGAATGCTGTGCCTTATCAGCGAGAATATTCCCTCTCCAATTTCTTATACACTTTTCCCATCGCCACTGCTGTATCTGTCTTTCCTTGGGTGTTTACTGGTTGGATCGCCCTTCGACCCGCGCCACCAGCACTGCACAAACAGGCCTGGCAAAGTGATCTGAAGTGACGATCCTCGGGCGATCAATTTCAGTACATCATTGACTCGTCTCGAGAGCAGAACAACTTTGCACGCATTCGCAACAGTCTGTGCATCTTCGTCAAACTTGTTCCTTTGCTGAATTCACCCAATTAAAGTCAATTGAGCCAATTGGAATGCCGGTGGATATCAAGAGAGTGCTCGTGTGTGACGCCGTCGACGAGGCTTGTGTGAATCTCCTCAAAGAGAATGGCATCGAAGTGAGTGGACGAAAATCAAGTGGCATATGGCAGACATCTAGTAATTGTCTAATTTGTATTTCCCCGTTTCCAGGTTACTTACAAGCTTAAGTTGCCCAAGGAGGAACTTTGCCGAGAAGTTAAGGTATTGAACACTTTTCTATTATCCCGAAAAAAAACATATGGAAAGAGAGAATAGAAGGCAATTAATTGTCTAATCTCGCACCGAAAATAAGTGGATGAGAAGCAAGTGAAAGTCTCTTGATAACACCAGTCCGAAATGAGTTCAAACATCCCTGAATTGGGTGTTATTAAAAAACAAATTCCGAGCGAAACCCGCGAAAAATACGTGATATGAAGTGGAATTTTTTCCTCTTCAAACCACGCAGGTCAATGGACTCAAAATGCGCGAGAAGACAAATTGCAAATGCGAAGGAGAGTGTCTGTATAGAACAGGTTCTCTCCTTTTCGCGAGACACTTTTCATTTGCATCCACAAATTATGCGTCTGTCCCGCGACATCGCCTCATCCGGTCAATCTCACCCTTTTCGCCTTTCTGCAGAACTTTGATGCGCTCATCGTGAGATCGGACACGAAAGTGACGCGCGATGTCTTGGAGGCCGGAAGCGGAAGCCTGAAAGCTGTCGGACGTGCCGGAGCGGGTGTAGACAACATTGACATTGAAGCGGCCACCAAACACGGCGTCATCGTCCTCAAGTAAGTGCACCAAATAGTCGTGCGAGAAAATCCTCTCAGCCACACGAGGCACACGGAAGCGTATAAATATCAAATTCCTCCCAAGTGGGATGGGTTTCTTGCTCGCACAGTGATGCTCTGAGTCAATGGGGGTGAAAGTGCCACTATTGTCTGGGTGTTGGAGAAAATTGGATCAATAGAGCATTGTTTTCAATGGCGATTGCTTCGTGATATCTATATAAGTATCACGGAATTGAAAAAAGAGTGTCTCATGAGGAATGACCTAGAGTTTTTTCAGCCTCTTTTCTAGCTTCTTGAGTGTTTTTTGCCTTCAGACGACGTGTGTAAAATCGATAGACAAATAACTTTGCAAATTGTTTTGCAGCACACCTGGTGGGAATTCTATCTCAGCATGTGAGCTCACGTGCGTGCTCTTGGCCTCCCTGGCGCGTCCCGTCACGCTGGCGGCGCAGAGCATGCGAGAGGGTCGCTGGGATAGGAAGATCTACGCCGGCACAGAGCTGTACGGAAAAACTCTCGCTGTTCTGGGTCTGGGACGAATTGGGCGCGAAGTGGCGATAAGGATGAAGGCGTGGGGCATGCGGTGCATTGGCTTCGATCCCATCACCACTCATGAGGAAGCTAGAGCCGCTGGAGTGGAGAAAATGGAGCTGGACGACATTTGGCCACTCGCTGACTACATCACTGTGCACACGCCTCTCATTCCAGCCACAAGAAGTAAGTGTCGATCAAAGCCGTTTTAGATGTATTTAAATGGAATCAGCACAATATTTTCTTCTAGATTTGGTGTCGGACGCAACTCTGGCCAAGTGCAAGAAGGGCGTCAAGGTGGTGAACGTGGCGCGTGGAGGAATTGTGGATGAGGCAGCTCTTCTGACCGCCCTGAAGTCTGGCCAGTGCGGCGGTGCTGCTCTGGATGTCTTTCCTGAGGAGCCGCCAAAGTCAGAAGTAACGAAGGAACTCATCCAGCACCCGAAAGTCGTAGCGACGCCGCATCTTGGTGAGAAATGCTCTTTGATCTGTAATCTCATTCTGATGTTTGCTAAATCAATTACATTAGCCCTGAGTAGATATATACATTTTAAAAGTATGTAGATGAGTGACAATTTTCTCGAGTGCTCTTTTGAGACACAACTCAACCAACTTGACGACTAAATTCTAGATTAGGGAAGATTAACATTGACGAGAAGCATGCGACAGCCACGTGGACGAACTTTCACTTGACGATAAGGAGTCGATATCAATTAGGTGGAGCGCGAAAAGTTGCTCATGGGCGGGAATCTATAATGTTGCCGAGGGTGATTTGAAATTAACACTTTGTGACTCTGTTTCAGGCGCCAGCACAGCCGAGGCTCAGGTGCGAGTGGCCGTGGAGGTGGCGGAGCAGTTCGTGGCCCTCACGGGCCGCTCCGCGGTCTTCACCACGTATCCCGGTGTCGTCAATCGCGAGGTCCTCAAGACAGCCTTCTGAGCGCTCCGTGACGTAGGCCGAAGAAATGATGGATTGCAACTCTGACACTTGTAACATTATCACGCCAATTTCTCAGCCTGTATTTCTTATACAATGCCATTAAATTAGCCTTCCTCCGTAACTCACTTTGCACTTCATACGCTCAGCGTTCTGTACTAAAAATACACCTCCTCATGCGATTACCTGTTCGCCCACGATGTGAGAACTTTCATGCCTATGCATAAACGCTGCTTGGAAAATTGCTCCTGTTTCGCAGAACAGCTTAAGCAAAAGTATTAATTTCTCGTCGTAAATTGAAAATATTTCTACTTTCTGGGATTTCACATCTAATCGCCACTTAATCACCATGTGAGTTATGCGTAAGACATGCTCGCATGTAATCATAATTTGATTAGACAGATTTTATACTAAACACTTGTGATAGACTTTAGGTGAAAGTAAAGTCAGAATCCGGAAAGTGTGAATGTCATCCTTGTTCGTCACACCCTTGAGTCTCCAACAAATTGATCCACTCACAGACCAGTAACAGCATTCAATAAAGATTGATTGGTATTTAGCAAGAGGGCGAAAACCTCTTGAAACCATAATAAAGTAATTATTAGGAGATGCTTCAAGGGGTTAATATTCCAATATAAACACGATGACATAAAATTACGTCTGCCTCAGAAGGATGATAAGAAGGATTCACATTTGCAGGAGTTCATATCACATTGGTTTGATTTTGCAGCAAAAGTGAAAGCAGAAACCGCCCTTCAATGGAAGTGTGATAAAAATAGACCATTTCATCAATTCTGTCTTTTTTTTCATCAAACCCACCCATGCAGACATAAATTCATAGGAATTCCTTACGAAATGAAGAAAAATCTCCCTTATGTGCCTCTGGACCGCCCAATTTCTTCACAACTCCCACAATTCAAATGACTAATTGCCTCATTTTGGCGCGACACCACGTTAATGTGAGTCTTTCGCAAGAAATTAAACCTCCCCATAAAAATTTGATATGGAAAATGGGTCGCATTCTTTTTTCTCCACTTAAAGCAGATAACTTTTGTCGAGGCAACTTTAAATTGCATTGTAATTGTGTGGCTACATTTGCATAAAATGTTCTCGACGATGCATGAACAGAATGAGGAATTCATGGAAATAGAGTAAATAGGGAGGTTTAATTAAATGAAAGACATTTCTCTCATAGAAAACTGCACATTTTCCAAGTTATAATGGCTAAAAAATGTATTAAGAGTACAATGTCTTTGAAAACTACAAGAAAGCAACTTTTGACAGTTCAAACAGAAGCTTTCTAATAAAAATCTCTTAAGAAATAATTGGTGCAGCGCTGAAAGTTGAAGAAGTTCTCAGGAAATTTTGCAACAAAGCAACAATATAAATTTGTAATGAACAGCACTTGCAAACTCCACTGAGAATTCAATATGTTCTCAATGAAATTACATGGAAAGAGAATAACACAGAGGGGAGTCATAACGAGAGTCGTTAACACGTAGTGTAATTTGGAATAAAGGATAGAATGTGTCACATTTCTTTACAACACTCATTCAATCAACATCTGAAAAACGTTTCATTTCCAGAATAAATTGCGATCTCCCATTGACTATGACAAAGAATTGACCCAATGAAAACACTTAACGTCACCAGACGAAACCTTTCAGTCCTCTCTTTAGGATTTCCATCAGCGAGCAACAAATCAAAAATCAATGTCCATGTGTGAAAAACCCTTTGATATGATATTGGCCATAAAGTCTAAAATTGTCCCTTGTGACTCACATATTTCTATAAAAAAAAAAGATATGTGACTTTTAGGTGGGGAAAGGTGGACGCTTTGGGGCTTCATTTCGGCAGATATGAGCAGCGGACGCCACATGACTGTGCAGAGAGAAGTGCGTATCTGAGAGCGCGATATCAAGCGATTTTCGCAAGGCTTCCATAGACAGTTCATCGTCTCTGTCATGCACACTGTTGCTCTCTGCTGGGGGTGGTCTTCGCCACCCACAAGCGTGAGAGCGAAAGTGCGTTGAAAAAGCCAGAGACTCTGTCGAGAGCGACTCAGTTGATCGCCGGATGCTCGAAGGAGCAGTTCATCCTCAGCAGAGGACAAGTTGGTAAAGTTTCTCACTCTTTTCGCACTGTCTTCGCGAAATTCTATCCTGTAAATCCTTCCGCCTTCGCACTCTTCGCGCAACGACCGTATCTATTCCCACTGGAGGAAATTCAATTGAGTGGAAGGAAGCACTTTCATGGTAAACTCAACATTCAATGGATACTCATCGCCATAAATATCATTCAGTGACAAGAAACATTCTCTTTGTGTGGACTTTTAATGCACTGCCCACGGAGAAAGTTGATCAACTCTTTGAATAAGTGGTGAAAATAATTTACAGTGAGAACAACGTGATTTATGCAAGGATAAAGAAGCATTCAAGGAGTGTCAAATTATTATAAAGTGCTGTGAATTTCAATATTCCCAAAATAACCATTTGTATTTTGTTAGAATTTAATGAATAGCAAGTGAAGAATAAGAAACACAGCAAAAATCTGTGCCAAGAGTGAAAAGAATCCGTGTAAATTATTCAGAAGAATAGAGATATGAGTTGGTCAATTTTATTTACTCTTCTTTTGGGGCTTTTCGAACGTGAAGCAGCTCAAAATACACCAGAATTGAATTATTCGCCATGGAGTGGAATTAATCGAACAGAGAACATCACGATAGGCTTCCTCGCCAGTTATGTTCACACAAAGGTAAGAGAAATACATGAAAGGTGATGTTTATGGGTGATTGGGAAAATGTGCTTCGTTTGGAATGGAAAACCATTAATTGAGTGGGTTTTATTTATTTTATTAAAAGAGTAATTTTCCCACTGGCAATTTATCTTATGTGATATTGCAAACAACAGTTTCCGTGTTTTCGGCTTTAATAAAACTTCTATAAAACGAAGAAACGAAAATTTACCTCTTAAAGTGAAACATATTAAGAGTTTAACAGCAATTCTTTCATCGGATAATTAATACATGAAATTGAAGAATTTGAGACACAGAGGATTGTTGCCTAAGTAAATATTTTTCTAAATTGTTTACCGTCACGTAAAACGCTCTGTACATTTAATAAAATTAATAATCGATTTTCAGTTAATTCATTGGGTCTATAGGTTAATTTTCTCACGATGTTGATCTTATTCTTTTCAAACAAAATTACATCAATTTATTTATTTTCACCTCCTCTCGCACATCTGAAGATTTTGCTGAGTTGACGAGAAATTATAGGCTCTTGTCAATATTTATTCATATTTGACCTTTTACCGAAAAGAAGCAATTTCAGACACTTTCTGCGTTGTATTTTCATAAAGTACGTAGGTACACGTAAATTTATCACGCGATTCTGAAGTACGTGAAGAAAAAAGCACTGAAAGTCGTGAAAAATGTAGAAAACATTTCATTAAACTTCTCACCTTTGGGAGTAATTTGGTGATTTTTTTTCCACCGTGCGAATGAGAGAATTTTTAGAACCATCGAGAGAATGTCAGGTAAATTTATGGAACTTTTCAGGTGGTCTTAGGCGCTCTTCCTCTCGCCGTGGAGGCTGTTAATAGAGACTCTAGTCTTCTTCCTGGTCATCGACTCCTCTTCAGGCCGGTGGACATTGGAAAACCATCAGCCTCATCCTATCGAGCCCAGCCAATTCGGTTTGTCTTGAGTGCGTTTTTGCGTCTTCCGACAGAATCCTCCTCAATAAATCAATATCATCTCTCATGCCACACTTCAGCGCTATGACACAGATGAGGGACGAGGGAGTTGCAGCTTTTATTGGGCCAGACGACAGCTGTACAACTGAAGCTCTAATAGCGGCCGCATGGAATTTACCAATGATATCTTATGTGAGTTCCCGCAATCTTCTTCCTTGCCATTCGTGAAATATTCTCTAGAGACTATGGGAAAGTCACAGAATAAACCTTTTTGATAAGATCCTACCTTTTGGCATCAATTGTTTACAAAACTCTTCCTCAAGTATTTTGACTTAGACTCCGAGTTCATTTTGAGTTAAACAATTAGTTATCTTTCACATTTCTCAAGGGGATTATTGCTAATTAGATTGTTTAATTATCCTATATTAGGTACATACTAAAAGCACTCAGCTTTTATTTCCTACATAAGCTTCTCACCCGCATTTTCAACACTTTGACTTAATTGATGAGTATTAAATAAGCTGTGTTCACTCATGTGAATTGATGTAATATTTTAACGTAATTTCCCACGAGCCTTCCAGGCTTCTTACCTTTGATTTATTAAAAAATGATAGGAAACTGTGACACATAAACTATGGAGAACGCACTGCTGAGTGGATTTTCTCTGCATGGGATTTGATATCTTCAAACAACTTGTATTCTCTATGCCAACACAACACGATGAGATTACTCATAAGATTCATTTCACATGATATATTCTCTGAATTCGTATGACGAGGAAATTGCAAAATTGCCAAGAAAATCCGCACGTCTTCACCAAAAGCATTTCCTCATGAGAATACAAAAATTCCACTTAAATTTCTCCGTTTTCAGAAATGTACTGATGCGGCAGTTTCTGACAAGAGTGTCTTCCAGACATTCAGCCGCACTTTGGCGCCAGCCTCGAAGGTGAGCTTTAGCGCAAAGGAGTTTTCATGACAGAAATGGTCAATTAGAGACGATGATATATCACTTTTCGTAGGTGTCAAAGAGCGTTGTGGCCCTCCTCAGTTCCTTCAATTGGCACAAATTTGTCCTGGTCTCCAGTTCGAGGACAACGTGGGGCTTCGAGATTGCCTTAGCAATCAAAACACTGGCCGAGGCAGAAAATCTCACAGTGACAGATTTTCGTGAATACTCTGAATACATTCCAGCGAAAATAACAGAACTGCAAAACATCGTTACTGAGACGTACAAAAAAACACGAAGTAAGTCTTCGCACAAAAGAGTAATTTAAAAACTTTTCACTTTCAGTATATGCAATCAAAAGTAATCTGGTAAACTAAAATGCTAAACATAAGCAACTTTGTAACTTTACTCAGAAGTTGCTGCTGAGGTCAAATTTGTATCAAGAGTTCATCATGAAATTTAATCATTAATCCTTTCCTGGGTATCATCATCCCTTTCAAGAGCTTGACATTCAAATTTGCGTTGAAAGCCACAGAAACCTTCATCGGAAAGATGGTCTTGTGAAAACAAATAGACAAGTTTTTTTTTTGGTAGAATGCCAGAAGGGATGATTTCACTCTCACATGCAATCTTTGCCCCTTGCCAACAACAACTTCTCCTTTCTCACCCCCGAAAGTTTACATTTTTGTGGGCGAACACATCGCCATGGTGGACTTTGTGAGATGCTTGCAAAACCGAGATCTCCTCCAGACTGGCGATTATATGGTGATATCGGTGGATGATGAAATTTACGATCCCACCAAGAGGTCCAACATCATGGAAAGGGGTGAGTAGAATTGCTTGTCATCCCTCTCACCCCCAATCACTAATCACATGGTGGGCGGGCGAACAAATTAATTTCCGGCAATTGAGCCACTTTCTCGCTCTTTCGACTATTCTCCGAAATTAATTAGGAATATTGGAAATATTGTTTAGATCGGAATCTACGCCCATTTCATCTGTCTCACTACAGTTAAGACGCAGTGATGTATTTTGCACGATAATCTGATAACAGCAATAAAGTTATGGTCTTTGAGTTCACATATGGGATTTCGGACAAATTAAATTAATCGGTTGGCTGAACTTGAGGACACAACAAATCATATCAGAATATATTCACATAAATGATAAAAGTTGAACGCTTTTTCTGGAATTCTTTTTATAGCAATATTATTCAAGTAAAAAATATCATTTCCAATCGATTTGCAGAGAAATAAAGCGGATTTCGCAGTGCTTTCATGTCGAACACTCATGTGAATATTTGCAGCACAAATATATTATTTCAAGTAAATATTTGCGCATTCCAATTGACCAACCAAAGGGGAAAGTATAAATAAAAGAATAACGCGTGTTTATCATTAAAATTGAATAACATCGGTGATAATGAAGCCATTTCACTAATCAACAAATTCCCTGGATAAAAGTTTCTCCGTGCACGACAATTTGCAATGACATCTCCGAAGAGAAAAGCTTTTTGCCACATATTAAGTCATGATTCATCGTATGTGGAAAGCTCATTAAACGGAAGTCACTCAGCCGTCCCAATGAATACAAAAGCTGTGTTCAGGTGAGAAATGTGAATCAATGGTGGTCAAGGGAATAAACGTCCCTTTTGCAAAAATAAAGTCGAAAGAGTGGCAGAAAGTGAGGAAAGGTATTTAGGGCAAAAAAAAGTCCTTTCAAATCAATTTAATGCTCCCTCTCACTCCGCCATTCTTCCTTTATTACATCGCAAAACCAGAGTATTTGGACCCATACCTCAAGAAAGTACGGAGTCGAGCGTTGGACATTAAGTCATTTCACTCGGTACTCAAACTAACACCATCCTATCCATCCAACACGAACTTCAGGTAACATTGTTTAATTAGAATTAATCATTTTGAGCCGCATACGAAATCCCCTCGCCAACCTTCAGTGGGAGAAAGTGGTGGAGGAAATTAATTGAATTTACCCCGACAGTCAAATCAGCGAGAATATAAGGAGCTACGCAACGCAGCCACCATTTAGAGTGCCCTTCCATCGGACCATTTTTCGCAACATTTCCGTCCCCATCTATGGTGTCCACCTTTACGACGCCGTTATGATCTATGCTCGAGCAGCGACAGAAGTGATTAGTGCCGGAGGGAATATCTACGATGCGAAGGCCATCATGGAGAGAATTGTGAATCGCACATACCACTCAATACAGGGATTCGATGTAAGGGATGAGACGTGATGTGCGACTCAGTGGTTAAAGAACTTTTCCCAAAGGTTTATATCGATGCCAATGGCGACGCAGAGGGGAATTTCACGCTCATCTCCCTCCAAGATGAGCTATCACTGGCTCAAGCTCTCACTTCAGATGCAGAAGAGCCAAGTCCTACCAGCAACCCGCTCAAGATGTCAATGCAGCCGGTGGGATACTTTGTCTACAGCAGTCCAGCAAATATTCCGGCAAGTTGCCCTTTGTTCTTGGCATGTTAATTACACAGCCATCTCTTCCCGCAATCCTAAACCAATTAGAAATTATTCAATTAATTTTCTCATCATTTCACGTGACGTTTCCAAAGAAAATCACGCCACTTGTTGCTCACGATTTCCTGAGAAAGCTCCACATATCTATCTAGCATGTCACAACATCCAAAAATTTAATTGATAACTTAATTATTCAGTCAAGTGATTGCTCTTCTAGTTTATACATTGACAAGTAACTTAGTAATTGGCAGGAAACCTCATTAAAAACTTCCGTAAGCGTAATTGAGAAGAAAACTCATTTGAAAACAAGTTTCTCATCGTCACTTTTCCATCTTCTTATTTAGGGCAACAATATAGATTTATCAAGAATGTTTTTTTTCTATCTGATTTATTGTTTACGTCACATAATAAATGTCTATATATTTCAATATTATTTTGGACTTTTTTCTCTAAGAAGCTCGTTATTTTTTTCTTTATACTTGTTATCAAAGATGTTCTTTTCTGTTTCATGCGGTGTTGATTCATAGAAACGTCTTTTCTGCGGAATAATCGCTATTGAATGTTCGCGTTTTTTGCGTGGAAGCCTAACATGTTTTGGGTATTTTTAGCGGATGTTTTGACTGATTTCCCTATGTCAATCTTGTATAGGAATTTCGGTACATCAACCCGCAGCGTACAATAAAATGGCTTAAAGGCGTCCCGCGGGCTGAGCCTGTTTGTGGCTTTGATGATGAGCTTTGCCAGCCGAAAAATAAGGATTGGCGCTATTTGCTGTCCGGAGTCTGCGTTGCGCTGTTTCTGGCTGTGGCCGGAGCCTTCTTGATCAAGTAACACATCAGAGGGTGGAGAAGTAAATTACAAGTTACTAATTGGGCCCTTTTTGCAGACACTATCGCTATGAGCAGACTTTGGCATGTCTTTTGTGGAAAGTAGACCTCAAAGAAGTGACTTTCATCACAACTGAGCATCCAGATTCATCCATCCGCAGCAAAAACCTGGTGAGAGATTTTGCACCTTTCACTGTACCTTGGTAAGAATTTGCAGTCCCTTTTATCGCTCCTCAGGTGCAAACTTGCAGACACAGTTTAATTACCGGAGGGGGAGACACGTCCAAGAGAGCATACACCACAATAGGTAAATTGAGCATTTATCGTGCTTGTGGGATAATTAAAAGTGTGGCCTCTCTCTCTCTCTCTCTCTTTCCCCCAGGCCTCTATCGTGGCAATATCGTGGCGGTGAAGAGGATTCACAAGAGGAGTGTCGACATCACGCGCGCCATCAGAAAGGAGCTGAAGCAGATGCGTGAGGTTTGCCTAAAAATCCACCTCCACATTTTCCTTTGGTGTTTCCTCGTCGATGTGCTTTTGTTGAATGCTAAGTGGAAGCTTCCTCGCCCCGCACGCGATGTCTTATTGACTTTCTAATGGGAATTCCCGTTCTCTTCTTCGCGCTGCTTCTCTCTCTCTCTCTCTTCATCCAGGTGAGACATGAAAACGTGATTTCCTTCATTGGTGCCTCCGTAGATCCCAATTGTATCGCCATTCTCACTTCCTATTGTCCGCGTGGGAGTCTCGATGATGTGCTGAGCAATGAGGATCTCTATCTGGATAACATGTTCATCTCGTCACTCGTCAGTGACATCCTCAAAGGCATGATATACATTCATGAGAGTGAAATTGTGTCACATGGCAATTTGCGGGCTAGTAATTGCCTCGTGGACTCGAGATGGGTCTGTCAGATTACCGACTTTGGCCTCCATGAATTCAAGTTAGGACAGGAAGAGCCCAACAGGTATGACAAATAGAGCATTGACCTTTGTCACACCCACTGAACGAAGCACACAAACTCTTAACTTGCAAACTTTCGCTTTCAAGCTCCGGATAATATCAATATTTTTAAAAGTTTATCTCCTTCGACACAAAACTGTAAACTCTCCCACGTGTTAGGCTCTATGAACAGATACTTTCACTTTCCGCCTGTGATATTCGGATAATAAAATCGTAAAGAATTTTATGACCCTCAAGATAATATATCCTTCCGTCTTTACCGCATCATTAAATGCCCTGTGCCATGTTCTCCTCCAGACATAATTTATTCCTCATCCCCGGAACACTGAGAGAAATCTGTGAAGAATTGTCAATTAAGCGAATATTAATGTTGCAGAGAAACTGTGGAATTGGCGCGAAATCTTTATCGTGCGCCAGAACTCTTAAGACACCCAAATCCACCAAGTCGAGGCACACAGAAAGGTGATGTCTACAGCTTTGGGGTACTTTTGTATGAAATCATCGGGCGAAATGGGCCGTGGGGAGAGACGCAAATGACCAAGGAAGAAATCATCCACAAAGTCCGATCACCTGCCAATGGAACGTACTACAGACCTCCACTGCGCTTCCTCGAGATCCCGGATTACGTGAAGCAGTGCCTCAAATCGTGCTGGGATGAGGATCAAGAGTTGCGGCCGGATCTGCGCTTAGTGAGAGTGAAGCTAAAGGAAATGCAAGCAGGATTGTAAGTACCTCATCAGACTATATACAACAGAAGACTATGAAGCTCGTATTATCCTCTTAGGAAGCCAAACATTTTCGACAATATGCTGGCAATCATGGAGAAGTATGCTTACAACCTGGAAGGACTCGTTCAGGAGCGAACGAATCAACTCACGGAGGAGAAGAAGAAAACAGAAGCCCTCCTGCATCGCATGTTGCCGAAAACTGTAGCTGAATCCCTCAAAAGAGGCGATCCTGTGGAGGCGGAGTGCTTTGACTGTGTCACAATTTACTTCAGTGATTTAGTGGGCTTCACCGAGATGTGCGTCCAGAGTTCTCCTCTGCAAGTGGTCGAGATGCTCAATGACCTCTACACCTGCTGTGACTCCATCATCTCGAACTACGACGTGTACAAGGTGGAAACCATTGGAGATGCTTACATGGTCGTCTCTGGCTTGCCCATTCGCAATGGGGATCGCCATGCCGGCGAGATTGCCTCCTTGGCTCTGCATCTCCTCAACAAGATCTCCAAACTTGAGGTTCGCCATCGTGCCGGAGAGCTCATTCAAATCCGCATTGGAATACACTCGGGACAGTGTGTAGCGGGCGTTGTGGGGGTGAAAATGCCGCGATATTGCTTGTTTGGCGACACCGTAAACACCGCCTCGCGAATGGAGAGCTCCGGCCTCCCACTGAAAATCCACATTTCCGAAGCCACTTACGACCTGCTGCAAAATATTGGTGGATACAAATTCGAGGAAAGAGGATTGATCCAGATAAAGGTAAACAAACAAGGGAAAATTGGAAAACACGAAACACATCATTTGCACTGCGGGTAAAACCGTCAAGCGTACATAATCATTGTTTTTCGGACATTCGTGTGACGAATTAAATGCAATAATCATTCAGTCAATTTCGTTGAACACTTGGACAGAAATTGCTTTTCTCACTTTTTTCAGGGCAAAGGCGAAATGAGAACCTATTGGCTCCTGAGTGAGGACATCAACAAGAAAATCGAGCGCTTTGGTTCCAGTGACTTTGATGAAACATTCTGTGAGCTTTAACAAATTTCACCCACACTGAGTCATTCACTTCATAGTGACTGTAACTTTGCCTTTCCAGACCATCGCGTCGCTCCCGATTTGATCTGCACCACTGAACCCGAACCAATGAAGAACAGCACACCGAACAATTCCTATTCGTCACTGAATCAGCGCGCCAGAATGTCTTACTCCAGCATTTTGTCCTACAATGGTGGCGGCGATAAGCAGATGCCCGTCGGGAACTTCTCCAAGGCACTGAGCAACGATTTGGTGGTAAACTCCTGCTACATCTGCCAGCAGAAGAAGAGTCTCCAGCAGACAGAGTGCCAGAGACAGCACAGGCAAATGTACGATATCTACAGAATCTCCTCCGAATGCATGGACAGTCCCACAGAGTTCAGCCACTGTCCGTGCTATTGTTCCAATCAGAGGAACTTCATGAAGAGATACGACAGTGTTATACGAGAAATCAGAGCCCCACAGTCTGCGCCTCACATCACCTTCATGCAGTGAGAGACGAGCGCGCGCCATTCGGAGAAATTAATGAAACGTGACCGAGAATGTCATAAAAGGTTTCATCAACATTATGAGAATTATATCTTGCTTTTGTCGTCCCATCCCAACTTATCCATGGCAGCTCTTTTGAGTCAATTAGAGAAAACAAACATTTCTTATTCCTCTGTGTCTTCCCCGCAGACACTCTACTCAACAGTTTTACTTTAGAAAGCTATAATGAGACCAAATGGATCTAAAAAGGATAACCCCTCTTAAATTAATATCAATTGAATCACTCTGTTGAGATATTTGTAAGTTTCTATAAGTGTATTATGACTGTGTATTCAATTAATCACATTATTAAATCAAAGTATGATGTTGAACACAATTTTATAAAAGAAAATGCTCACAGAAGTGATGTCGAAAACTTGAAAATCGTGGCGTGGGTGAGTGCTTGAGATTCCTCATGATGACTATTCAACAGGTTGGCGAGCTACAAAAATAAATAAGAACAATTCTGCCTCACTTTACTAGGAAAAGTCGTGATGAAACTCACGGTGCCATTGGAGATAATCAGACTTGGTGGCTGCATTGTATTCCTGCACTAGAGAGTCGACAACATTTCGAGAGTCATCCAGCTCAGATAGATCGTCCTTGAACATATCCTCCTTCCGGAACTGATCCAGGAAAGCTCCACGCTTCCTCAGCTTGTCATACTGATTCAGACAACGTTCGAAGAGCTGAAGAGAACATAATATTTTAGAGAAGATCTCAAATGTGATCTGTTTTTCTTACCGATGAAATGCTGGTGTGATTGGCAAGCATCAGGCCGGACACTCGGCTGCTGTTTTGAACATAAGGGCTGCTCTTGGACAGTGCCACTTGAATGCTCGCTGGTCCCCATGGGATAAATTGGGCCAACTTCTTCTCCCTGATCCGCTGCAGTGACTTGTGCACTTGCGTGGGATCCACCTCTCCCTGGATGATGTTCAGGATGGAAATGTACACGTGATGATTAGTCTTGTCCGGTCCCGTGGACACCATCATATTCTTTGGCTGCAGCAGACGACGCATCACATCGAGGACAGTGGTTTTCTGGATGTTGACCGTCTGGTCTTGGTCTGTGGTCAGCGGCGTGTAGCCGGTCATGAGGAAGTGCAGCTGAGGCGTGGGAATCAGGGGCGCAATCAGCCCAATTAGATTGTTGTTCATGTACGATGGGTACCTGAGGGTGGTGGTGCTCACGGACATGATTGTGGACACGAGAGTGTTGATCTGCGTGAAGGTCGGGTTCTCCAGATGAAGGCGATCCGTGGCGATGCGGTTCAACGCAGTGTTGTCCAGCACCACCACACAATCAGCACAGCTTGTGAGACGTCTGAGGGTGAGAAGTGAATTGTACGGTTGCACCACAACGTCGCTGATCTCATCCTGGTTCGGAAAGACGCTGTACGTCTGCACAATCTTCTTGGGAAAGTGATCAGAGAGACGCTCCATTATATATGAGCCCATGCCAGAGCCGGTTCCGCCGGCAATTGAGTGGCACAGCACAAAACCCTCAAGGCTGTCGCTGTTGTCCGCCTCGCGGTCGATGATATCAAACACTTCCTCCTGCAGTTTCTCGCCCTGACCAAATCCAGAGGCCCAGTTGTTCCCAGCACCGCCGCCATCCTTCGACAAATACACATTCTCAGGGTTGTAGAGCTTCGCGTACTGAGATGTCATGATGGTGTTGATGACTCTGGGCTCCAGATCCAGCAAAACAGCCCGCGGGATATAGTGCTCATCGTCCGCCTGGTAGAAGAACACATCCTTCCGGTCCACTCCCTCGGCGGCATTCATCTCGAGTACTCCACTCGGTGAGATTCCATGTTCCATGCACAGACGCTTCCAAAACTCGAAGCCAACTGCCGAGAAGACAATCCGGGAGTCAAAACAGGAGAACAGTGAGGTTATGTCATAAGGATTTCGCACTAGAACTCGATCCCTCGCACTTACTCTGATTGCCACATTGGCCCAATTGAAGCGTTATCATTTCACTCGGCATCTTTCACCAGATTCTCACTGCCTGACTGGGCGGGAAGGTGCAAATGAACGAAATTCCTTCACTCTGTGTTCTACTTCGCTTTTTCCGCTGAACGGTTCCTTCGATCTGGCAACCCGAAAGTTTCCGATATATCGGAATTTAATCGTTGATTTTTGAATTTCATCGGGGGATATTTGTGGGAAATTATCTTGTATGCGGGAACACTTCAGATTGGAGGCTTGCGTGAAGTCAAATCAAGCGGCGGTGCCAATTTACTTTGATTTATTTGCACCATTTGCATTGATTTTTCCTCTTTGGATACCCCATTTTTTCATGTGATTAGCCGAATCATGTGTGTATTAATTCTATAAGACAGATCGTCAACATTTTTTACTATTCTTTGCAAAAGTAATTCCTGAAGGATGTCGCCCGCAGTAATTGGCCCGGACCAGTACTCTGGGTAATTGGACGCCTTCGCGCAACAGTCGAATTTGAACGTGAAGCTGTGACAATGTTCGACAGAAAGGAGACCGATAATGGGTACATTATTTACGTGAATACGCGCAACAATCAACAGGTGATGCAGATGGATCCCAAGCTGCAGGATGTGCTGAACTTCCTGAATGGGTCCTACATTACAAAGCACTATAAATACCGCTGTGCCGCCCGGCTGAGTGCTATCCGGAAGAGACTGTTCAGTGAGTATAGCTTTTCCTGGGTAAATAATCTCGGAAAGAGTGGAAATTGATGAGGAATCGTGTCTCTCTAGCGTCCAACATCCCTTTCCATGTGGTGCTGTCCATCCTGGAGCGGCACCAACTCGGCCAGAGTGTGGATGACGCTCCTGTTATAAAACCTGGCCAGTTGACGAGTGTTCTGCATGATATCTTCTACGCTAACGACAAACTGAAATGCTTTGTGGACGAGAAGGGATTCGACGTGGAGGAAGCCACAGGTTTGCTGGCCAATTTCCTCTGGAACGTCTTCGATCCTCACCGGTGTCGATCGCTGTCAGGACTGGAACTGAGGGAAGCTCTGCTGCTCTTGTGCGACACAAATTCCTTCGAGGACTTCATCAAGCATCACTTCAATCTGTCCTCTGATCACAATCGCTGCGTGCCACATCACAAGTTCAAATCTCTGCTCCTGGTGTTGACCAGAATCCTCAACTACATTGACAGGGAGATTTGTTGCGACGACAAGACGATCTCATCGATTGTGCAAGAGGCTTTCGACTTTGCCGAGTGTCCAGGCATAGCTGGACTCAATGAGTACCAATTCTACAAGATCTGGGCCTCAGACGAGATTCAGTTCCATCACTATGTGGAACTTCTGGCCACGATGCGTCGCATTGAGGCGTACAGGGGCTTCGTGCATCCTCAGAAGTGCTCAGGTTGTCTGTGTCAGGAGATCACAGGCATCCGCTTCAAGTGTCACCGCTGTGCGAGATTCAATCTCTGTCTGGAGTGCTTCCTGAAGGACTTCCAGAGCAAGAAACACCTGCCCAGCCATAAAATGTCCGAAGTCGAGACTGAAGAGAAAATGGCCAAACGTTTTGGTATTTTTATGCTGAAGATGTGTCATCTGTTTGACTCTCCTCCTCAGCCCACCACTGAAACACCAGCAAAAGACACTTCTCGGAAGCCACAAGAGCAATCCACAAGACGCATCTCGCAGCATTTCAACCAGAACTTAACGATTCGCTCCAAGGGTGGCACTTTCCGCCTTCGAAAGCCCCAATTTACCACCAATGACCAGCTCTATGGGATCATTCAGCTGCTGACTAGTGAAAACTCCGTGTTTCAGTCGAAATTGTCTGAGATTCAAACAACGTGTGATCCGAAATCTGACTTTTACACATATCTCGAGTGCCACAAGAACATCATCACCGAACAAATTGAGCAATTGCGGGGCATCTGGAAGCAATCGCTAATCAATCAGAAGCCGCACTACTCAAGCACACCTCACAGACCGCCTCTGATGAGTGTTAATTGGCAGAAGACGGAGATTCAGGAAGAAGTTCCGTCCACGGAGAGAACAAGTAAAATGAATTTTGGTGGTATTTTTTTTATGATATTAAGTGCTGTATTTGTTTTTCAGTTAGAGGCATTGATATCAACAAGACATACTTCGACGCCAATCGATCGGATTATTCGGTGCAGGATGTGAGTTCGTGGCTGCAGAACAGGAAGCCGTCGGAGCAGGAAAGTGCAGATGTGTGTGATATGTCAATGCTGGAATCACAGATGGTGAACTTTCGGGATTTGCTGTCGAAGGTGAAGGAGATTGTTGAGGATTCCTACAGCGATAATATCCAACTGTCGAAAGCCACTCACCAGCTGGAGTATGTTCTTGACAGGATAATCGGGCAGGCGGAGGAGCAGAAGAAGCAGGGCCGGGAAGATTAGTTGTTGTGAATTCCGCCACGATGACGGCAAAATCCATGCTTTAAATTCGCAATGCATTAATAAGCGATTGGCTCGATGTCAGGTGAGTGGCACAAAAGGAATTTATGTAAGAAGAACATTAGCCACTATCGCGATAATTGTATACAATCTCTAGAAAGGAGTTTACGACAAAACTGATTATTTTTATACGGTTGCAAATTGCAACATGAGACATTCTATAAAAATGAGCTTGTAACTTTGTCATATAAATTTGCAAGAGGAAAAAAGTGACGAATAATATTAGGGAAATCCATGCTGAGGAACCCACAACAGACCGTGAACTTCGTAGTGCGAGTAACTCTGGGTGTCGACCTGTGGGACAATCGCTGAATTTTTATTGTTAGTTTACAAGCTATTGCGGCATGTGTAGACTCCACAATCAAATTGCAGGTCAGGAAAGACTCCAATGTCGCGCCCGTCTGATTCCGTAAACACTGAATGCGGGGAGATTTCTGCCTCTGACCAATCAAACATTCCAGAGTCTATTAATAAAACACTGTCCAATGAAGAGGCATAGCGAAAAAATCTGCGTCTCGCTTTATTTCTTCTAACATGTATCGGAAAAGCGTCTCTCGGTAGTCAAGATACATTGACATCAATGAGGAAGTCCATTCTAAAGTAATTTGTAGGCGTTTTCACCGCTCGTGCAACCTTGAAAATAATGCGATTTCAGCAAATTTATTCAACTGTTGATGTCCACGTCACAGCAACAGGTTGACTGCAATAGTCGCCTATCACTAGCCAGTATATTTATTTATAATACTCTTGTGATGGGTTTTTGCACTGTTCATCTTGAAGTGAGTGGATCATTGGCTACTGTAGACGCATTTCAAGCGATGATGGTCCGGCATTGATGACGAAAGTGATGAGGTAGTTCATGTCCACGCATGAAAATGTGAATGAGCAAGAGAGTGCTTAAGAAATTAGACACTTTTTCGGTAAATTGACAGGTAATTTGCGTAATAAACGTAACAATTGCTCATGAGATATTTACATTATGACTTGCAATGTTGGAAAAATAATTTGATATTTGAACAATTCAATATTTCCGTTTTCTGAGATTTTGAATGAATGCTCTCATAGTTCTAAAAATATCTTTTCTATTTTCTGCAGTGATTTTAAGATCTAGATTAAGGATAGAAAGCATCACAATTAAGAAACTCAATGAAGCTATATCACAGTATAAGTTTGTATCAAATGCATTTTCTTTTGTATACAACAATAAAATGGCATACAAATCAATTCTCAATGAACCGGAATCGTTTTTCTCCTCCCCAATTCAGTCATACTTTCGAAAATGCTCGGAAAGAATTTTCTGATGATATAATAGAACAGCATTAAGTAATGTCTTACAGGAAAAATCAATAAAATTCGCGTGTCTCCTAACTTTATTGGCCAAATAGTGGACGATGGAACGCAATCGAGTTCCTGGAGATGGTAAAAAATGTGTTCTCTTCCCTGCTTTCTTCTCCGAAAATGCTGTTGTTGTGCAAGAATTGATCGGACAAATATTGATTGATATAAAATTCGTGTTAACATTGCGATATCGGTCGTCTTTGATTTATCCCGTAATGCTTGGCGTAATCGAGCAAAGTGTCTTCAGGTGGGCATTTTTCGACTGTGTGTGCATGCATATGAATGTGATCTCGAGCGGAGAATTGCCGCGCGTTTTGGGTGTGTTAAGCGCTAAGCTGGACAATTGGCATTGCCAATGAAAGTGAATGAGTGTGGAAAAAGTGGTGGAGGAGGTGGTCAGGTGAGACTCTGAGCCACCGTCGACGGCTGGCGTCTAGTCAGAGCAGCAGCAACAGCCGACGACTCCGGGTGCAGAGTTGAGAGAACCCCAAGAGGCGCGAGACAGAGATCTTTGACACCGGAGTCCCGCCATATGGTGCTGACACAGTGATTGTCTTATGAATTGTTCAGTGAATTCTCTATACGCTAGATAGAATCTTCTTCCTCTCGAGTGACAACAGGATTTCAGCAGGAGAGACGATGATTATGGATGAAGTGAAGTGGATTTCAGTGGCACTGCTTTGCCTCTCTGTGGCATCTGTGACTTGTGATTTGCCCGCTGAGAGTGAATCTGTGCAGGGCCAGACGAAGGCTGTGGAACAGGAATCCCAGAAGCGGCCGCGGAGCTTCCAGAATGACTACGCGGTGTGGAATCAGGAGCTGGACGTGGCTGACACGGACATCCGAGATTCGAGCCTCCTTAGCAGGATCAGCGAAGCGACCAGAGCCGTCCAGCCGGGCAGGTGCCAGAAGGATCTCAATGAGACCCTCGAGGCGTTCCGCCGGGGCGAAAAGTGGGCACTCAAGAGTAAGTCCAACACTTTTCCATCTCGCTTATGATAATTTTCGTGCGAAAGTACAGAAAAAAGTGAAGTGGCCTCTGACGAAGATCTAGAGAAGATCTCTGACGCTCGACAAGTCTCCTCAAAAGCTGGTGAATTGCAACTTAAACATCATTCACAAGTGGCTCATTGACGAGATAATATGTTTGCCCACTTTGGGGATTTGACGAAAAAAACGCGTGTCACAAAATGATAGGGTAAATATTTGTTGAAAGAAAAATCTCTGTTTGCATTAATTGGTGATATTGCGATGAGCTGAAACTGAGTGTGTAGAAAAAATCAAATATTTCCATTCATACCAATTCATTGTGTGGCTGCTTAACATTTTTGACACGTTCAAGGATGATTAAAGGCATTAAATGCTTTCGATTAGGAACTTTTTTCCACCTGTTGCACCGGCGACAGAAGAGAGTGTTCATGTCTTTTTTTTTCTTATTATGAATAATGCAATATGGGAAAAAAAACGCTTTAAATATTCATGCGATTTCTGTACCAATATAGAGATTCTTAGGAAGGCACTCTGACGTGATTCCAGAAAATTCATTTTGCAAATTCGTGAAATGCGTGGAGGTTTAAATTGGTCGGGACAGAATTTTTGCAATTTTATTTTATACAAGAGTAGATGTTTTAGTATTGTGTGATAAATTCACAATTCCTGAAGATTGCTGTGCTTTTCACTGTGATACAATCTTTGTGGTTTTGTCTATAAACGCAATATTGTATTGTTTCACAATTAATTAATTTATCGCTCGGGGCATTCTTTTTGGTATTTGATACAAGCATTCTGAGAAAAATCTCTTTATTTATGCCTGAAGTGGAAAACCAGAAAAGCAGTCTGTAGGTTGAGGAGAGGAAAGTGAATTAAAACGATCATGCTGTTGACTTGCTCAACGTGCAAAAATACACAAGTTTACGACCTTGCAGACTTTGTGTATATTTTCAAGACGTGTGAGCTTGGTGGAAATGAGGCGCAAGCCATTTCAGTGCATTCAAGTGCATTGAGCTCTGCGTAAATGAAGTGGATTAACTTTGAAGAAAAACTCCTTTCAAACCTCTTCAATTGCACAATCTTTTGGCACTGCAGATCTCATTGGCATTCTTTCAGGTCAATGTGTGTCGTTCTCTTTTACTCAACTACAGCCAAATGAGCCAAATATCAACATTTTTTTCCCAGCTGAGCCTCAAGTCTGCAAATTTTGCGTCTCATCGCGAAAAAGTGTTTTTTTCTTGGATATCTTTGTGTTTGGGAAGAATAAAAATGGTGAAAAAAATGTTATTTATTTGGTGGACAACTTTAGAAGCTCCACTGACCTTAGATTCTGCTGATGAACTTGAAAATGCGACAGAATTTTTGGTAAACATCTGAAACGCAAATGATGAGAATATCAAATCTCATGTGTTTTGACTGTGGCTCTGTCCCTTTTTGGAATGAAATTAATTAGCATAATTTACATTTAAATCGTTTGCCGAAAAGGTGATTTCCACAGCAGAATTCATGTCACTTGTGAGAAGTTATATAAAGATGTTGCCAAATTAAACCTAAGGTCCAATCCCTTTTGCAGCCACGCGAGATTGTAATCAATTGGTGTGCGCTGCAACGACTAATATTTAATTTGTGTCTAGTTTAATTGCATAGTTAATGACACATCTCTGAGCTGATTAAGTAGCTGCGATATGCATAAAACGACGATCATTAAAAAGCATTTGAGAAATATATAAGATAATGAAATGGAAACAGCTTAAAATCATTGAGAAGAGGAAAAATTCACAGACAGTTAATCATGTAAGGCCACTGGACGTTTGTAGATATATTTGTGATCTTTGGCATAAAAATACGCGACCAACACCAAAAGACTTTCTCTTGTGCAATAATTATTTAGTTGGCGACTATTTCACAAAGAAGGTAAATAAAATTTTAGTGATGCAAACTTATATGTGAAATGTAAGGCGTTTTCTCAAAATCTAATACCAAATGCGGGTTATTGAAGAAATTTTTTTGCATAAAATGTAGGACTTTGGGAAAGCTTTCAACGACAAGACAGGAGAAGCTCATGAAAAGCTCAAGCTAGACAGTTTCAAATTCCATAGTTGTGGGTTGAAAGTTTAAAGTGTGTCTGCAATTTAAATATTGATTGAGACACGTTAAGGAGTGATGATTCTGTATCAAGCTTTTCCTCAAATTTATACAGCAATTTGCATTTTGTGGTATATTTTCTGTATATAGTTTGTCAACTTTACGCAAATTGATGCTGATACTCATTTAAATATTGATTTATTAGAGACTTGATTCACTCCATGGCACTATGTGTTGTGTGCGGTGTTGCTCGAGAAAGAAATTTCGGTCTTTCTGTCCGAAGCTTTTGTGTACATCTTTGTTGGTTCATCCATTGACGTCAGGCTTTAAGTGCTTTGAAACTGCATACACAGAAATTACATGGCAATTTTCTCAGGTGTATGAACCAGTGTGAGGTTCTTTGGAAATGTTATTGTCGTTCACAGAGTTTTAGCGTCATCCCTCACGGAGACGTAATTAAACTTAAACAATTTAGCATCTCACCAGTGAAGAGAAACTTATGGCAATTGATGAGACTCAATTGGGTCCTGATTTGCACACTTGAAGTTTAAGAGAACGAGGAGAGACACGCGAGATTGGATTATCTCATTTTATTGCGTGACACATCGCTGTGCATAGATTAGCAGAGGAATTTGTGTGAAAATTAAATAACAATCAAGCGAGAAATCTCCACGAGTTTACCTTTTAGTCTCGTGTGTCATTTCTTTTCTCACTTCTTTCGATCACCCACTGACTTTGGTGGATTTCATATACCTTTTCACGTGTGTCACAATGAATTCACTTTTGAGAATCATCTGGCATCTCTCCGGATGATTGAATGAAAATATTTGGAGAGCGCTCACACGAATATTGCTGGTGAAATATTGCAATAATACATTATTCATTGTGGATTTTCACTCAACTTCCGTGAGTTAGTGATTTACCACATTTTGTAGTCTTCTCGATGCAGAAACAGAGATTAATATTTCAAATATGACGCATGGGAAATAATCATGAATATTTAATTTCATATTTCAATGTTGAATTTAAATAGTTGCGCGATCATTGCCTCCTAGACGCTCTCTGGTCAGTAGACATCCATAAGAAGAGACAGTAAAAATTGCATATGCAGTTGCAGCAATGCTAAAAGTGAATGGCATACTCGAGCATGATTGTCTTTCTGCCAAACTTCTTCTGCGCACAAGTCTTCAAGCCTCTCCGAAGGCCACATGACATTATAATGTTTATCATATTACGTAATCACATGAGATATAATTTCCAAAAAAAATTAATTCACACACATTTAACTTTCAGATGAAAGTTGTTTTACACGCTATTGGTTTTGCGGTTTGTGTTAATTCTCTCACGCATTTTATAGTTTCAGTGGTGGTCAATTTCTTTGCCTATTGACACAGTTATTGACTGTGAAAAATACTCGTGCGTTGCTATTATTCCATTTAAAACTTTAACGCTGAACATGATTAACCCATTAGTGATTACAGTGTGTTATATCATGAGCGAAATTTGTACATTTTATCTGCAACGTGGGTTTTATTCGCTGCATAGTTATTTAACATTAAGAGTCTGACGATAAAAATTTCCATTCAATTCTGAAAATTCGCAATTTCAAGGTATCTTTGCTCAAGTGGAAGAGTTTTATGACCGGAAATGTGGAAGTGATGGGTTAAGAAAGCAAATCTGCTGAAAATGTCTTAATTTTTTAATCATGTTCCCTCGCAAGTCTGCACGATTTATAACTGATCAATAAATACATAATCAAAAGGGAATGTCAGACATAAATCACACGTGATAATTGTACTTTTTCATTTCCAAATATTTCGCGAGACGTGTAATTACAAAATTACATGACATTTCAGGTAACAGAAAGTGACTTTAAGAGACAAGACAGTGTGACTTTACACGCCAATAAAACTGAACGGAGTGTTATGTGGGTAAAAAACTCAATTATGTCCTGTATTTCTGCTCTTCTGCAGTGTTGGACGCCTCAGTGAAAGTGCCTGTTGGAATTTACATCGGGAATGTGTATCAGTTTGGCGATTTCGATGAATGTGTGGCCATTGAGTCACCTGGTGAGACGGATCATCGACACATCCAAGCGCAGTACTGTCTCGTCGATGTGACCATCGATGGGTTCACAGTTCCCCCAAGATCTGCACGCAATCACTCACAGGTGAGTGGCCAAATCTCTGGGAAATTCCCCCATTGGGAGAAGTGCCATGAATTGTTCCTTGGGATTTGGAGGTGATTCGCCCTGCCAAAAAAGGCGATGCAAAATTTGATTTGACCAGAAGCTGTTGCTAATGCCAAATGACCATATCTTGGGTTGATGCCACTTCCTCACAATTCACATGCTGTTTTTACAGGCAGAAGTGGGTGCACAAGTTCGTTGGGGCATTTGCCTTCCTGCCTCGTGCATGGTGAAAGATGTTGAAGGATTTCTGGCCACAGCGGTGGGCCATAGAGTTCGAGTGGATGAGCGCTATTGCCATGTTGAGCGACCTCTTGAGTTCACCCACAGTGAGGTCTTCTTCCTCTGCATCCTCACCATGTTCGCATTGGTTGTAATCGTGAGTACAGGACACTCCATCTACCACTACTGCCACAGTGGCATCAACAAGCCACGATTGCCACCGCTCCTCAATGCAATTCTCAAGTCATTCTCAATCACTGGTGAGTGGAAAGAGGCGCTGTCCACCAAAAATGCTATTAACCTTGAGTTAATGAGCACTTCAACCTCTGTTTCTTTCACCAGAGAATCTCGTGAAGTTGGTGAAGAAGGGATCCGATGATTTGGGACTGGGTTGTATCAATGGAATTAAAACACTGGCGATGGTCTTTATCATCTCTGGACATGCCATGGCCTTCATTGCCGGTGGACCAATTCAGAATCCAGATTTCTATTTAAAGGTAGACGTTTTCTCTCTTTCTGCAATCAATATTTTCTAATTTAGGTCATACTTTGTAGGAAAGTCAAGCCTTGAAGAATGCCTTCTTGCTCAACTCACCGCTCTTGGTTGACACATTTCTCTTGCTGAGTGGCTTCCTGTTCGCCAGGCTGCTACTTGTTGAGCTGGAGAAGCGCAAGGGAAAAGTGAACTTTGGCTTCCTTTACATCTTTAGGTACATTCGTCTCACACCAGCCTACATGGCGGTGCTCTTCCTCTACATGGTGCTATTGCAGAAGCTCGGCTCTGGTCCGCTGTGGGACGCTCGTATTGGACTTGAGCAGGAGCGATGCGAAAGCTCGTGGTGGATTAATCTTCTCTACATCAACAACTACCTCGGCACAGACAAACTGGTGAGTTTCACTTTACATTAAATGTTGAAATGCACCGCTGAGGCGCCCTTTTATCGGTGGGAAGCGCAATATAATTTCCGTTTAGAGCCGTTTTTATGGCTATTTGACAATATTTCTTTTAATATCTTTTTGCAACACTAAAAGGTCAATGATGTCGTTAGATTGATCGCTGCAAGATTCAATCGGACCAAGTTCACTCTATTAAAGTGTTTCTCAATCTTGCGTTTGCCTATTTTTATTGTCAATCATTTTCACTTTATGATATTGGGGTCTTTTGAAGTTTATTAAAATATTTGATTGTCAGATAAATGATTTTTTTGTGCCAAATTCCAAACATTTGTGAATTGTAGAATGAGAAAAAAATGTACCAAAGCGTGCAAAATTTCGGGGGAAATAGTGAAATATGGTACAAAATACTCAATGGCACAAGTGTGGAAGTATAAATGATTCCGTGCAATAGTATCTTTTAGCAATAAAAAAAATATCCCCTGGCGAGGGTGTTCGGTGTTATTTCATTGGGAAAGGGATCCACAGCATCATCCGAATGGAGTCGTTGTGTGAGAAAAAACACATCAGTCCCATGTGTCTCTCCCATCAGAGGATCTCGCTGTTGCCACACGTGTCTCCGTGTGACTAGAAATTGTGACTGAGGGCACTAAATGTGGCATAAATTTTGCAGTGCATGTTCCAATCGTGGTACCTTGCGACGGACACTCAACTATTTATCCTGGCGCCGTTGCTTCTTTACCCACTGTGGCGATGGAGAAAGGTGGGCGTGTACCTGTTTGCAGCATCTGCCACCGTTTCCGTTCTCATTCCCTTCGTTGTGACCTACGTGAATAATTTGGATCCCACCTTCCTGGCTTTTGCCGAGTGAGTTGCTCACCAATTCTCTGAACATCACCCCAACATGTGGGGTGAGACACATTAATGTTCGATGATGCTGAAATGTTGGCCTTTCTTCCAGGGAAATCACTGATTTATCGGAGAATTACTACTTTATCAACTTCTACATCAAGACACATATGAGAGCCACAGCGTACATATTCGGTCTCCTCACAGGATTCCTCGTGCACTACATGCAGGAAGAGAAGTAAGTTCAAGGACTGGATGACATAAAAACTGTTTTTATTCTTCCTCCGGGTAAACCGCTTCTAGTGATATTTTATTTGATTGAGATTTAACTCGGAAAAATTAAAGATCCATTTTGTAAAACACGCGGAAGGTCTTTGGCCATTTATCTGGAGATTCGGGATGAAAAGTGACTATTTATGCTACACGTGGTAAAAATTGGGCTCTAACCGATAATGAGTAAAATATTCGATAAAGAATTCCCTTAAAAGTACTGTACTTAATTACATAAAAGCATTTTAATCTTCCCGTCATTTTCTTATATTCCGAAAAGTTGTGAGAGAATTGGAGTACATTCTCACAAGAGTTTATCTGAAATGGTAATTTATTTGCGAAAAGAATTGATCAGAAGAAATTTGCATATTTCGCAAAGGTGAAGAACATTTTAATATTTCCCATTTACGCTCAAAACATTGCGGATTGTGTGGGGGTTTAAGTGGATCGTCAGAGATAAGTGAATTATCATTGGAAGAGGTTCGGCCCAAAGAATGCGAAAAAAAATGTTTTTCGACAATTTCTGTGTGACAGAAGATAAGATCACCACTAAATTCTCTGGGTTTTGCAGCTTGAGACTGTCCAAGACGTGGCATTGCGTCTGCTGGATCACAGCAGTGATCGTTGGGGCGGCTTCAATGTTCTCCATCGTGGTCTTCTACAGTCCCACGTATGAGACTTCGCGGGTCAGCAATGCCCTGTACGCGGGTCTGCACCGCATGGGCTGGAGCTTCTTCACCTCGTGGATTGTGTTCGTGTGTGTGACGGGGAGGGCGAAGCCTCTGCAGAGATTCCTCGGATCGCGCGTCATGGCGCCCTTTAGCAGGCTCACTTACTGCGCCTACCTGACAAATGGTCTCGTGGAGCTCTACCTGGCCGCCACGATTCGCTCACCAAAGTACCTCACTGTCCTCAATTTGGTGAGTAAAAGTGCATGATTTTATCACACATCGACATCGAACTTCTCCCCGCAATATTGCATGATGACACTCTGGTTATGTTCTTTCGTGCAACAATTCGCAATCTTGCGAAATATATGCGTAACTTGAGCGCCAATATTTAGATCAAATACTGTGAAAGTTATTTCTATTGCACTGAAAATCGATTTATTTCATTGTTGCAATTAAAATGTGCCAATTCGAGAGATTTGGCATGTTAAAAATTGAGCCACTTCTCTTTTCACTTGGCTTTCGAGAATTTTTACCACTAAATATAAAGTCATTCAAAATCTGCACTTTATTAATTCTTCATGTCTACGCGGAAGACGCAATTAGTGGGAGATATGCTGAGTAATTTGTGCAAATATTACATAAATTCAGTGAAAAAGTTTTCAGCAAATAGTCGTTAATTGGCATTCCTTTGCCTGCCTGTTTTGTGAGAGTACTAATTGTTTTTTATTCTGTTTAATTTTAATGGCTCATCAGAGATGCGGTAATAAGTGTAATATTTCGCTTGAATTTCGCAAAGACTGGACAAAAAGTTATCTATTTTGGCTTTATTTGCCATGTGGAAGTGCTTTTCCTGATACCATTTTCATGACTGTGCAATTTTCCTTTCATGCATCATGCATGAGAAATGGCATTTTATATTTATGAGGGTGCATGAGAATGTTGATGCAACACAAAAGTGGGTTCTCTGCATTGATGGCGGATGGGATTTTTTCCTCCTTATATTTATGTAGAAAATGAGATGGGATTGAAGGAGATGTACACTCTCATCGATACACTTTGCATTCGGGGCATCGCACATAAGGGAAAAACCGAGAGCTTTCGCCTTCGAGAATACTCAATTTCCGTCTGTATTTGCAGTTGGGCGATGCTCTATCACACACAATACTCACATTTATTGCCGCCCTTATCCTGTGCCTTGTGTTCGAGTCACCAATACACGGTATCGAGAAGATTCTCCTTCGGCATGGTGAGTCTCAATGCAATTCTGTTGGATAGCTTTAAGCTCTCGCTCTTCACTCTGGGTGTTTTTCGTCTATTGCAGATGAGCAGAAGAGGAAGAGAACCAACAATAGTCCCAGCACGTCGGAGGAATCCGCGTAGGAATTGGCCAGAGGCTTTCCTCATTTCTGCCTCGCGTGAGGAAATCAATGGGCATCAATTCCTCCTTAAACCAGTATTTAAATTATAAATTAGCTCCTAAGCGGTGTAGTTGATGTGAGGATTTCTTTCTGCTCGCGCTCTCTCTCGAGACAAAGTGTGATAGAGAAGATGTCTGATAACGTAATTGATATTGTAATTGAATTTTCTCCCTCTGGATAGAACAATTTCTGTTTTTCTTTGGGAAGTGAGTCTGTACATATAAGTGAGGGAAGTCTCTCTTTGCCTCTATTTGATTTTACCAATGATATATGGATAATGTGGTGTTTATTTTATGAGTGTAATTAGCTTTAAAATTGCTGTAAATATTTTCTATTTATTTACATTCCGTCTCTTTCACTACTTCTCTCTCTCTCTCTCCCTTTCATTTTTCTCTATCTTTTAAAGTAAGACAAATGGTTTCACTTACTTTATTAACAGTCACAAACGGAAGAGATAATAAATAAATTATTTTGTAAAATTTACAACTGATAATGAATCAATTATTTATAGTTGTGAACATTTCCGGAAAGCGCTGTGCTTCCCTTGGAAACTACGTCTGAGTTTTCATGAGTGGGTGATAAATGAAAAGAGTGCAAAGAATAATGTTTAACAATCGCTGAGAAATTGCTATGCATGTTACCAGCGTCTCGGTCTTCTGGCAATCTCCTTCTCCTCCTCTTCCTCCTCCTCCTCCTCATCCTCTTCTTCCTCCTCCTCCGAATCCGCCGCAACACCTGCCACTTGGTGGTCTTCCTCCGGAGCACTGTAGCTGTACCGCTGGCCATATGACGGTCTTCTGGGTGTGAATTCCTCACTAATTGATGTCGGGATTGTGGGTGAAATTTTGTGGGTATGTCAAATTGAGAAAATAGTTGGAATACCTTTCATCTGCGCCCCAAATGTCATCTGCAGCCGCCTCGCCACCCTCTTGACCTTCCGCTTCTTCAGCTTCATTCTCTTCCGCGTAGAACTTAATTTTCCTCTTTGGCAACTCCGTCTCGTCCTGACCACCAAAGACATCGTCAATTTCCTCCTCAGGCGCGTCTCGTGACTCTGTCGCCTCATCCACTTCCGCTGGGGAAGTCGAAGCTGCAGTTCCTTCCGCCTGGACGGCATTGAGGAGCAGAGCCTTCACGCTGTGCAGCGGTAGATCAAAGATCAATGCGAGAACTGTCGCCGAGGCGATAATCACTCCAATTTCCACCCAATCAAACTGAATAGAAAGACATAGAAAAGACCTCATAAATCGACATGCAACGGTAATTTCCGCACAGTGTCACTTCTTACGAAATCTGACAAGCCAAATGCATCCGGATGCTGCACGGTGGCTGCAAAAGTGTTCAGCACGATGAATTGCACAAAGTACATTGCATAGGAGATGCGACTCAGGAATATCATGGGCTTCGATGAGAGGACTTCATTGAGAATGCCTGCAATGGAAGGAGATTAATAGAAAAAGCGCTCTTCTGTCGTCATTGAGAGCGACTTGCAAATTTATACACACAGACTCGCATAGAATTTGCATTCTCGTTGCAAGTCTGGAAATTTATTTACAGTATCTGGCGATATGAAAGTACACCATAAATGCAAATTAATTACATAGACCTGTTATATTCATAGCCGTTATAATACGACACGCAATTAAAATAAATTTCTACATATCATATTTGTGTTTTCCTTCCAAAGTTTGTCTGAAATTCAATTTGATTATATCCTGAGGTCGTCCTAAAGAGCGAAGGATGAAAGCTTATCGCGTGTTTTTATGTTTGAACATTCATATCTGTGTTTCTTATTGCTTGATTTTAATTAACTTGGGCCCAAACAAATGTTTCCGCAGAGCTTTACATTCTTGGTGGAAGTCGAAATTAGAAGAGGGGATTGAAAATGAAAATAATAAGGGTTTATGGTGTGCAATTTCGCGTAATCAGGATCTTGGCTCTGAGTTATAAAGTTCGGATGCTTTGAAATCTAATGATCTGGAAGGCAGAAGGCAGCTAATAAGATTATTTCCAGTCTCTGGAATCTCTGATAATGGCGACATTGCACGAAAATACAAAACCCTGCATTCTGTATTGCATTTTGTAACGCATCACTCCAGGGCAGAGTGGCGCACATGAAAAGCTGCGAAAAGCTGCAGGGAATTGATAAATTTTCTGTGCTCGAATTTGTGGATTAATGCGAGCGCCTGTAAAAGCAGTCAGGTCAACGCTGTGCACTGGATAAAATGGTGAAAATGAAATTTCAGTGTGAAATTTGCATTCATGCCGTTTCCACTCTCGTACACAGTTTCTGTTAAACTCACTCTAATTCACTTTTGCTAGAGAAATTCGCATAGCCACTCTGCACGGAAATATACTTCTGCAATTCAACCAGCGAAATCATATGAATTTCTCTCCTGGGAATTCTTGTATCACGGAAACTATTAGCAAACTTTCGGGACTTTTGAAGTTCAAGAGGAATTCAACAATACGATTGTAACATTTTGCCGTAGAATTGATATTCAAATTAAATGCGAACATGAAGTAGGAAGACTTTGATTCTCAAGATCAAACGCGTAAATTGATAAAATCATCGCTGAGCTTCACATATTTGATAAGAAATTTGTCTCATTTGTTGGCAATTTGGTTGCAAAATGTTAATTGAATTCCCATTTTGATTATTTGGAAATATGCCTTTGTGTAATGCTCTTGCATAAAAGTCAATTAACCCGTTGACGGTGGCACACCGAAAATGATCGTGATCATCATTACTTAATGAAGATGCATTTTATCACATGCCACACGATTTCGCAATGCTGCGCTCACCTCCATTTCCCGTGTGGCAGGCGAAGACGATCCAGTTGATGGCGATGGTCCAAATGAGTGGAGACCATGCACTTGATTTCGCCATGTCTGTTGGATCGTACACGAAGTCGCGTCGCGTGATGTCCCACTGAGAGCCGAAGCACCAGGCCACGGAGACCAGGAAGGACGCCCATCCGCCGTACTTGATTCCATCAGACAGACGCACATTCCTGCCGGTCTGGTGAAGCATCACACCGAGTCCCAGGCCGCCCATGTAGGGAGTGATTCTGTGCAGAAGCGACCCGAAGGACAAATTGATAGTCCTGTGAATCTGAGAGAGTCTGCAAGATACAGTGAAGACGTAAGAAAATGCACTTTACCCATTTCCTCCCGGCGACTCACTTCATTCCGTGATAGATCCACGGCGAGAGTCTGTTCAGTTGAGTGTCTGAGAACCTTGTTGCTGCGGAAAAAGCATGGAGGAGCCCGAATAGTCCTAATCCCATCACTGGAGATCTGTACATCAGCCAGATGACCAGAGGGGACAAGAGGAAGAGCTGAAACTCAATGGCCAGCTGAGTGGTGTGAGGAGAGCAAGAATCCTCCACATCATCCCAGTTGTTGATGAAGAGGAAGTTCTTCCAGGAGCTCTCTTGGCACAGATCCGAGTTTTCCTCGACAATGTCTCCCCAGAGAGGCCCCGAGCCCAAATATGGCCAGATCCATGCGATGAAGAGCGTGGAGAGACTCAAAAGTGGCAAGAGACGCAATATTCGACCGAAAAGTCTCCTAATCCACCTTATCTGGCCATGAGTCTCGAAGTCTCTGCACGTGGAATACGCCACAAGGATGCCACTGAGCACCAGGAACACATCCATGGACAGCAGAGGCGACCGCAAAGGCACTGTGGCAGGATTGTCGAGGGTCTCAGTGAGGGAAATCCTATTAGACCAGGGCAGCCGCACAATCTGCAGAGTCTTGAATGTGAGGAAGATGGCAAGCGAAGCAAACGCCTTGAGGCCATGAATGCACCCAATTTCACCGTCTCTCAAATGCACTAAATCCCTAAGCGTCTGCCTCACAGAGAATGTCATCAGCACCTGATTCACTGTCTCCAGAGGTTCTGCACATGCAATAGAACGGAAATGCAATGTAGCCGCATTGTGTTTATCTCTAATGTTCATTCTCACCTGTACTTGTTCCCTCCAGTGGAATTGTTTCACCGAGTGTTTCACCTTCAGCTTCCTTTCCCTCCTCGTCATTCCCATCCACAATCTCTATCACGATAGTCGCCTGTTTCCACTGCGTCCAGCAGTCATTCATCGTGGCCAGTGCGGCAATCACGAGGATGAAACACACTCCGGCCAGCGTGGCGGTAAGTTCCCACTCAGTCTTCAGCAAATTGTTCCAGTTGTGTGACTTCTTCACGTAGCAATCCTCATCCTCGAGGTCCACCAGCACGGACACTCCCGTGGCATTGTAGCTCTCGAGTGTATCCTCCAGATAGTCCTCTATGTCGGCCGCTGAGCATGCAGCTGGCACGCAAATGCCCCAGTGGAACACCGTGAATCTTGGCAGGAAGTGACTTGGGTCCGAGATGGAACTTCTCAGGAGGGATTTTCCCTGAATAAGATGCAGAGGTAGCTTGAGATTTTCCTCTTCGGCTTGCAACTCCACCGATGCCAGGCAATATTTTCCCTGAATTCGCACAGAATCCTTCTCAGTCACCTTTATGCGCGTGGCAATGTCTGTGCAAAGCTCATAATTGCCCAGCTGATTCACATTTCCCTGAAGAAGGCCTGAGCCGATTTTCCCTGTGGCGTCCAGCACTGTGTATGAAATATTACGAGGATTCACCATTTTGTGATCGATTTCGCATAAAAAATTAATATTCTCATCGTTCAACTGGCGATTTATTATGACAAATTTTGCATGAGGAAGAAAAATCAATAAATCTGGGAAATATTTTATGGCCAATTTCATGAGATTATCGAGAATTTATGTGTTAAAATGTATGTTATCAAAAAAATATCCACACTTTTATGGGTTCAGTGCTTGTCGACACTCTACATTTTTAATGAACTGATAAAGTGCTATTAAAATAAATACATATGCCATTAAGAGAGAGCAAAAACCAGGCTGATAATTGACTCACTCTGAAAAGCCCACAATTTCTGCCCGCGAAGCTGCCGCTGGAAGATTTGTCCTTGCCTCCGGCAATCCATATTTTCCACATTGGTGTAGTTCGGAACGAAGGACGGCAAGTACAGTAGCATGTCTTCAAAGTCATCCGCCGTCAGTGGCCCCTTGGACTTTTCCTTGCTTTTGCCGCTGTCCTTCTTCCCAGACTTGGTCTCCTCTTTGCTGTCCTTATCGTTGTCGTCTTTATCGTCGTCTTTATCATCATCATCATCATCATCATTATCAAAGTCGAAGATAAGATTGAAGGGCTTTCGATTGAAGTAGGATTTCCAGAGATTCCCGTTCAAAGGCTCAGTCTTCACTTCTTGCCGAATTTCTTCGTTTTCACTCTCTCGCACAGACTGCATTACGCTGAGGAATTTTCCCTTCTTGCTGGAGAATAGTCCGTAGAAATTCCACCAGGCAGGATCTGGCCCTTCATCCTCTTCGTCATCGTCGTCATCGTCGTCATTGTCATCATCGTCATCGTCGTCATCTTGGGCTATTTCCACTCTTGACGCTTTGGATTTGATTCGTTTGGGAAGCGCTTCGTCTTGAGTCTTCTTCCTGATCTCGCTGTGATGCACCTTCTCGAACTTGTACTCTGGCTTCTCTTCAGCGCTGTCCTCATCATCATCAGCATCCTCCTTGGCGTCATTGTCGTCATCGTCGTCTCGCTGGAGTTTCGTGGACAGCTGAACCTTCTGCAGAATGTCACGCACTCGTGGGCTCTTTCGCCACTCTCGCGACACCCCAGAAGTCGAGGAGGCGGTCAATTTGAAGCCATCGCTGGGTTGCACCAGCGCCAAACACACCACCAGCAGGATCACTACATTGAGAAGTATAAATAGCCAGCGATCTCGCCGAAATGGTGACACGAACATTAAGGCACTTTGTCACTCCCTAAAATCCACAGAGATTAACCCAAAATTCCCACACTTCTTCCCTCCCACACTGCTGGCCCTTGTCCGTGGATCTACTGGACAGGCATCACCCTCGAAGATGCCTGTTGAGAAGCACCGAGCAAATCCGGGCTTTATGTAAGACCTCACTTTTTGCAGTCACCCGCAAAGTCTCGAGAACAACTGAGGAGGAACGACAGTAAAAATAGATTTTCCACCAAAATCGCGGTGAGTTTTCGCTGAGATTCGCCTGAGGGAACGAGATGAAAGAATACACAACACATATGTATCTCTGCGTATTTATATCGTTCATATCTTCCGGCAGGAGTAAGACAATCACAATGAAATGTGTTTTCAAGCATACTTCAGAAGCACAAGCTGGACGAATGGGATTACAACTGGCGTGGAAGGACTGCGAAACAGGTTCGCAAGGGATCCAGAAGGACAAGGGAAGCATAAGTATTCAATACCTAATGAAATAACGATATATGAAGGTGCTTACCAAACAACAGACAGTGAATATGTGCTCTGCTATTTGAACTAGCATTGTTGCGTCGTGTCCGTCGTCTCGGCGCTCGAACGCTAAAGTCGGCCAAGAGGAGAGCAACAAGTGGTCAAGGGAGTGACTCAGATACACACGTATGAGAATCAGAATATAATTTATTTTATATATGTATATATATGCTTTCTTTCTTCCTCTCATGAGATGACTATAAGACATATGAGTTTAGAAGTGCAAACTTAAAATTTCACACAGTTCTATGCTTTTCCTACAGGGCAAATGAGAGTGCGGCCTTCTAACTGAAGACGCCTTTCCTCATTCTCAAAAATCACACCATTGAGATTGCATTACTTGCCATTCAACCATAAGGAATGATTTTTTTCATTTGTATAGAGATTCCGATTTAATATTTTTTCCTTTGTTAATTTTTTTTTAACTTATTAACATTACTTTTTATCTTTGAATAAATTCCTCGTGCTTGCAGTATAATTTTTGATGATCGAAATTTCAATTTTTAAATTAAAAATCAATCTAATCAATAATTTAGTTTCATATATGTAAGTGTGTGTGTTATAGCCTATAGTTTTGTCTCATTAAAAATACTTCTATTTTCTTGTCAAATTTATTAAGAGGCAGGGACTAGAGTATATTTTCACTCTTATTATACATCTTCCAAATCACTACTGTATAGTAAGTAAATAATTTAGTTATGCTCTGCAAAATAGAAAATAGATGTGTTGGTAAAGGATTTTTGAAATTCCATATTTTCTTTCAGCTTTTACATTCGATGTACAAAGAATGTCAAGTTAGGAGATATTTGAGAGAAATCATAGATTTAGAAGATATGAGGCTTAATTTTTAAATTTCTCTTTTTTTCATTTATTTATTATTTATACTCTTCCAACTAATTCCCAAAAATAGCTAAGGTCATCATAAGATTTAGTTTCAAATATAATTTCTTTCTTTTTTTCTTATTTAAACTCTATTTACAGAATTTAACTATATACAATGATTTACTAGATTATGTCCCAAACATTTTTTTTTCTTCTTTCAAGTGTTTGCTGTAGCAGGAAAGTTTCTGATAAAATGAGAAAAGGGACTTCCAAATGTACATGAACTTAACAATCCGAAAACCGTGGGATTGGCGATGGTCTTAGGCACAAAATACATAGAATTTGAATTATTAAACATTAGCAGTATTTTTTTTATATTTCTCTTCATCACAATTTATGTTGCAATATTCATTATTCTTCTTCTGTTAAATACGTTGTCTTTTTCGTTAGATTTTACTCAATAAGTACCTCTCGTTCAAGAAGTTTTATTTTTTATTTTTTTTTGGAGAAAAACACTACGCAAAATTGGTTAAAAATTCGTTAAATGTTCATTTTAGGGTAAAAAGGTTTGTCCAAAAAGAGGAAGGAGAGCAATTTTACAATTGAAAGAATTCACAATAAATTCCTTTTAACAGTACTCTTAATTTTATACATCTCTTATAAATATCTCTTCCTGTGTCTCGTATTCTTTCTCTGTTCATTGCATCACGATATTTTCTTTGAGTTGCATTTTTCATTCTTTAAATTTATACAATAATAGAGTGTTCTTGGACCCAATAAATCCTTGCGCCATATTTCCATGGATATTTTTTTTTTCATTTCATCATATATTTAAATAGGTATATATATATGTTATGTATATATTTGCATGTTCTTTAGATTTGCCATATGGGATTAACTTTATAGAATAATAAAAAAAAGTTTTTTTCTCTTCATAATTTGATTTGTTTCTCACGAGTTTCTTCCGTTTTTTTTTAGTGCGGATTTCTAATTGATAAAATTTTTCAAATTTGAATTGAGGTGCAATTAATAATTTCACTACCGTGCAAAATTGTTTGGATATCTGCTGCTCAATTCAATGGAATATTTTATGGCCACTCTGCAGAAAAGGGTGATATGTGTAAACTTGCGACAATGTGGAAAAGGGCAGACTTTTAGTATGAAGATAACATATCACACATAATAACACATCATTGGGCGGTTCATCCGAATGAGCGTGGCACAGTTGATTAAATAAATATTCCACTAAACTGAATCAGCAAGTATCCGCGGTTTCCTTAGGAAAATACCTTCGAAATGAGTTACGCCTTTTTATCACTTCATGTAATATTCTTTCCGATCACACTTTTGCACAACAGTGTAATAATTCTCCGCCGTGCACTAATGCAGAAACTGACATCTTTTCATTTACTAATACCTTTATTAAAATGGATGCAGGCTGCATTCTACCTGACGTATTATGAGTGATTGTCTCTGGGGTACTTTCTTCTAATAATAACTTGCATTTTCGGAAACTTCCATCATCATTCTTTCAGAGCAGTTTTTTTTCTTATACTGTATATGGTGTATCTACAATTTTATCGTTCACTTGTTCTTCTAACTCTAATTCTCTAAGCACAACTACATTTTGAATATTTTCATCAAGAAAATTGAAATCAACTTTTGTTCAATAAGAACTCTTACCAAAGGGATTGTCATTTGCTAAATATATCATTCTAAATAACTCTTATATCTTTCAGTTTATTCCTTACTTTTGTATCATATTACTACATTTATAGAAATCATACAAAACAAAAATCAATAGGAAAACTACACAAAGAGCTAATTTATTTTGCTGAAAATATTGGGCAAAAAATATTTGTCTCGATTGATTTTTAATGGTCAAATTTTGAGAGAGAATTATATCGAGACAAATAGTCTTTTTCTCCATAATATTTTTGTTTTCACTCTATATCGGAAAAAGCTGAATTTTTCTATATCAACGTAGAGTACTAACTTCTTGTTTACATTTTAAAAATGATAGAGAATTGGTCGTTATTGCGAGCACTTGATATATGTATAATATTTCTTAGTTAATCACACACTAAAAGGGCTTCTGCGGTAGGTTTTATATATATGATATAAAGCTCAGGGGCACAAGAGCTTTACATCATTCAATATGCTTTTTTTTTAATAAAGAAGAATTTTACCCATTCTACTTTCTATACCTACACGTGAATAAATAATTAAATCTATGTTTTAAGATAAATTCTAGTGTTCATACTTTATACAATACCATCATTTTTGTCTCATATCTTTTCTTTTTTTGTTTTATCACTACAGTTTACTGAAGAAGAGGCATCTCGTACGCAGAGTAGGCTCTTAAGGTCTACTCAGAGATTATCTCTTGCTTAAAAAAGCATTTATAAATACACCCTCTAATCATTCATGTCTCGAATCTAAAATACTTTAACATTTTGTTAAGTAATTGACGTTTTTCATTTGACTTACATTATTACAGAGTTTCCCTTTAATCTAATTATTTCTATACTCACTTCACGACATGTGTATTTTCCTTTTGAATATGCATGTGAATTTTATATTTTATATAAGTCGTAGAAAAATATCAACTGTATTCCTTGCTCACTTATCTCTCCATGCTCAGTTTTTCGTCGCATTTTCACAAACACGCTAATTTTTTTTGTTTCTTTTCAATTAAAAATAATAAAATGGGCAGCAACTTGGATTATCTCTTGAATTGAATCTCTTGAGCACTGACGGATTTGGATAAAATCAAATACTAGGTAAAATTCGTCAGAAAGGTAGTAAGAAAAGGGGTTCGTTACTCCATGTCTCTTACTAAATAAATTACTATGTATTTACACTTCATTATAATCATCATTTCTTGTCCTAATATCACTTTGAGAACTATAAGGAATGTTTATCTTTTCATCCTATATATTCACTTTGATATGTGATTAATTATTATACAATTTTGCATTGACAAAAGAAACAATTGAGAAAAAATATGGTAAAAAATCGTCTCTCTGTTTCTACAGAAGTACACAATTGCAAATTTAAACAACATAATATCTACATAAATTTAATGGGAAATCCTGATAAGAATATTTTCTCATCCAGTATTTCACATTATTAAAGAGTAAAAAGTCGATTTGGTGATATTTCATGTGAATCTCTCAAGAACTGCTTCCACTACTCATCAACTGAAACTTTTCCTGGTCTATAAAGTCGAGATATAAAATATTAACGGAGCCGTAAAAGTGAATATATCCAAAAAGGTACTCACTCTCGAGATACGTTGCCAAATTATGATCGTCAGCCAGGATGGCCAGCATTTTGGGCGTTCGCCCCTCATTATCCTGAATGTCGAGATTTGCACCTGCCGCCACGAGCATATAGCAAACGCTACGCCGCTTGTGGGCTGCAGCCACATGAAGGGCAGTCTGTCCTCTGGTTAAAGTTGAGAGGGTGGAAAATTTATGTTGGGTGAAATCATTGTTCTCACACGAGAATACAATTCAACTTACTTTTCATTGTCCAGCATATTTATAATGGAGTTTGGGGCGTAAGCAATGAGAAATCTCACAATATCTTTATGTCCATACAGAGCGGCGAAGTGAAGTGCCGTTTGTCCCGTTGAATCTATGGACAGCAGCGAATATCCTTGTGTATGAAGCTCTTTCAGCTGCAGGTCAAATGAAAAGGACACTGTGGTTAGCACCCAAGCAAGAAAAGCCTTCTCCAAGAGAGAAACATTTCGTAATTACCAACAATAAATCGCCGGACTTTGCTGCTTTTATAATAACATCCGTCGTCTTTTCCAGTAGATTGCTGCAGAGTTGAGATAAAAATGTATTATCCCAATATTTTTATGGATTTACACAATCTCTAAATGGTGTTTGTTTCGCGGTATTATTATAGTTATCATCTAAATAAACTACACATTTACTGTATAGTCGCAAAGCACATGTGTATATCCTGGCTATTGCAAACTACGTTTCATTATCAGCAGAACAACTAATAGTTGAGCTTTATATCACAAATATATTACAGGAAGAAAACATGTACAAAGGATAGTGAAACTTTCTCTAGTATTGTGATTTCCAGTTTGAAGTATGTTGAATAAATGGCAAAATCACAACTCTAAGAGCTTTATCACATATTCCATGAGATTTAGAAAACTCTTCTGATAAGTGAAATAAAACAGGAAGCTTGAGTCGTAAGTACTTCAATGAATTGATAACGATGGCAAGCAAATTACATTGAATTTTTCTGAAAATCTAGAGGAAATCAATATAAAGCGAAGTGATATTGTGTCTTGGGATTTGCACATGTTTTATGCTGAAAGCGAATGAAGTGGATGTTGATTGAAATGGACAGAAAGTACCTGAATCCAAAAGGATCCTCACTCAGACTAAATAATCGGTCGTGAAAGCTGCATGCATTTAAATAATTTGTTTGTCCTTTTAACTCGCAAATTCAAGACACACACACACACACACACAACACAGAGATTAATCAATTTCATAGGATTTCAGTGCAACAGTGTGTGAGAAGAAGAGACTTTTCAATTCAGTCTACAAACAGAAAACAAAAAAAAAATAGCAAAACAGAGAGAAATACCTTCTGAAGTTGATGGTTTTCGTGTCCAATGATTTCCCATTTCGAATCACTTCATTGTCAGAGTCCGATTGATACGTCATGCGATTTAGCGTTGGTGAGAGATTTTCGAGATTGGTCGTTGGTCCTGACAGAGATCGATGGAAAAACTTCTTCTGCGGCGTCAGTGGCGTGCACTCACGCGAATCCTTTTCACTGCAAGTGCAAAGACATAAAAGTGGAAATTGATTGAAATAGAAAGGCAACGTGAAATGCACCTCAATTCCGACGGACTCAAGTTGGGTGGCTGATGAAGTGAACTCGGAGACGCCAAGGCGGTCTCATCTTCCGGTGTCTGTGGCATCGTTAGGCAATCTTGATCGAGAATATAGAGCGCTTCATTGGCAATATCCGTCAAATAGTGCAGATGCTCTTGAGCTCGATCCACGCGGAAAAATCTCTCTGCCGTGCATGAATCAACGAAACACCACTCAGATGACAACTTTACGCCACTTTCCGTGGATGTCTCACAGTGCTTATTCACAAGCGCCCTGACATGCTCCAAATCGGCAATGGGATTCACTTCGATGCAGCCAATTGAGGTTGCTGAAAAATGGAATTAGTGAGAAATCGATGTGGACAGCAAGAGAAAACCCCGTGGGTTTCCTAGCTTTGAGGTGAAATAGCTTGCTTGCTGAAATTGTGGAAATAATGCCCAGCTTTAGAGCTTACAACTCAGAAAAGGTATTATTATGTTATAGCAAAAATTCAATTAATATCTTCCTATTCACAATACAGAGGCACTTCGATTCCTGCGATATCGAATACCCTTTGAGCAACCCTGTCTGGATCTGATTTCACGATAAAACCCCACAAGTTTATAGAAAGAATAATAGAGGGTGAAGAAATGAACTCACAGCTGGAATGCAATTTTCAATGATTTCCTTCTTTCAGTCAATTTAATTAATTCCAACACCATCTTAATTCTTTCCTTTCGCACCCACTTTTTATGAGTCTTTTCCCACCTTTTACACTCTCTCACCCTCACTCTCAACATTCATTTTTGTGGCACCCTCGTAAATGCCAGTGTGTCCAATCCCGTAATACTAAACCCTAACAATATAAAAATCATTTTCTGCCAATTTGAGAAAAGGTGAGCCAGGTAAGTTTCAGCTGCGAACTTTGGGCTCGTCCTCACACTCACTCAACTCCACGAGATAGGAGAAGGTTGAATAAAAAATTAACTTAACTTTGAACTCTGACCGAATTGAATTGACTTTGTCAAGTTTTATTTTTATTACACCTTTCGGCATTTTCTGGTATTTTTTTCCTCTCCCTTTTTTCCCATTCACTTCTTCTTTTACACCTACCACTCGGGTTTGGACTTATTTTCACAAATTGTGTCCCAAAGAATTACGTCAGAATACGCAATAGACACGTGGGTGGAAAATTTCGAATGGAGATTACAGGAGAAGAATCTCCCCGTGGGACAAAATGATGCTCACGCGACATGCACAGCCAGCAAAACCAGCAAATATTTCATGTTGCTCCTCAGTGAGATGGTATACATCCGAAATTCCACATATTCCATCTATTCTTCTACGTGACCATATTTTTTGCATATCAAACAAGTGGCGGAGGTTTAAAAAATATTATGCGGGAAGCGGAAGTGTGGGCGGAAAGATATGATTACATTCTAGGAAAGTTTTGGTATATGGTTTTGCAAGGATCACGCTGTCAGATGCAGATATTAAACATTTTGAATTCAGAGTGCACATTTTAGTCCAGTAAAATACTAGGATATCATGTTTCCTCTCTCTCTTCTTCAGTCAGCAGAGAAAGTAACGACTATTCAATGTGAGAAGGGGAAAAAATAAGAGAGAAAATTATGAGCAGCTTTTAACAACATCAGCGTGTGCACTTGAAAATGTATGACTAATTGAACATAAATATTTTCACTGAAAAATGTGAAACACAAACGTGAATGAAAAAGAAGAGCACACGCGCATTTAACATACAGCCAAGGACCAACCAATTAAATTATGAGTGAAAAACGAAGGGAAAATATGAATGAATATTAAAAACAATAACCGTAATCATTGTGTTTGATGTTTCTCCTCCTTTTTTTTCCTTCCCCCAAATATGTAATATGAAATTTCAACAATGCAAAATTGAACATGTCTCCACAGAATGGGAAGGAGAAAAGCGCGTTTCTCCCTCTCTCAACTCTAATGTGAAAAGCCATGGAAAGTGTCCTATAATACGAGAATAGAGCCATTTTTTCGAATATATTTTTTTCCTTCGCTTCTGAATTATTTCACGTTGAGTTGTGAATGGAAAGGAAGCATGAGCATTCCAGGATAATTAAATTTTTCGCCTCATTCTATGCTCATCTCTCTGAATTTTTGTTCATGTCGTGGCTGAATTTTTTTTCCACAACCACATCTCATACACTGTTAGGGCCAGGAACAAAATTTAACCCAGCAAATTTTGATTGAATTGCCCTACAAGAAAAATATTTGTATACTCGGCTCGAGGGAGAGCCCCATTTGCCACGGCACACCATCATTTAGAATGTCCCCGCAGAATTTCCCGCACAGCAAACAGCCATTCTCATCACAGCTCTTTCTCACCTGATTGTTTAAGCAAGTCCTTGTCGTAATGATTCTGCTCGTAATCCGACATGGTGATTCGATTAATACTAATGTTGAGTGGCTCCATCGTCGAATGCCTGTAAAACATAGGAAATAATGTGAGAAAATGTTTTGCCTAATTACACACTGCACATCAATCGATTTTTTGCATTTGCAGCAGAATAGAAATCATCTCCGTATTTGAGAGAAATGCACAATTTCAAAAAAAAATCTGTGCAACGCTTGAATAGTGCACCAAATGGGGGCAGAGCTTTTAATCCGCTGCACAGAATAAAATAAAAAAAAATGGACATGATCCTCAATTACCATCACAGGAGATTTTTTTCACCAAATGCGTCAATCCATAAAAACAACAATATTTTTCCCACGCTACGAAAAATATCCCCCAAAGCGCACAAATCCCGCATGCACTTTTGTTATCAAAGTTCACATTCAATAAACAAAAAAAAAATTGAATTTTGTGCTGTTGGCTTTTCCAGGTATTTTGCATAGGGTTTTACAGCGTTGTGTCATGTGCCAGTGTCAAGAAGTTGCATGATAGCGACACGTGGTCTCTTTGTGCGTTGCAATTCACAAATATAATGACAACAAATCCATTTAAATCTACATCAACTATAAACTACTTACTGAACATTAATCCTGCCGGGCTTTCGCTTTGCCAGCATCACAGCTTTGTTGAGTAGATTTATCTCAATAATGGATGGCTTCAGCTTACACGCCTCACCATCCACTTGCATTGGAATGGTTTTCGATGTCACGATCTTCGCCGACCTGCATTGCGTGATGCACGAGCCATGACCGCCGGCCTGCAGCAGTGGCAGTTGGTACGTGGTGAGTCCAACCACCTCAATCATCCCATCGTCTGTCGCCGGCTCAAATTGCCCACCAGACTTATTCCACGGATGCGTTCCGCCGCCATAGCTGGGAATGTTGAGAAACACAATGGCATGCACTTTCAGCTCTCGCAACTTGGGCGTGAGATCCTTTCCGTCACACTCCAGCGTCACAAAGTCCGCCAGACCCTTCCACTTGCGCTTCAGCAAATCCTTTCCACCCGCTTGGCCGTAGAACATTTTATTCCTCAGGCGGGAGTTGAATCGCTCCGGGTGGGCCTCTCTCGCCTCATGGAACTCCAGCGCAATATGAGCGTCCACACCCATGGAGAAGTAGTTGTTCACCACATTCAGCGGCAATTCCTCCTTCCCATCCGCTGAGTCCTTCGCTGACGCATTTGGCTCCACATTGAGGCTCCAGCGGTCCAAAAGCACCGTATCTGAGTCCCCGATATTGCCGAGAATCTTCCCGATGGGCTCATCCGTGTAACCGCCGCCCCAGCCCAGAGCGCGTGCCAGGTCGTTTCCCGTGCCCAACGGCAGCACACCCACCGCGGGCGGAGGCGTGAAACCAATTTGGTCCAGCACAGAGAGCACCCATCCGACAGTGCCGTCGCCACCGCATGCCAATATACGCAATTGCGGCACTTTGCGAAACAATTCCAGCCTAAAATGTGGGTACAAGAGTGTGAAATATGGCTTAGAATTTTTAAAAATACACTGTAAATCTCTTTTATTACTTATATGCCAATTTCCTCCTTTATATATATGCACACCATCTTCTTATATGTACACATTTCAAATTTCTTCAGCATGATGTGCAAAAGTTTTCTTGCAAAATCAACAAACCTTGTGTTGAACTTTACTCTTTCAAAATGGATTTTATGTCAATAAAAGATGGCAAAGAAGACTAATTCGGCAGTTATTTTGTTCTTTGCATATTTGACAATAATTCCGCAAAATAAATTGAATTCTTTGTGCCTATATTGAACTCTCGCGAACTTTGCAATCGAATGCTTTATACTTCGCCACAGTGTATTTTTTCAAAAGGCAGAAATTGAAAACTTACCCCAATTTTGGGCCACCTTGGGTCAAATCGAACACCTGGCGCGGATTCAATAGCCACTGAAACTTCTGTAGAAGCTTGGCACCCTGATTGCCACCACTTTTCGGGTTAATGAATACGATCACTGGTCTCACATTGGCCGTTGGGATTGGTTTAATCACAAATGTACGTGGCTCTCGCTCCTTGGGCTTCTTCTTGCCAACTTGCTTCTTGCGCGGAGACTTCCTCAGTGATGACTTGAAGCTTCCCTTGCGCGGCAACTTGACAATCCACGACGGAGGCACAATAATACTGGAATGTATTCCTGAAGATTTCGTGCAAAAATTATCATCAAGTTTCACTGATTTGATATGAGAGAATCTCAAATAGTCACCTAATGAGCATTCTTCGCCAATTCGTTGTTGATTGAAACAGGATTCCTTGTTGTGAAATGACGATTTGCACCATGCACATGACAAGGCAACAATTTCCTTCGATCCAAACGACAATTTTGCTTGTAACGACTGCAAAATAGACCAGCAAGAACACATTTTAGCATTGTAAAAGAAAAACATCCTTCAACTATTATTAGTTATTCCACTCTCAGAACGTCATTCATCTCGAGGAGTGGCGCAGAAATTTAAAGATAAGTGAAAATTTAGAGTCTTAGATACGAAAGGAATTATTTCAAAACCAAGAAAAAATATGTAATCACAAAGAAGAGAATGAAAGAGAAGAATTATCAGTTTAATCACTTTGATATTCTTGCCAATTGTCACCATTTCGCATAAATCTCATCTTGTTGTTAAAAGAAAATTTGCCACAAGACATCCAGGAATCGTATTGGTGCAAGAGATTTTGCCAAAAGAACTTTATAATATGCCAATAAAGAGTTTTTTGTGATCATTTCCTGTGAATTTTAGCTTACATTCACGATGCTCTTTGCCAATAAGTCTGCAAAAAGGATTTATTTTTATTCTAAAATCAATAAGATAAAATTTAGGAAATCAAAATGAAAATAATTTGAAAATATAATTTAATTTCTTCTTCTTCTCCAAATTTAAATGCAAATGATAGGATAGAATTAATCAATCATAATAAACGTGCTTGGACAGAGGCCGAAGATGCGCAAATCTTTGAAATGCTTCATGAGAAAACTTGGAAAGAAACCAAATAAATCATCGTACTGTGGCGTCAAGCTGTATTTTACCTTTAAATAAGACTTCTCCGAGTGCTTAAAAGCAACAATAAAATAAAATATTGGTTTTATAATATCTGATAGAATACGGCGAAATTTGACTGATTGGGATTTAATGAAATTAAAGCAAAATGCGATTCTTCATTGATGAGCAATATGATCCAGAGTTTTTATTTAATTGGCATTCGTTAAAAAAAAATTGAATTTAGTAGTCTGTTTATGTGTGTTGTATACATATATAGAATATAGAGATTATTTGCATTCTCTCAATTATTACCTACAATTTCAATTCCACTCTGAAAATTAATATAAATTGGATATAATATTGGTTGTCAAATATCAGAGTAATTTCCAGTTTCATTCCAGCAAATCGCGTTCTGGGAAGTCTTTTTTTAGTAACTTGAAAGCTATAATGTATTTACTGATTCAATCACTGAACCATTAGAGTGTGTAATAGACATTTGGTGATGGGAATAATTGGTGTGTGAACCTCATTGGCCCCAACTGCATAAGCCATATAAAACAATTTTTCAATGATTCCCCAACCGCTTACAACAAGAGCCAAATTGCATTTACCTTTCCACATTGTTTGCATTTCCCTTTTTCCGTCCGTCGATGCACCCAATGATGATGAGTCGTGGTTTGTTCCCTATATTGTCGTATACCAACATCCCTAAAGGTAGGCTTGCACGATAGTTTATTGCGCTCCATTAGAATACCAATGCAATTTGCATGGGCGATTATTTTGCATGCTGAACACTTCATCCGTGGTCCATGTTTCTGCAAGAATACACAAAACGAACACCCTTTCAGCAAAACTGAGTACTCCCAAAAATGTTCTCTCAATTTTTGTACTCGGGAAAAACATGAGTCCCATATTGCCCTGGCTTGTCATGAATTCTGAGATATTCAACAAACTCTATAAACTTGATTTGAAAGCGAAGCCGCAGAATGCAAATAAATTCTGCCAGTTTAAAACTGCGTTGCGGCATTGCAAGAACACATTTAACAATGTGACACGGCGATTAAAGTGCACAATATAGTAATGAGCTTGTTGGAAAATATTTCTGAAGCCACATGAATTTACCATATTATTCTCAGTTCACAAACACATTAGTTACCGTGTGATGTGGCTTCAGTGGTGACTCGAGTGTTTGTTTGTAATGTAATGATTGGATTGCTAATTTAGCTGAAAGTGCAACTTTCTGCTTGTCAGAGCCTCTAATACCATTAACTGGCCCATCTTATCACACAATTTCAGCGCAAAGGGATGATGTGTGGGCCGCACGGAAGAGAGTCGATGAATTGAGTAAATTTGGAACTAAAGAGGAAAATTAATTTATCTAACACACTGCCACTCTCAATGTACTCACCACACACTCATTGTCCCCCACGTAGCAGCAATCACCAGACACCGAGGTGGGCATCCACAGATGATCTCCCGCCACGGCGTTTTCGCTCCAATCTGGCGTACATCGAATCGCCCTCGAGTCCGCGTCGTGTTTTCTGCACAGTCACATCCGCAGGAAGGCGCAGCGGGGGATATTCAGGTGGGAGTCCATTTGAAAGGGGAGAGAAAAAAACCAAACAGAGAAAAACATTATGAAATTGCTCGTGGCAGGTGTATTTCAAGAATGAGAACTCCATATAACTTTTCTTGTAATAATCCGTGATGGAATGCGCTCACAAAACGGGGTTGAAAACCAAATATTCTAATGAGAGAATTTATTAAAAATGTCTTTCCGATTCGTTAGGCTCAACCCAGATGGAGAATTTCATCTCTATCGAAGCGTGAATTAGATGGAAGACTGAGGGTGGAATGAGGCTCCAAAGGGTGGCTAATTCCCAATGATATTGAATACCAATTCTATATAGCTCAGACCATTTTCTCTAAAATACAACACAGATAAGAATATATCTCAGCACGATGGCAAAAGTTCCATTCAAATTTTATTTAAATGAAGAGAGATGCCAAGTCTTGAAAAAATACGATATACAAGTATGTACATATATATGAAAATATACATATACATTATATACTGAATTGGATATGAGTGAAAGTACTGAATTGTTCTATCGATGTGAGAGCGAAAATCAATGAATTTTTCCCTGAATAGTCTGATAAACATGATAAAATATAAATAAGAAACGAATCTTCGGGAATATTAACCCATCAGCGATCTCGAACCCATTTCAATAAGATAGGAAATGATATATTTCAGTCACATCTCAATTCTACGCGTTGCGGCCCACTTGAGAAATCCGCTTCAAACTTCCTTCAAGATTCAGGCTCAGTACATCATGGATTCCCTTTGAGGCAGCGAAAGAAAAATTGCAAAGGGATCAAGGACTTTGAACTAATGGGTTAATAGAATATTGATGTTTTGCTTTCCTCTCAAATACTTTGCGTGCGCCGAATTCAATTGCAAAGAGAGAATGCGAGATGCTATACAGAGTGTGTCAGAAGAGGTGCTCAATAAATCACTAATACACTTGGTGATTTACAATTGCAAGACAACCCTTCTGATATCCTTTACACACAATATATCATATGATAAAAGTGGAGATATGGAATTATTAATGATTAAGACAATCGCAATTTGCAGAATTTATTGTATCTTTTCCTTTTTCGACACCTGACATAGTGCCTAACGTACAAGCAAAAAGAGCTAACATCTGAACATTTTGTGGACTGTTCAAGTGGAAAATTCAATTATAAAATAAGATAATTCCGCTGGAAATTTTTCATCTCTCCAAAAGGCCATCAGGCTTTAGTCAAAGTAATTTATTTTTTTCTATTACGCTTCCAAATTTACCACAGTTATTTAATATACTTATATATATATAAATATATAAAATTAAATATTTATTCTCCATATCATTAATTTTGCTAAAAGTCTCAAGATGTTTCCACAATATAACATAAATACTTGCCAGGGTGAAAACACAAGGTAAAATTACATCCTTAATTTTAGCATGACACTCATCCGGGAAGAGGAGCGCAGATGGGAAATGATGAGAGTAAAAATGTAAATTAAAGCGATTAATCTTTGACCTGGTACATCTCTTCAACAGCCAATCCGAGGCTGATACAGCGAACTAAGTGTACACCAAGCGAGATGAATTGCCCTATTTCTTGCAAGTTCACCATCGCAAAGTGGCTACCATTGCCAACATTATGCTTAGAGAGCTTCTCTTTGAAAGCACCGTGCAAATTTTACGGGTGAGCGATCAGAAAAGAAGATCCACAAAGCATTCATTGAAGGAGATAATGAGGTTTTATTAAATTATTGGTATTCACGCCATCCCTCCCTATTATGGATAGACGAGACGAGCGAAGGTCAATTGGGTGGGAGGTTAAAATTGGAAAAATTATGTACGCAACGCTTTAGCCTGAATTTCTCATCAATAATTAAAGCATATGCCGAATATTTCACTCCATGCGGTGAACCGCAATATCAGTTATAGGCAGTCTCATTAGGCATGTTCAGAAGAATTATGGGAAAGTCAATAAATAAAGTAACAACAATGTGGCTAAATTAATATCATCGCTGTCGAAATTCATCGATCAAATAAATGTATAAGGAAGGAAGGTGAGTGAAATAAGAGTCTTCACTCTTACTTTTAACACCACACAATATATGGATTGTCTCCGAAATACACTCCATTTAAGCAAATTGTTTTTCCACATTCGCATCACTAATGGAAAATCATTACACGTGAAACATGTACTGCGCATTTTGGGGACTTTTAAAGCATTTTCTTATTGCTCGTGATGGCAAATTTCGCCCAAAATTTATTTATATCGTATCAATGGTGCGGGTACAACAACTGAAGTACATTACTGAGCTTTGTAAGCTCTCATATTTTTGGTAAATAATGCCGCCGTTTCAGCATATCCACGTAGTGAATATGATGAAGCACGTCATAACATAACTTTATCAAAATATACGCACTCATCATGAACCATGTCCAGAAAGTTTTTACTCCGCATCAAGTATTCAAGCCTGTGAATTTTGAATATTTCAACATTCTATGAATTCCAAAATAAAATGTCCGGCAAACTTTCCAGATACTCAACTTTAAACCCCTCCATTTCACTTGATATCACACAATCTAAATATTTTACAGGACGTGGACTTTTTAAAATACAAAATCTACTCTCTTAAGTAATTCAATAACCTGAGATTTTCCATTCACTTTCGGTAAACAAAATTTCGAAGATTAATCTGCAAAATGGGCAAAATAAATTAGGGTAAATATTTAATTGATTTCCATTTACCAAATTGGATCTATACAATGTGAAAAGGAATCCAAAAACTTTGGGATGAATAGAGTAAAGAATCAGTACAAGCAATATCAAGAGAGAAATCTTTCTGTGAACCCCAAACAAAGTCTGCAATCTCATCTGCAATGTGAGATTAAAGACATTAGAGTGTTTGTCTTTGGGCATTGAGTGCCCTTTCTCCGAAACCCATCGTAAATTCTGAAGAGAATGATGAAAAGTCTTTCATTACTATTTCCCGAATAAAAAATTCCGTCATATTTGCTGGTTATTTATAAAAACTTATATTTTCGCTCATTTGTTTTTATCAAAACTACTGGTAAAATGGATATTTGAGAAGATTTTTCATTTAATATTTGTCAGAAATGAATGATGAAAAACATCATTTCAAATTGGAGCACGTCCAAATGCGCTTTAGAAAATTTTGCTTTCAATTGATTTCATGTCACAAACGAATGAATTACTTTTTAATAAATGCATTCATATACTAAGTAAATGTTAAATAGTGCCGTTATGTATATCATTTCCAGAGATTTTAGCTGTAGATAAAATTCAACTTGAAGCATTTCTTACAAGTTTCTCAATCATAAACAGATACTTTTTATTCACCCAAGAGTTTCAAAAGTCCAGAGAAACAGGTCATATCTTTGAAATCTGTGACGTCAAGGCATTAAATACACAGCTGCCATCCCTCATGCTATGTCGCCCCATCAGTACGCCTTTTAGTGTTTGAACAATCATCTGAAGGAAGGCGCAAGATAAACAGGAAAAAGCACCAACAATTTGAGCACAAAGTCACAAGACAATTGGGGCTCTGTCGTAGTTGTAATTCCCTCATGAAATTCCTTATACACAAAAGGAGGTGAACCACAATTTTGAGCCATTTCGCACAATCGACAGCCGATGCCTCAGGATCCATTGAGTCAATATTATTGTTCATGATTTGAGTGATGGTTGGAGTATCTCAAAAATAGCCCAAATAGCTTTTGCGTTCCGAAAGTGTGGAGGGTGGGAAATACCCATTAATCGAATACACCCACGGGATCTTGCTAATTCTGGGACTTTAGGCGAGAAATTGTTAATTCATTACCCAAACTGAAATGCCGATGTCTACCAAAATGTCCATTGGGATTGTCTAAAGGTCTCTCACCATTTGCAATTACCGTCTCCACTCTTCTCATGCTTTATTTAGCATTGAGCACAGAAAAAAGAGATACATATAGTCACTGTTCAATTGATACCGAGTGGTGAAAACTTTTCCTCAGCCTTGGGATAAATTTATAAAACATCAAATGAATTCTCAGTTCATTTTATACCACTTCTTTTCCAGCGTTTCAACTTACAAGCAGAACATAATGTAGCACTTCTTTTTTCTAAGGAGTTTCATATTTAACTCTCTCGGGCACTTTTTTAAACACAGCTCTTTGACTCACTGACAAAAACATCCCTCATAAATAAGATTCATGCAAATATGCTAAGTGCACTTGACTGTAATTTACTTGAAAATATAATAGTGTTGTGCGCCAACAGAATTGTCTTGCCAACATTTAAACTTTCTGAATTTTCATGATATAATTCGGCGGAAGAACTTTCAGTTTTCCAAAACTTTGACACACACTGTAATTAGTTTAAACATGAGACAATTTAGCGAGAAGTGAAATAAAATTCGAGATGTTTTTTTTTCATTTAGACATCCTTGAACAACAGTGAAAGACGATTAACATCAGTATGTCAGAATCCATGAGAAGGAAAGTTTTCAACTGAGAAAAGGACAGAAAGAACGAGCATCCTTGTAAGTTCAAAAATGATGTCTTAAACTTAATATCAACAGAATGCGGTAAAATTTCACTGATGTGACTCTGTTGGTGGTTTATAAAATGTGCAATAAGCATTAGCGCTAGAACTTTATGAATTCCCATAAATTTGTGACACAGTGTCACAGTGTTTAATGCGTCTTTATGCTAAATTGACACCCGTTGCTAACATTTCTTCATTGTACTACGCATTGCCTTAAGGTACACCATTATTTATTAATCTATTTTATTGCATACACAGCATTATGTTTTTGAACAGGAAGACAACAATTTAATATTTAACGATGTAATACAATCTCTGATCTATGAGAAACATTTTTCACATTTTTCGCAGAAAAAAAAATGCCATCGAGAAAAACAAAGCCCATGATACAATCGAAATGCTAAAGAAATTTGATGACAATTAAAATTTTAATTAACATGATAATTCATTTTCCTCATTCTTCAAATTAATAACGTAACAAAAATGCAAATATCCTGTCATCTTTTCTAACTTACTTAATCATCTTCCCCAGAGACTTTTTCCTTCCTTCTATTTAACATGACACCCCCAAAAGAGGAATATAAATTATAACGTCATAACACAGAAGGAAAACAAGAGAACACTTCGAAAATGTCCTCCAACCATTCGCACACATACAATAAGGAAAAAATTCCAGTGTGCTGCCTCCATTTTCCCATTCTCTAGCACTAGATTTTTCCCATTCGACAATAATGTAAATTAAATTTGTCGCAATTTCATTGAGGTAACGAGGGGGCGGGAGGACAATGTGAAAAATCATGTTTCAAAGGAAAACATTTTTCGCTCGTTTGTGAAGATGAAGTGTAGGTACTTAAATAAGCGGAGATGATAAAGAGGCTGCTGTTAGTACTTCTGGTGGACTAAGTGGTATAATTTTCCTTTAATTTGAATAATTTCTACTCGTGCTTCGCCTTATATTCCTTCCCATGCTGTTGATAAACCGTGTTAGGAAAAAAAAATCTATATACAATACGAAGCAAGTCGCCGCGAAAACAGTAAAATAGTGTGAAAGAAAATTCTGCAGTTCCTCTTGGTTTAATTGAAATAGATCAATTACATTACAGGGCTTTGTGTCGCAAGACAAGGACGAGGTGTGAGACGGACATATATATGTTCCTATTAACAATGGAGTGTAATAAATGAATTTGCGTGTGTACTTTGCCCCTGTTAGGCGAGAGAGACTGAGCGACAGACATTAATATAAAAGCAATGAGAAAGGAAGAGATTTTCGGGGATTTGCTCATGTCTCGTATATTAAATTAAAAAATAGCAAGAAAAAAAGTGATTCTGTCGTATTTCTTCAGCTTCTCTTCCATAAAATGCTTCAATGAAAATGAAAATAATAAAACAATTACTCTGAGTGAGTGGAGAGGAGACAGAAACAGCCATATCAACAAATCTTTTAAAATTCATCTCATACCCAAAAGCTCATCGTTCTCCCGCTCAGTCGCTCTCTATAATGGCCTGAGGAAAATTCTGTGACTTATTGGATGAGGATGTAAGTCAAGTGGGTTTGGAGTGAGGCGAAATGTGTCAGATGTTATGTGTTGTTGATGCGTCGGGAATTCTCTTGGACCTCTTATAGCTGCGACCACCCCATTAATCTGAGTGCTCGAGGGGTGGATGAGGAATTTCTCTTGGCACAAACATGAAAGTCATTTTCGAGATATTAGGATGTAGAAGGGAAAAAGGTATATATATATATGTGGCAGGCATGTGTGGTGGTATGAGGTGATAAAAGTTTGTTATGCCATCACAAGAACACGGGCAAAGAGAACGATCTCACTATATAGCTTCTCTCCTGTGATTATAACTCAATTATTAAGAACCTACTACATCACTTTTGCTCCTCATTTCTCTCACTTGGAACAACACTTTCAGATTTTTCCCCCTTCATTTTACGTACTTTCGCCTCTCGACAAGTGGAGAAAACAAATGCAGAAAATAAAGAGACAATTGACTCCAAATGCTCCTAATGAGATTGTCTCTCTTCCCAGTCCACAGAGCAAAAAAAAAAGAAAACATACGGAAAGAAACCCACAACTTTTACCATAAAATCCTAGATAGGGAAGTGAGATAATAAGCCTCCAATCAAGTAAAAAGCGAACTAACAACCCAACGATAAATGCCCCACAAAATCGTGAGACAACACTGAAATGGCAATAAAATCCTCATTTTATAGATTTTCTCACTTCTTTTAATACACCACCCCCCACTCTCTTTCATGCTCGCTTTCATCCCCATTCGCCCAGTGTCATGCTGTGAAGTGATTCCATTCGAGATTTATCCACTGACAATTCTCAACTGCCATCATCATTTGTGCAAGTGGGGAAAATCAATTCAACATAAACCTCACCAAAGCTCTGTAAAATGTGTCGAATAAATCGAATACAGCAAAATAGACTCATTATATTATTAATTAAATTCGCAATATACCCCATTGTGAAATTACAATATTTCATTTAGCAAATCCATTTTAAGCATTCTGAGCTCTCATATTTCAAATACCTCTAATTTTTGCGACATTGCTAATTGAATTAAATTAACGGGAAAAGCGGATTACAGTCATATCCTAATAAAAAGGACATGACAGTGAAATTCATCTTTTTATACTTTTCACCATGCAAGAGTGATAATTTTCTGCGGAGACATAACTTTTATGAAAATTCTTTGTATAGAAATATATGTATATTTATGGGTATATATATATATATATACCCCAAGTAGGACAGACGGAAAATTGGCAATTTAAATGAAGAGTAGCGCATATACCTCCGTCCCGCAGGCATTTTATTATACCAAGAAAGTTAAATTTGAATTAAAAACTTTCGGAAGTTGCTCACACAACAAGGGAATTTTGATTTGGAGTGTTTTCATCTTGCTCTTCTGTTTCCAAACAGATGGAAATTTTATAGAAAATATAGGGAAGATACATATTTAATTTATCTTCTCTCGTCTCTAGGATGTATTTGACTGTGAATAATACGGAAGTTCGCCGGAAATTTAAATGATAATACGAAAAAGCCTTTATTTAGTAAATTGACAAAGTGAGAGAAATGTTATAATTCAAACCCGGCTACATTGCAAATTTTAAAATATGTTCCTTGTCCCGCGCCTAAGGATCAATATCAATTATCCTCATTCACTCAATTATGCATGGCAATTTTGGAATATTTATTCAGTCACCCAAAAGAGGATAGCAGAAGCGCCACAATATATATATGTATGTGGTAAAATTCCTCAGGTCAATAATTTCATTCACAAAACACCGTATTGATAAACTGATGGTTCTGTAACTAGAGTTTCACAATACATGAAATTCTTCCGCTCTCGAGCCTGTTTGCACTCCCCTTTTCCCATTAAATTCTCCTGTTTCACTGAACAATATTTAGAATACAATTTCTATTGAGTGCCCACCATATTGCACATCTTATATTTATACTGTCCAAGTGACCCGTATCGATTTCACTTATCTCACAATTTTCTCCCCACCCTTTACATATTGGAGTTCTTCTCGCTACAGTTGAAGCGAAACTTCCGCCTATGTCACCCACAGTAGTCCACCCACATCGACCAGATGGTGGGAGGAAACCCCGAAGAGGCATGTGAGGTGAGTGTACATTATCGTAAATACCCCATCAAATGGACATATTTCAACGAGGTACAACATTGTAGGCCAAATTGTGTCTCCTATGGGTTAATTTTGCCATAATTATCATCTTCTCTCAGTCGCACTCTTCTTCAGCCCCTCCTTTTTCTTCTTGTGACAATAATTACAGGAGCAGAAATGGAGACGCCTGGTGCTGAGACAACATCCGAATTAGACCTACGTATGCTCAACACGTTCTCTCACCATGTTCATCAAAGGTCCTCCCTTGCCAGAAACGCCCCCATGACTCACCTTGCACAGACATTCCATGTTCAGCCTATTACAATTGTGTGAAACAATTGGAATAGTAATAATTGACAAATTACAAATACCCAGCTTCAAAGCTTGTACGTCAGTTAATTACATCATAGTGAAAAGTATAACAATTTCTCAGTACATATCCCAAAAGAAACATGAACTCCTACACACGTGGAGTTAGAAAATACGAGAGTTTCCACATTCCCCCTGGGGTGAAATAAAAGGGAAAAAGCGTTCACAGGAACTGGAGAATACTCAATCAATGTTCCGAGGATGTGTGCTAAAAAACGTCGTTAAGGGCAAAACCACACACGCGCCCTCACATCACAATTATTCCAATGCCCTTCTGTATCACACTTAAGTTTCACTCGCAGTGTATATACACGATATACACTTTCGATAATTAATTCGATTAAAAGCTCGCTCTCTCTCCTCGAGCACTTTATTTCACGATGTATAAAATTCACAAGTTAGCACACCAAATGATAAATAGCTTAGTGTTTTAGCTTTCATTCATTCACCTCTACTTGAATCCACTTCCACACCACTAAGACGTGTTTAAAAGTTGAACTTTTTCTTCTGTTTCCACCACGAAGTGCTTAGCGCTTGGGGATGTAATAACATATGAGGAGAATGAGAAGGTAAAATGCGAGTGAATAAAAAAGAAATGGTGAGCTCAGCATAGTTTTAATTCCGGAAGAACTTTATTGGCTTCCTCGAATGGGGGGTTATATGGGATATGCCAAGGAAATACCTTGCTTTTACTACTCTGATACACAGTCTCGATTCGGAAGCTCGCAGATATTGTCATCTTGAGTTAATAGCGGCTGTTTTCTTTTTATTGCACGACTATGTTGAACACCCCTAAAACAAACCCACTGAAGAGAGTCACACTTTAACATAACGTAAAAGTGGTTGACTTAAGAATCATGGCCTCCTTTAGCACAGTAATGCATCTATCTGCACGCACGTACAAACATGAGACATAATCTTCCCTAGAACCGTAACGATCAAGAGACTAAATTGTAATTATCCCGCTCAAGTGATTACATATGTACACACTGCCCGGGTATTACGGCATTAATTGAAATTGTACCACAGACAGTGGATAATGAGGCAAATGAGGAAGTAAAAAAAGTGCAAGAGATTTTGATGAAACATACCCTTTGTGGACTTGCGAATAGGCCGCGGCTCCGGCCATGGCCAGTGCTTTGTAGCGTGCCTGTTCATCTGTTGGCAACACAATGTCCACAGATCTCGAGCGAACGGCATTGCTGGGTACTGTGAGTGTGAGACCACCATCGGGCGGTGGCTGGACCTCCTCTGCTTTCCCAGACGATGGCACTTTGGTGAAGCACGAATCCACCGAGGCGGCACGATCACGTTTGAGATCTGGCACAGCCAAATATATGTCACACACCGCATCCGGAGGCACTGGCTTCTCATCCTCCTCCTCATCCTCCGTCTTGATGTCCTGCGACTCTTGGGCCTCCACCTCCTCACCCCGACTCGCGTGTGCCACATTCTCCAGGGAGCTCTCCAGAGGCTCCACGAATACCGCCTCTTGGCGCGATATTGAGCGTCGCCGCGCTCTAGGCGGTGGCGATTCATCGAATGGCGGCGGCGATGTGGCGAGAGGCGATGATAGCTGTTCCATGGGCGGTGGTGAGAACACCAGCGGCGCCATCTGAGCCGGTGGGGAGCCCAGTGGCAAGAATGTCGGCACATCAGCGTGAGTCGGTGATAGAGTGAACGTGATGCCGCACGGTGAGGATGGGGGAAAGGGCGTGAATGGCGTGGGCGGTGGCAACAGTATGTTCCCATACTCCGGTTCACTTGCATCCTCATCGTCCGCATCCCCATCACTACTCGATGTGTCACTATAGCTCAGTGATCGCACCTCCTGATGATCGATAAAGTACAGTTGATCCGCACTCACTTGCCGTTCATACTCCTCCAGATATTGGCAATGAATGCACGCCGGTGGTGATGATTTGGTTCCGGACGAGCGTCGTCGCTGGAAGCGCTTCGGCACCTCCAGGAATGTGCTGGCCTCATCTCCCGTTCCCGAGGCCGAATCAAAGCTCCGTGATCGTTGATTTGTCACCTGTGGCACCTGCAACAGGCCCGAACGCTCATCTGCCGACGACTGATGACGCAGAAGGGCAGCGCGCTGGGCCTCTAATTGGATCTCATCGAACGATGCCGAGCGAACCTTAAAACATTTGCCACTAATTAGCACCGAATCGCCGTGGCCGGCAAGAAAGTTGAAAGAAAAGCACGTGGGCGTTCATACAGATGTTAACAAAAATATTGGAAGTATGTGTTTGTGTGTGAAAAGCCACTTTAAACAATTTTAATGATATGCAAACATTGAGAATAATAACATTTTCATGTTTGAACGACGCAAACACAGACTCTTTCAACACATAAAGACTTCTAGATAAATTTACAAGGAATGAGACATAATCTCTCTATACCCATATTCTATGCTGGATTATATTCTTCACACCCGAAAAAGGGGTGCAAAACTCATGCAATGTCTGTTAGATAACAATCTTGGCGAAGAAAATCATTCTTCGTACTTTCCTAAACATTCAATTCATACAACATCAAGTAGCAAATCATGAAATTATTCAATTAAGCCATTTCGCAAACAACAGAGAACGCAATTAAGAGTTGGAGAAATTCAATTAAAAAATTGCAGAGAAACAAATATGGATTAAAAGATATGCATTGAAAAATAAACGGTATATTCCTTCATGTACAATTCTGAACAAAACAGAGAGAATAATAATAAGTATCTGAGTGAAGCTATTCCCCAACTGAACATTCTGGGAACTATGAGAAGGATGAAAAAAAATCCAAATTGAACTCTATAATAAACTGAAATAGGAGAGTTTTTACAGTGAGACGCTTAAACTGTAAAATACACAGTATCGAAAAAGGTGTACATTTGCAACAACATCAAACGTTGAGAAAATACGATATTATACGGAACGAATTCACACCTGTTTAGGTACCTCTAAACTGCTCTGAGTTTTCATTTCGGCACCTGTGGGCGTCCGTGATCGCGTGAATGTCGTTCTCAAGCGTTGCATAGTAATGATGCAGGTAACAAATGGGTGTTGCACACCTCACAACTCCGACATGGAGGCAAATGCCATCCACGGTGAGGTCCTCTACCCAATCATATCGTTTTGGAAATAAATCTCCACTCTACAATGATGAACAAGAAAAAAGGAAACATGATTGAATTGGAGCTTCACTACAGGGATAATTTATATATCTCTTTTCTCATGCTTTCCGCCGCAAAATGCTGTTCTCCAGCCAAGTTATATATTACAAAAAGAAAATTGCTTTAATATATCAAGGAGAGACAGAAAGAAAAAACCACACTTTTGTCTATGTCTTATGAACAAATTTCACTCTATATCCTCATTGCTGTAATTTATATTCTTACAGGTTTCACCACACCTTGTAGATTACAAGAATAATCAGAACAATGTCTGACCAATAGAAGGGCGCTTTAAAAGTTTATGAAGTCCATTAGAGTTCCAATAATTTTGTTCACTCTCCACCCCAGTAATTGATTTCTCCGCTTCTGAGACACTCGTAGAAAATACCCTCGAGGCATATAACTTTTAATTAATTGATAACAAATCGTATTCCGTGTCAGAGATTATGAGAAAATGTTGCAGCAAACAGATGGCATTGCTCTGAACTAATGTCTAACACCAAAAAATCCGTGCTAGCGAAAACTTTCTTGCCGAAACGCTCATAGAGTGAAGCGAAATTAATTAGCAACTTGGCTGACTGGTCATGTGAAATATTGTATAACTAGCACTTTGGTGTGTTTGTTGGTGAATGAAGGGGATGTTTTCATAGCCATAAACACCAATTCCTGATTCCCAAATTGGCTTGCGGAGGCACATTTTCAATAGAGTGACACGAAAACTAATATTTGATATCGAAAATACACCTCTACAAGTTCTGCCAAATTCTATTAATTTATATTGCGTGTATTTTGCCACTCACATACCAATGCCAACATTAATGAAAAAAAAATTAATCTCATGAAAAAAATTGTAGATATTCATAGTTTAGAGAATACAGAAATAAAAGTTTGTTGTTCATAATATTTTTCTATTATTAAAAAACTTTATAAAGTAGCCACTAAAGCGTAAAAACTCCCTCTTTTGCCAGTGCACTTCAACATAACACAATCAATTCCCCGAGGCAAAAACGTTCCAGTCTCGTGTCCTCTGAGAAGTTTCCAGCGAATAAAAATGTCTTAATTGAATTCCTGGTTTTTTGTGAGTGACAAAATCCACAAAGAACAAAAATTAAAATATCATAGACACCGGATGACAACTTTAAATGCAAAGAATCCAATACCGCTCGATTGAATAAAGATTTTCCACCCACACTGTAAAATTTGAGAAATTGTTTTACAAAGGAGAACCAAAATGTATTCTCGTGTGAAATTGATTTCGTTGCTATTTTGCGTACATTTTCTCCCATTGTCTCTGCAGCGTGTATTTTCTTAGCGGTTACAGGCGAATAAATCGTATTTGTCTTCTCATTTTCATTTACGCTTTTCACAATATATAAAATGTTTTGAAGGCGTTTCTTGTGAAACTCCACATGTGCGAAGAATGTAAATATGAGAAATCCACGAGTGTGTCACTAGAAAACATAGGGATGAAGCGGGATGATAGTAAACCCATTCACCAAGCCATATAACAATCCCTAATACAACCACGTTCTACAGTCATCTCACACCTCACTTAACACGGAGGGAAAGCACCACGAGGGTGAAGGATTACAATCGACAAAGGGAATATTTCGTACATTCAAAAGATAAAAGAAGCTCATACCTCTCACAATATAGTATAGTCAGAGTCTCTTCAATTTGCAATACATTTTAGCACGGAGCGCGCTATACAGTCTCTCGCACAGATATTCAGAGAAATATAGAGCGTGGGTGGATTCCCTTCAGATCCAAATATTCGATGACAGTAACTCCTAAAGTACTGCTAGACATGAACAGATATTGTGACCAATTGTTGCAAACTCCTTCACTTGCTAAAATATCAGTCAAACAAGGGAAAATGCTATTTTAAAGGCACTCTGTTTATATTATGCTGATTATATCTTAAGATATGTAGACGTCTTTGAGTAGCATATCACAACAGATGAAACAAAGAAGAAAATGTATTTTGAATCTACACAGAATTTCGATTTATACTCTATGGAGAAGGAAATCATCCAGAGCTAAAGAAATCTGCTTGCTTTATAATAATGCCACACCACCAAGCATGTTCTATTGAACAGTATTTCTTCTTACTTTCAACATTTCCCACCCTGTTCCACCTATTCTCTCCAACTTAGCAAGTCGATTCTTTTTTAAACTATTTGTAAACATATTTTTCACAAGTCGTGAAAGAGGAAATAGAGGCAAAAAGAGTATACACCAGACACCCTTACATAAAACATAATCTTTTGTTCGTTATGAAGCCACAACATAAAACTGTCTGACAATTTTTAGTGGAGCTTCCATATGCAAAAAGTTGCGGTGAAAAACCTAAAACAGCCACCAAGTCATTCTGCTATATGTAGAGAAGCTTACCGACTCAAATAAAAGTCAATGAACCGATTTATCAACAACCTCACAATTTTCCTTTTGTTCTTTACTCATTTCACCACGTTTCATTCTCTCTCGTCCACCAGTCAAGTGGGAACACGAGATGCTTCATCCACTGTAATATTTGGCCAAAAAAAAGATACCAACAGATATACGAATATTAGCTATACATAGCCAGCGATATATAACATATTTCAGTTAAGGATGGCAGATAAACAAAATCTAATAGATTTTTCCATGCCATTGGATTTGCTTAAATTCACCATCAACCACCCCAAAGCCATCCATCAATCACCAACCATCAGTTGGGTGAAAAATTGTCTCTTGAGATATGAAGGCCCTTCATAACTTTATTCATGATGCTAACAAATTTGGAATTTGTTAAAGCTTCGGTAAAATCTATACAAGAATTTGGACAAATCAATGGATTACGCTACCCTTTCTATACTTATATTCACTAGTGCGTGTCCGACTTGGAAAAATTACCTTTGAACAAGTTTCAGAACTTTTAGCTTTATATTTCTACGCACAACTCATGTAAACCATGCGGAAAGAAAGAGTCTTTCCGCAATATTGTGATTATTTGGAAATATGCTACTAAATAATAAAGCAATATCACATCAAGTATAGTGGTTTTATGAGAAAAGCTCCAGCGTAGGCGAATAGAACTTCACATGGGATGATGCAAGAGAGAATTTATTGATGCAGAATTTCAACCCGAAACGAGAAATTTGCAACAACACACCATACAAACAATAATTTAACTCTTTTATTGCACTCCTTCTTCGTGTTGTATTTTCATAATAATGTTTTATTTAATTACCCTATACAACGCTATGCTTCTGCTGTTAACATACGTTATACAATGTAGGTACTAAATAAATTAGTGAAGGTCATTGTAAAAGACTTTATGGAAATTTCAAGCAATTTGCATCTTTTACGGTTAATTTCTTTATTCAGTGTCGGTTGAAAAACCCCATAACTTTTGTTCATTCAATGTTTCTGCAAATACTCTGCAAATGAAGAAAAAACAAACCCTCTGGGATTCAGATTGAGGTGAAATAATGCACAGGGTAAATAATCCTCTAATTATAAAGTTGAAGTGTCTTTAGCTATGGCAGCAAAATAATACTAAGAACTTGTTTACAAAGCTTACTGCTCCATATGTAGATAACTTTACAACAATTCCTATAGTTTGTGAGCAGGAAAATAATTAAGTCTGCTTTGTATATGAACTGACATAGAGATGCAACATCATAAAGTCAACGTTGGAGGAAGTAAAATGAAGCCAATTAACTCTGTGAGAAGTTCCTGAATACACAACCATAAATACAACATAATTTTAATCTTATAATTTAAATCTACTGACCCTATGAGATCTCCGTCGTCTTGTGTGTTTTTATCTATGATTATCTCCAAAAGAAAAGTTATGTGAAATACTATGATTTATTTAAGTCATAATCTCATAATCTCTCCATCACATCATCCAAAATTATTGCACTTACAGAGCAATATAACTTAAAGCTAGATTAAAAGCCAACTATAAGACCCTGTTGAACTAAAGCAGGCGGATAATGTTCGTCATAAAGTCTCATTGGAGCGAAACCAGTGAAACCTAATTATGATTTTTAGTCCCTAACGCCTCTCATGTGATTAGTGCTACAAGTTTCACCATATAAACTTCATTTCACATAATATTTTGCACCCCAAAACATTATTATTTTCTGTAATATCATTCCACAGCTATAGTATCACTTTGGTTCGCCTCCTGCAGCATTTCTAAGCAAATTAAGTTATACGATATATTGAAAATTCAATTAGCATTATAAATAGATGTGTGGAAAATTGTTTTCAAAACCCCATCATGTTTCCACACTCTATAATACTACAATTGATACAATAGTTAATGTTTAATTAAATAACCCGTAACAATATTTTCTCTATAATCTTGTAAAGTTTTGCAAAATTACAACATGAAGAAATACAATAAAATACAAGGATGCAAGATTGTTGCCAAACTCAAAAAGTTATGACGTGTGTTGTCAGGCACTTTTGCCACAGCACGTGTTTCATATCACCAAAAGCTTTATGCTTTCTCACATTTGTGGTATAACCATGTCATCATCAACATCATGCTTTAGACAAAATGAAAAATGGTACAATGAGACCGTACACGTGAAAATTCGTTAATTGAACTTTGACAGGAAAATGTCCCTTCACAACAGCGAAGAGGATGGAAAAATTAGCTGAAATATGACCATTAGGGTGTAAAACACAATCAGATTTAATGTTAATGACGCTCCAAATGCCACTTGGAGGTGTTATGTGAGGGAAGGTAACTACCACAAAAAATTACCATCAAATCATCCCTTTTGTGTATAATGGCGCACGGAGAGAAAACCTCCATGCAAAAGTCAACTTTCAACGAAAAAAAAATGAGGCTGCACCCTAAAAATATATTTAATTCACCTTTTTTACCCTCAGCACTCACATTACACCCTCATAACCTTTAATATTTCAACAATCGTCACTAATACTGTGTGCGGCGTGTTTTGTAGATTTATGCAGAACCTACGTGCTGCTACCTTCCACTTCTGATTACTCACTTTGTGCCATATACATATATAAATATTATCCCCTCGTCCACCTATTGCTTTAGTACTCAAATTCACCCACGCACTAGGTTGAATATCGTGTGTCTAAGTTTGTTGCTGCCAAAGAAATTTCCACATGACAAAGTTTCATTTTATTGCTCATTTTTTAATACATCTCCACTCCATTTTCTCAACTCATGCATTAAGTATTTAAAATATGTCTCTTGAAATACGACTATACGAGCTCATCCAGCCTGGGACAAAGCTTGCTCACCTGTCGTAATACCGTCGAGATATGGCTCGGAACAAAATAAAAACAGGGTGCGAGTGAAATAAATCTTGGATGGAAGCAAGGAGAGCCACTCCTTATCGCTACAGCATCTCCCTTTTTACAGTTAATTTTACTACATAATCTAATGTTCTCAGGTTCACCCACATGCCATTACTTGCAATTGTAGGCGGAAGTGGACAACCCAACACAACAGCAAAACATATATTTTGGCCCTACATATGATTTAGTTAAGTCCCAACCGTAGTGTATTTGTACAATCAAAGGCAATAACCAAATATCGAATGAATTTAAAGAGACGGACGTCAAAATTTGAATGAATTGATGTGGGTAGAATTTTCATGGTAGAGAAGAAGACAAGAAAAACACCTCAGCTTCCAACCCAACCAAACGGAAATCCTGAATCCCTCATCTGAGGAAGAGCCCATCATTCTATTCACAATTCATGAGCATTTTTCTTCAACATCTGCCTTGTTTCTAGACCTCCCCTGTCGCTTATCCCAAGAAATTGAGCCACTGAGGCTACACTGCTTGGCAACCGCAAGATGAAGGTGAGAAGCAATGGTCAGAATAAAGGGCGTCTATGTAGTGAAACTACAATGCTTCTTTTTCACTCGCCACGTACCTACATAAATTATATCAAGTGAAGCTGACTTTTAGTCATCCTTTTTCCGCACCACACCCCACGCATTTGCTCAGCTAAGATATTCATGCAATCGACCATGTTTACCCAATCACTTCTACGTTCTTCACAGCCTCGAGTCCTCAACCAAGTTCATGGCCCCGCCTTACATAGTGTTACTGAGGTGTCACAGTAACGAAGATAGATCTTTTTCGGGCGAAACTGCATTGAACCTTCATCAAAGTTCTTCTATTTATTCCCTTCTGGCTATTTTAGGTGATACCTCAGTACAAAATCCCTCTTGATTTGCTCACCTAAAGTCTATTCACCACCCCAAAAGTTCTTTGTCTGAAATTTACTCATGTTCACATCACATATCAAATTGTTATGAAATTTTTATCACAATTATTCCTACACATTCTGCGTCTTATATTCAAATTGTAAGTCACTGTTAAAAAAGCAGTTATTAAATTCACCCCCTTTGGTAAATAACACGCTTCAAGGTATACATTTTGTATAGAGAGACAAACGCTGGCCTTTTCTTATCGAAAAGCGTGATTGTGTGACTATAGAAATGTATTATTTGCATATTGGGTAACATTATAATACGGGTTTCTTTGTTTTATAGTGAAAACGAAAAGTTTTCCACCACGCATACTGAGTTTTGAAAATACACACGAATTAATTGTTTCTAATTTACGAGGGTAAGATTTTACCCCCAATCTCACATCCGGCTTATAATTGCTCTCAACTTAATGTGAATTCCTTTTTGGATCGTGACTTCTGATTAGTATGCATAGTTTTTTGGGCCACACATCGATTTTCTCAGTATCAAAGAGGAAAAAGCGTATTCTTTCTTATGAAAATTTCAGATTGTTGCTTGCTTACACTTTCGCCGAAATATGCTTAACAGCTTTGTGTACAGAGAATAGAGTCAGGAAAAAACCGAGATATGTTTATTAGAGCCATTGTTTATGTCCAGCATTATAATACACATACGTTGTGAGATGAAGATTACCAAATGTATTTATGGAGTTTACCACTAACATATGATATTATTTGATAAACAATTCGTGATATATCGTTAAACTAACAAAATATCTTTTGGCGTATGCACGATTCGTACATTCACACCGTGATGACGTCGAGTTTATCGTCACTGATCTGCTTTGCTTGCTGTTTATGGAATTCGTAATTAGTATAAAAG